CCTGGATGGATAACCCAGCCTGCGGGGACTTACATGCGTATCCAACCTGGACGCACGGACAGCTCGAGGAGCATGTCGCACCTCACCGTGGACCTCACCGACCTCACCGTGGACAGCTACAACAAGGGCATGCTGAAGCTCACCATCGTGCAGTACAACGGCCAGTCCATGGGCGTTGTACTGCACGATGTTGAGGGCCCTCGTGGGCTGCTGCGGCGCGCTCCGCGCTCCGGGCGCTCGTGGAGACGCTGCTCGGAGCGAGAAACGCAGAAACGCAGGAGGAGGAGGAGGAGGAGGAGGAGGAAGAAGAGGATCTGATCTGATCTGCAAACCCGTGGAGACTAGGTCAAGCCTGAGCACTTCGCAGACCTCAAGCCGGAGGCAGTCTACCATTGCCCTGGTGGGGCAGCCCCCGAGCCAGCCTGGACAGTACCTCTTTCCCTGCGTTGGAGGGGGGACGGTCTGCCCTGCAAGGCTTGGCAAGGTCTGGACATCCCTGGCACCTGCACGGGCGCCGCGGTGCTCACAAAACAAAGCGCCACGCAGGACTTTCAGCCTGTGGGAGCTGGCACAAAGGGGGTACAAATGACTACCTACCAGACCACCCCAACCCAACCCGAAAACCCGAATTTCGGGTTGGGGGGGGGTAAGGGTTCCATACGTGTTTTTGTCAACGTTCCGCGAGCTCCCCCCACTGGAAATGGAGGGCAAATCTGAACCTTCGGGTTGGGTTGGGGTGGTTTGGTGGGTGGTGAACAAAGGGGTGGGAAAGCGGACCAGAGGAGAGGTGGGAAGGGCCGAGACAGGGACCAAGGCAGAAGTCCCGAACACGGCCCTTCAACTTGAACTTCATTGCGCGCACCTGGCAACGTAAGAAAGAGCCTGCTAAATTAGGTTCGTGGCCAGCACTCCGCAATCTCAACTTCCGAACCTGCAACGCAAGGCGGGAGGGACGACGCGGGGGCGGGCGGCCGAGCCTATCAGCGACTCTCCTGGGATGCTGCTCGACCACTTCCGTGTGCACCGCCAACAGGCGGCCGAGCGTGTGGGAGCTCACTCGATGAATGCACTGAGTGACACCAACCTGTTCGAGACGGGGGGCCGCTCTATCGGCGGCCCATCCCGCAAAAGAATCAGCACACCAATTCAAAAAAAAATCCTCCTCCCCGATGGCGAATTGGGCCCGCTGTTGGCCCGGTGAGGGGCTCTTTGTCCAAAGGACCTCGACCCTACCAGGACGGCGATATCAAGAGCCGACCAGATCCGAACCCATAGATCGAGCATCGTACTACTAGACATCACCTGAACTTCTGGCTTCCGCAGCCCCTTGCCGAGGGGCAGGTAGTCAGAGTAACACAATATACCATCAGTAGTGTGCCCCACCACCATCAGAAGGCAAGCCGTTCAGCACGAAGAATAGACTGATCGGGGGTAGGTGGAGTACCCCACTTCATGGAATTCAACTGCAAGGAGAGCCAATCAGGAGCCCCAAGAAATACAACAGACCAGCCACATCTAAAGAGCCGCTTGTCAGTAGCATATTTACCACCAGAACACGCCTCTGAGCCCTCAGGGTGCCCCACGTCCACGCGAGAGTTTGAAGGGGAGGAAGGCGACCGCAGGTGGCATCAGAACTGGGCACTCCACGAATGAAGATGCACTTTGAGGGTCTGCTGCGACGGCCTCAGGAACCAAATGCTCGCTGGCAACAGTGCCAGGGTCGGTCAAGAAAGCGTTACTCGGGCATCCCTACGCACGATGTTGTGGGTTATCTCACTCTTCTCCACACCTGAAGCACTTACGGGAGGTTGAGTATCCGCTATCCTGAAGCCGGCTCTCTGGCCAGCATCCTCCAAAAGCAATGGTGATAAGAAGTGCGGCGCCCTTGGAGCCGTCGTGGTCATGCAACTTATGTTGCTTGGCACGCAATACAGTGAAGTCAGCTCCTGAAGTCAAACCTCGGCCACAAAATTGGAGGGAAGCGGAGGCAAAGCAATTCGCACGCACTGCAACAGAGACATGATAACGAAAAACCGCATCGGTCATTCGGAAAGGTGAACTGCATTCGACGAGCCATTTATCAACTCGAAGAGGTTGCCAGCCTGCTTCGAGGACTGTCACATATAGAGCAGCGGTGTGTCCACGAACCTGTCGCCAACGATCGGGCGGCTGTGTCTTACTTATCTTGTCACGCAGAGACTCCCAAACTCGATGGACACCCGATCGAAGGCTTGCAGAAAGCGAAACCCAAACCTCCAAGATCAATGTGAGCTGCTCGATACGGAATCGGTAAATCGGACCATTGTCCGTGTCATATAGAAACCGTTGCACACTACTCACACACGAACCATTGGACCAGAACCCCGAACACGAGGCTGCAGATTATCTGAACTGCCTACTAGCATGTAGGTATTCCCAAGAGAGCATGTCCCCACGATCCGACTGCCAAAATGCCTGGTTTGAATACTTTGCGCGATGCACCGCGCAGCTTGGCAAGATACGACAGCTTGCGACCGCGTCGGAAGGACAAGGCTCGACATTGCTGAAACTTCCAAGTCGCCCTACGCTTGTGAGCAGTCGTGACAGAGCCTGGGTCCTTCACACCTGGGGCAGAGCTGATCGAGACACCATATCTCTTAAACTCGTCCTGCAGGAGCCGCTCCAGCTCGACCGACGAGGCCATCGCCAAAGACTTGGAGCTGGCAAGGCACCCAAATGTAGAAATGTCCTGCTGAAAAACTCAGCAGCACAGGTGGTTGGTATGGACAGATGAATGCGGTGGTACCTTGCAGATAATGGGTAATGCCATCCACACATGACCTGATAGAAACACGTACTTTTTGGAGATCTCCTGGGCCTCGAGGAATCCTATTGTGAGCCTTCTCCAGAACCCTGTAGAGGAGGCACTTGACCCAAGGCATACTCAGACTACACCCCGCCAAGATAAACTCCCCAGCAGCAATCACCCTCGAGAGACTTCCAGACATTTCCAGGAGCCTAGGCGAGGTGTGTATGAGGAGCCCCAAATACAGCAAATGACCAGGATAGGCTTGGTTGGAGGCAAAGTGCAACAGCTTACTGGGGGAGACGGAGTCGAAGAACTTCTCGAGGTCCCAATGAGGAGCACAGGATTGAAATCCACATGGATGGGCCACCTCATCCCATGTGCCCAAAGCCTGCAGTCGGGGAGACGCAGGACTCGGGTTCGGGGGACTCGGGTCTAAAGGAACAAACAATGACACAAACATACAAACTCGGAGGTCCGCGCGGATTTCTCGGATCGGCGCTGGAGACCTCTGGCGGCGCCTCCGGCGCCGCCCCTGGCGCGCTCCGCGCGCCAAGGAAGAGGGTCCAACGCCGATCCGGAAAATACGCGCGGACCTCCGAGTTTTTATGTCTATATCATTGTTCGTTCCCCTCGGGTTGGCCTGACGGGGCCATCATGAATTTGACGAGGCCCAGCCTGGGATTTGACGAGAGCTCCCGCTGCATTCATCCCACGGAAACTGGACCGTCGAAATCCATGAAGTGTTCGACAAAAAGCGTCGGCGAACCCGAGTTCCGGCGTACTCGAGTCATACGTTTCCCCAGTGCAGGAAAGGAAAGAGGGATAAGTCAGGAGGCAATTCCCGGCAGGTCTTCGTGGGAACGACTGTGGAATGTTCAGCCCGATTAGGGGGCTATGAGACTGGACTGAACCCGAATTGGTAGAGAATCGAACCAAATTATGCCGGAGCGTGCCAGTTGTAGCAATATTAAAGCAAATGAGGCGGGATCGTTCCCGAGGAACTACTTGCTCCGATGCTGAATGTGACCTCCCAGGATTTTATCTGGGGGCTTGTCGCGTGGCTTCCCGGCCCCGTCGGGTGCCGGGAGCCGTTCCCCCATGACTATTTCAGGGGTAAGAGGGCGCCAAGACCGGTCAAGAGGGCCTCAAGAGGCCCCCAAGACGGTCCGAGATGGCTCCGAATCGCTGAACGATCGGTCCAAGACGCCCAAGATGGCCTCCTGTCAACAATAAACCCAAAACGCATCAAGATGCCTCCAAAACACCTCAAAGAGGGCCCCCAAAGGCAAATTAAAAGTGATGATCCTGAGGCTGTTCAATGTGTTGCTTGTCTCTACTTTTCGAACGTCCAGCGGAGTCCGAACCGAGAAATCGAGCCTTCCGCGCCAAGATGCCCCCAGGAAGCTTAAGTAAGCCCCAAGAGGCCTCAAGAGGCCCCCAAGGCCCCACAACCCACAACCCAAGCACGGTGCCCTTGCCACAACGCTCGGCCACATGGGTGATTCCAAAAGGCAGGGGGCGGCGGTGATTCGACGCAGGCGTCTTCGATAATATTAGTATGTCTGCATGGCGCCAATGAAATAAGGAATGTCACGGCCAACACGGGCCGCTTGAAAGGAGCAACCAGCGTGTTAACGTCTAACCTGCATCCGAGGTCTGCGCAGACGCGTGTGGCGCATGAGGGGCCTCTAGGATGTGATTGCTGCCCGATGCTCCAGCCGTATCGTTGACGCATTCCTCCTGTAGACGGGCATGCCCGACTTCAGTCTACCAGTCTCCCATATTAGTGAAAAACTAATGCTGAGGTCGAGAGGCAAGGGCATGGGGAGAACACGTGACCAGAAGGATCATGGGGGGGGGTCTGACGTACCATCCGCAACACACAACGGCGTCGGGATCGAGCAATCTGTCGAACATCGAAAGATAATAAACACCGTAAACATAAACTTTTGAAAATCCGTGCGGATTTCTTGGACCCGCGCTGGGCCCCCCTCCCTGGAGACACCGCCAAGGGACCCCGGCGCCGATCCGGGAAATCCGCGCGGATCTCCGAGTTGTTATGTCTATGTCATTGTTCGTTTCCCCAGAGACGTCTCTGCGCACAAAAGACGCAAGCAACTGTAAGCTATGCTACTGTCGCGATGAGACTACTGTGGCGCTCTGCCGCACGCACACGGCGCGCGCGCTTTCGAGCACTCCTCCGGGCCCCCTCCTGCGCGGGCACCACTGCCAGGTCCCGCGGCTCCGCCTTGCCGGAGCTGCCCATGACATCTTGGAGCGTGCCTGGCTACGCATTCCCCGCAGGCCCACGCGAGGCCATACCCCGAGTCCGGAAGGCTTCCTCGCGTCCCGCCCTGTCTCCTACCTCCTTCCTCCCCTCCCCCAAAGCCCTCCACGATACACCCTCCTCCCCATGCCATTCTCTCCCTCCCCATCCCCAAAGCCCTCCCCGATCCACCCTCCCCCCCATGCCCTTTCCCCCCTATCTTGCCCCTCTTTCCTCGTGACCCCTCCGTCGGTCCGTCCCCGTTCCTCCTCCATGCCCGCTCTCCACTCTTCCTGCGCCTTGCGCCCCTCCTCCTCGTCCCTCCAGGCCCCTCTATTATCCTGTCTCCCTTCTCCCCCGCTCACTCCCTCACAGCTCCCCTCCCCCCCCCCCTCCTACAGCGCACCCTTTCCTCCTACCACTTTCCACCCCCCCGCCCCCCTCCCTCCATCCTCTTCCCGCCCGGTCCGATATCCTTCGTCAACCAACCGACCACCTCTCTCCTCGCTTATCTCCCTTTCTCACCTGGCCCCGTCATCGGCCCTTGTGCCTCCTGCCTCCTCCATCCATCATCCTCATCCCTGCTGGCTCCGAACTCGCATGCACTAGAACTCTCAATCCTCGATCCAAGCTCTGAAGCCCCGTGTGCACAAAATGCCCGTGGTGACCTGCGACCAGCGTGCCGTCCAGCCAGCCGTGGGAGAGCAACAGCCTCCCCACCGCGAAAACACTATCAGCCACCCAAGATTGCTTGTGAGAGAAAAGAGGAGATGAGGAGGAGGGAGGAGGAGGAGGAGGAGGAGGAGGAGGAGGAGGAGGAGGAGGAGAACGAGGAGGAGGAGGAGGAGAACGAGGAGGAGGAGGAGGACGACGAGGAGCAGGAGGAGGAGGACGAGGAGGAGAAGGGAGGGAGGGAGGGAGGGAGGAGGGAGGGAGGAGGAGGAGGAAGAGGAAAGGGAGGAGGGGAAGGGAGAAGGACAATGAGAAGAGAGGAGGAGGAGGAGGAGGAGGAGGAGGAGGAGGAGGAGGAGGAGGAGAGGAGGAGGAGGAGGAGGAGGAGGAGGAGGAGGAGGAGGACGAGAAGAAGGAGGAGGAGGGAGGAGGAGGAGGAGGAGGAGGAGGGGGGAAGGAAGGGAGGAGGGAAGGAAGGGAGGAGCAGGAGGAGGAGGGAGGATGAGCAAAGGAAGGGGGGGGGAGAGATCGAGGAGAGAGGCCAAGAGGGCGCAGACGTCCCAAAACTTCCCCCCGGGCTCTGCCATTGAAGCGCGGACTGTGCCAGAAGCGCCCTTCCCCTTCCAACCCTTCCTGGTTTTGTCTTCGCACATGTGCGGCATGTGCGGGATCGATGCTGGGATGCCTCGGAGCTTGGAGGGCCGCGTTAGGTACCCTCCGAAAGCAGGGAAAGTTCGTCATATATGGCTCCGAGCTGCTTGATGGACTCGTCTTCGTCGTGCACTCGGCGTTTCGTTCAGCGGGAGGACGTCTGCTAATTCTGTGCAAGTCCGCGCTCTTGTCCAATCCATGATCACTCATCCATGAGACATGCATCGCGTTTGGAAAAAGAGGAGTTCCGAACAAGCGAAGCGCATAAGGCCAAGTCACCTGGTACACCTGGGATACACCCATCATCATCAGTAGCATGCCCTTTGTATTGACCATCCATCAACTCCCTAACTGGTGCCGCCTTCTTCTCAACCTCTCCTCCTCCTGGTCCTCTCCATACCCTTCGTCCCGCTCCTTCCCTCCTCCCGTTTCCTTCTCCAGCGTGCCCTTGAACTCCTTCTGGCTATCTGCACCCCACACTGCCCTCCTTCCTCCACACTCATGTGTGCCATTTCCCCCCTCCGTCCCCCGTCGATCCGTCGTAATTCCCTGCTCCCTTCTGCCCGTCCTCGATCATCTTCTTCACTCCTACCTCCCTCTGGTCCCAAGAAAGAGCGGGTAAGGCACTGAACTCAAGTGATAGCGGGGAGGAAGAACGGCCAGGGTACGGGGAAAGGAACCCCATGGGCGCATACACAATGCAAAGGGTCCGAGGAGAGGGGGGGAGGGATGGGCCCTTGAGGCAGAAGGTTACCATTAGCTAGCAATCATAAGCGGCCAGATCAGACTTCAAGCGGCCTGTCCAGCGCTCCACTCTCTCTCTCTCTCTGTGTACTCTCTCTACATTGGCCTGCTCCTGACAGGCCCCCCGATACAGTGGGGGCCCGACCACAAGAACCCTCCCACAAGAAACCCAACCCTGAATCCCCAGGAAATCCATTGATTTTGGTGTGGGAACGTCACGATTTCCATCGCAAAACCATCGGAACCCAAGAAACCCAGGGCACACTGGAGGCGAGCAGGGTGGTTCTTGGCATGTGTCTCCACTGTATCTCAAAATCTCCAGTCGGCCATTGGTGTGGAGCGGGTGGGGCGCCTCGGAGGGGAGAGGGCCCGCGGCCCCTGCAGCAAAAGAAGCAGCAGCTGAAGAATTGCTGCTACATGATGGCCCCCGACTGCCAAGACACACGCAGCATGGGCGCAGGCGCCGCTGCAACGCGCAGGGGCCGTGGTGGCCAGCATGGCCTTGTGCAGGCTGCCGTTCCTCTTCCCCGCAGTGCACGCGGATGGCAGGAGGACCGCGCTTCATCGGCCATGGCAGCGGAAGGGCGGTGCCCAAAGTGGCGCTCGGTCCCAGCCAGCTTCTCGCAGCACGTCGGGTCGCCCTTGCAAGGACTCTTTGTCTGACATGCGCCCCTGACTGGCGCCTCGTCCAGTCTGCACTGAATCAGGCAGAGGCGCGAGGAGCTCCCACTTCAGAGTGGGCGAGCGGGCAGCAGTCGGCGGAGATGCCACACTGCGTTAGCACGCGGGGAGGGCGGGACGTGGGGAAGGACGAACGAGAGCGGACCTCACCAAGAGAACGCCATGCCTCTGGAGTCCGGGGCCAGGAAGAGGCTGACAAGGGCAGAGCTCCTGTCCCTCGAGAGCTCGGTGCCTGGCTCGCCCCATGCCCACTGCTGTGGCAGGCCGGACCCGCCGCCCTTCCCACTTACGGAATTGTGAGTTACATCGACGCACAAGCAGCGTGCGCAAGCGGCAAGCGGCATGCAGGCGTCAGATGACAATATGGAGGAGGAGGAGGAGGAGGAGGAGGAGGAGGAGGAGGAGGAGGAGGAGGGGGAGGAGGAGAGAGGAGGAAGCGGAGGGGGCGCGGAAGGAAGGCGCAGAGGCGAGCAGGGGCCTGGCACAGATGCCTACAAAAAAGCGGCGAGCCCGCGGCCAGGCCCCCTCACGCGAAGGACGAACAGGAGCGGGAGGCGGACGAGAGAAGGAAGGGGAAGAGGAGGCGGAGGAAGGGACATGAGATGAGATGAGAGCAGTCGCGAAGCGACTATACAAGACACGGCCCCCTCCCTGAGCTTCGCGGAGAAGGCGACGACACGGACGGGCGCCACGACGAGAGGGAAGGGGAAGAGGAGGCGGAGGAAGGGACAGGGCAGAAGAAAAGGAAGGACGAGGAGCAGGAGGAGAAGAACGGCGAGAACGATGACCAGAGGCCTCCTAAACGGGTCGGAGCAGATGGGGTCGGGAGATCGCGGCGCATCGCCACTGCATCGGCGATGCAGCGGCGATGCATCGGCGATGCATCTGCGATGCATTGGCGATGCATCGTCGACATGGGCGATGCATCGCCGACGTCGACGTGAAGCAAATTGGGCTCCACATTGAGCCGCATCGGCGAGGCGGCGTGATCCTCTGACCCCATCTAATCCGACCCCATCTGGGAGGCCTGGAATGAGGTTGGAGAGGGTCGGGGAGGGCGGAGAGAGATGGAGAGAGAGGGACAGGAGGAGGAGGAGGAGGAGGAGGAGGAGGAGGAGGAGGAGGGGGAGGAGAAGAAGGAGTAGAGGAAGGGGGGAGGAGGGGTGGAGAGCAGTGCCCACTCCCCGGCCCCCGCGGTGCCCCTGTGCGCCAGGCCGCGGGCGGCGCAGCACGAAGCGTGCGGCGGGGTCGGTGAGGTCCACCTTCCCCCGCGCGAGCTCGCGCTGCAGCCCACCCCCCGTCCGCCTCCCAAACCCAAAGCTGTTTACCACCACCATGACCATCATCATAGCATCATCATCATCATCATCATCAGCAGCAGCATCAGCATCATCGGCATCATCACCATCATCGTCATCATCACCAGCATCATCGTCATCATCACCATCATCACCAGCATCATCATAATCAGCAACATCATCATCATCATCATCATCATCATCATCATCATCATCATCATCATCATCATCAGCATCATCATTTTCATCATCATCATCGTCATCATCATCATCATACTCATCATCATCATCATCATCATCATCATCATCATCATCATCATCATCATCATCATCATCATCATCTTCATCATCAGCATCACCACCATCATCAGCATTACCATCATCACTACTATCATCATCAGCAGCAGCTTCATCATCATCATCATCATCAGCAGCAGCAGCACCATCATCATAGCATCATCATCAGCATCATCGTCATCACCACCATCGCCATCATCATCAGCATCAGCACCACCGTCATCATCACCATCATCATCGCTCATCATCCTAATCAGCATCATCATCATCATCATCATCATCATCATCATCATCATCATCATCATCATCATCATTACCATCATCATTACCATCATCATCAGCAGCATCATCATCAGCACCATCATCATCAGCCGCATCAGCATCATCGTCTTCATCACCATCATCGTCATCCTCATCCTCATCAGCATCATCGTCATCATCACCATCATTGTCGTTACCATCATCACCATGATGATCATCACCAGCATCAGCATAATCATCAGAATCATCATCACCACCATCATCATCGCCATCATCGGCATCGTCATAATCATCATCGTCATCATCATCTCCAGCAGCATCAGGGCCCTCGGCAACAGCATACGCCTTCTCCTTAGAGGCCTGCTCCTCCTTGACCTCCCCATCCTCCTGCACGGACACCTCCACCCACTCTCTCACATCCTCCTCCTCCTCTTCCTCCTCCTCCTCCTCCTCTTCCTCCTCCGCTTCTCCTCCTCATGCGCCTCCTGCTCCTTCGGCCGCGACCATGAAACCTTGTGTTCCTCATATCGTCCGCGTCCTCTCTACCTCCATTCATTCCCACATCCTCCCGCTCCTGTCAGCCTCCGTGTTCCAGGAGGGCATCCACTGCTTGGCGCTTGGTCCCCCATCAACGTTGGTACCCAGAAGCTTATCGACTTCGACCAAGCACCTCCCTCGAGCTACTCCACCTCCTCCAAATCCTTTCAACCTCGCCATCCTCTTCTTACTCCTCCTCATCCTCCTCCTCCCGCCCCATCAGTCATAGTATGCTTCCTACTTCTGCGCACCCTCCCAATCCATCATGCCATCCCCCCGCTTCTTCGTCCCTGCATCCCTCCATCCTCCCAGGTCGACCCTCCTCTCCCCATTGCTCGATCTAGCTCCTCCTCGTCCTGCCCCACCCCCCAAAAGAGCCCAGCATCGCGTCAGTAGGCGGATCGGCCATCGAAACGGATCGGATTTGCGGGGATCGGCAGCCAAGGAGTGAGGAGTCGAATCGGTGGACATCGGCAGGCCAGGCAGGCCTCCATTAAGACGGCGGCATCCAGACCGGCACCCGAGGTCGAATCGAACCGGATCCGAAAGCCATTGGCACCGAGTCGAGCCGAATCGAATATTGTCGGAGAGTCGGCACGAGCCCCGCTTTGGACGCCCGAAATGGGTACCGAAAGAATGGGTATTATGCCCAACAACAAATGTTGTCCCAAACCAACAGCGGCCGCTGTTGGGCGGGCGGCCTCCTGTCTCGAATGGACACAGGCCGCGGCGGCGCGGCCAGCGAGTCCTGTTCAGAATGAACAGGAACTGCTGTTGGGCATAGTACCCATTCTTTCAGTACCCATTTCGGGCGTCCAGACCTGCCGCGCCCCAAAGCGGCTTTTCTCCACCCCGGGCCGGGCGGCTCGCGCTCAGCTCTTCGTGGCCCGGAGCGCCTTCAGGCGGTCCCGCACGGCTCCGCGCGCCTGCCGGCGGGGGAGGTGCAGGGGCAACGGGATGCGCAGGGCGGGGGGGCAGGGGACCGGCAAGAGGGAGGAGTGGGAGAGGGACTGGTCCAGACCCCTCGTTTGGTGACAAAAAAAACGCGGCGCGAGGTGTGTTGTTGTTGTTGTTGTTGTTGTTGTTGTTGTTGTTGTTGTTGTTGTTGTTGTCCTTGTTGTTGTTGTTGTTGTTGTTGTTGTTGTTGTTGTTGTTGTTGAATTTTCATGTTTGAATAATAATTTTTGTTGATCCACCCCCCCCACCGGTGCATATTGGCTTTCTCAATCAAAGTGTGCCCCTCGACGCTCGCACCCTGCTTTTTTTGACAAGGAGCGTCTTCCTGCTCAAACTGGGCCCCTGGCCCCCGGGTTACAACAACAACGGTTCCCGCCTGGGACTTCCTTATAATTTAGCCACGACCCCCGCTCCCGCCCGAGACTTCCTCGCATTTTATTCAGGAACCCGCTCTCGCTTGGGACGTCCTTACAATTTATTCAAGTAACGCTTTCCCGGCGCTCTGGAGTCGCGCTCTCGCTGGAGACTTGCTTGCAACTTGCTGAAGAATGGCCTTGCGTTTGATTTCCCTGTAATTTGCCCAGGCGCCGCGCTCCCGTCACCCAGGCACCCAGGAGTCGCGCCCGTTGTGGCCCCATCTGCATGCCCTTCGTGGCCCCGCTGTCGCCATTCGTGTCCCTTCTCACTGTCCTACGTGGCCCACTTGCTACCCTCAGTGGCCCCATAGTTGCCTTCTGTGGTCCCGCATTATCTGCACTTCGTGGCCCCCGCTCGTTCGCGCTCTTCGTGGCCCCATTCGCATTCCCTTCGTGTCCCCGCTGTTGCCCTTCGTGGCCTATTTCGTGTCCTTGTGGCCCTGCTGTCGTTCTCTCTCGCTGTCGCTTTCGCTCGTCGTCGCCGTCGTCGTCGTCGTCGTCGTCTTCGACGTCGTCGTCGTCGTCGTCGTCGTCGCCGTCGTCGTCGTCGTGGTCGGTCCCCTGTCTGTCCCTCCTGGGGTCGGGTCGACGGTCCGCGGCCGCCCCGCCGATCAGCGCTGCCGCTGGCCAGGCCGACGGTCCGCGGCCGCCCCGCCGCTTGCCGGGGCCTGGCCTGCAGGGAAGAAAGGTATACCCCCCAAAAGAGGTTCGATCGAAGACGAAGAGGGCGGGTATCGAAGGTTTGGGAAATACGCGTTATTGGACACTCGAACATATAAGGGCGAACGCTCTTAAAATTATTATTGTTGTTGTTGAACTCTCATTTCTGAAGAATCATTATTGTTGATCCCCCCCCGACCGGTGCACATTGTTTTTTCGATTGAAGTGCCATTCCCGGGGCTCGCATCCTGTTTTTTATTTGGGAAAATCTTGAGGATCAAACTGTGTCGTTGGCCCCCGGTTTACAACAACTACGGCTCCCGCCCGAGACTTCCTCACAATTTAGCCAGGACCCCCGCTCCCGCCCGAGACTTACTCGCGTTTGATTCAGGAATCGCGCTCTAGCTTGGGACTCCCTTCGAATTTATGATCCCGGCGCTCTGGAGTCGCGCTCTCGCTGGAGACTTGCTTGCAATTTACTGAAGAACAGCGCCCTTTCTTTGGAATCGCCTGCAATTTACTCAAGCGTCGCGCTCCCGACACCCAGGCACCCAGGAGTCGCGCTCACGCTTAGGACTCCCTCACAGATTGCATCGGAATCGGGATTTCGCTGCCCTTCGTGGCCCCGTTGCAACCCTTCGTGGCCCCTTCACTTTGTTTCGTGTCCCCGTTGCAGCCCTTCGTGGCCCCCTCGCTATGCTTCGTGGCCCCATTGCAGCCCCTCGTGGCCTCCTCACTGCCCTTCGTGGCCCCGTTGCAGTCCTTCGTGGCCCTCTCGCTTTGTTTCGTGGCCCCCTCGCTGCCCTTCGTGCCCCCGTTGCATCCCTTCGTGGCCCCCTCGCTGCCCTTCGTGACCCCATATATGTATGCCCTTCATGTCCACGGGCGCCATATGCATCTGTCTGACGTAGCCCAGTTGCTACCCTCCGTGGACCCATCGTTGCCTTCTGTGGCCCCGCATTATCAGCCCTTCGTGGCCCCCGCTCGTTCGCGCTCTTCGTGGTCCCATACGCATTCCCTTCGTGTCCCTGCTGTTGCCCTTCGTGGCCTATTTCGTGTCCTTGTGGCCCTGCTGTCGTTCTCTCTCGCTCTCGCTTTCGCTCGTCGTCGTCGTCGTCGTTGTCGTCGTCGTTGTGGTCGTCGTTGTCGCCGTCGTCGTCGTCGTGGTCGGTCCCCTGTCCGTCCCTCTTGGGGTCGGGTCGACGGTCCGCGGCCGCCCCGCCGATCAGCGCTGCCGCTGGGCAGGCCGACGGTCCGCGGCCGCCCCGCCGCTTGCCGGGGCCCGGCCTGCAGGGAAGAAAGGTATACATACCCCCTAGAAGGGGTTCGATCGAAGACGAAACCAGCGGGTATCCAGAGTTTGGGAAATAAGCGTTATTTGAGACTCGAGCAAGTAAGGGCGAATAGTCTTAAAATGATTGTTGTTGTTGTTGTTGTTGTTGCTGTTGTTGTTTTCGGCATCTGGGGGCCCTTACCGTGCCTCGGGGCCGTCAACAAAAATGATTCTGGATGAAAGACTGGTCCCGGGGAAGGGGTCAAGACCTCTGGGGGTCGACGTTGTGAGAAAATCACGACGTCGGGGGTCTTAGATCAAAGCTGAAAGGGGGGAGGCAAAATGTTGGCCGACCCGACCCAGCCAGATACCTCAAGCACCGACGGCCTGGTGGTTGCATCACCCATCCGCTCTGCCTTCGTTCGCCGCGCCTCCAGCTCCACCGTTGAGGTGTTGTGTGGCCAGAGGAGGGGGGGTCGGGAGGAGAAGAACGGGGCGGAGGAGGATGAGCAAAACACCGAAAGGGGGGAGGGAGGACCGGAGCAAGGAAGAGGAGGACGGGGAGGAATACGTAGCACCCCGCAGATGCGGATACAGTAGGGGCCCGACCACAAAAACCCTCCCACAAGAACCCAACCTTGAGACCCCAGGAAGTCGATTGCTTCTTGGCCTGGGAGCGTCACGCTTTCCATCGCGGAACCATCGAAACCCAAGAAAACCAGGGCTCCGTGGAGGCAGCAAGGCTGTCTCTTGGCACGGGCCTCCACTGTGAGCGTGAGGGGGCGGCGGCGACGTCGGCAGCCTCCGAGGCTCTGAAGAAGCCGCCCGCAGGCGCATGACTGTGATGAGCCGTACAACGCGCCCGCCACAGGCGTGGACTTTCTTGTTGAAGCAATGTGGGTGGGTCGCAGGTTGGGTCGCGTGTGGGTCGCGGGCCAGGTCGCGGGTGGGTCGCGGGGTGGGTCGCGGGAGGGTCGCGGGGTGGGTCGCGGGCGGGTCGCGGGGCGAGTCGCGGGGGGGACGGCGCCAAACGAACAAACAAACAAACAAACAAACAAACAAACACACAACAACAGCAACGACAGCACCAATCATTATAAGACAGTTCGCTCTTACTTGCCCGTGTGTCATTCAAAACGAGTGCCCCACACCCTCGATATCCGCCCTCTTCGCCTTCGATCACACCCCCTTTGGGGGGATTATTTCTCTTTGCGGGGGGCGGCGGGCTAAGACAGGCGGACAAACCTTAACAGGCGGACAATCCGTCGTGGGCGTACATGTGCCCGCCATTGGAATCGGTGTGAGCCCTGCAAAAAGAGGAGGGGAGAACGAGGGAGAGTGGGAGGAAGGGAGGGGGAAGGACTGAGGAAGAGGGAAAACGCCAGGAGAACAGGAGCGAACAAGGGGGCGGCGGATTAGAGGCAGAGAGAGAGAGAGAAAGCGAGAGACAGAGAGAGAGCGAGAGAGAGGGAGAGAGAAAACCAAACCGAAAAACAGATAAGAGAGGTAGAGAAAGAGACAGAGAGAGAGGGGAGAACGAGAGAGAGAGAGAGAAACAAGGAAAGAAAGAGGAAGGAGGCAGGAAAGGGGAGGGAGAAAGGAGGAGAGAGAGAGGAGGGAGAGGGAATAGGGCAGAGAGGCATTAGGATGAGGGAAGAGAGGAGGGAGAGAGAAGGGAGGAGAGGGAGGAGGAGCAGGACGGTAAAGGCGTGAACGTTCGAGGAAGTCCTAAGCAAAAGCGCAGCTCCTGAAAAAAAGTCTCGGGTGGGAACCCACGACGGGCGGGCGATCCCTTGACGGGCGGGTCGGGCGGGTGGGACATTCAAGCGGGATGCCTGAGTATGGCGCGTGCACGATTGCTAAGTAATGTGTAACGGCGTCCTTGGCGCAGCGTGTGTACTGAGCATTGAAAGCGCGATTTCTGAATACATTGCATGGAAGTCACAGGCGAGAGCGGAATTCCTGAAAAACATATGAAGGGTTCTCTGGTGGGAGCGGGGGCCTTGATTAAATTGCGAAAAACTCGTGGTTCAATTGCGAGGAAGTCTCAAGCGGGAGCGCCGTTCCTGAGTAAAGTGTGAGGAAGTCTCAGATGGGAGCGGGGGTCCTGACTACCTTGCGAGGAAGTTACAGGCGGGAGCACCGATCCTGAGTAAATTGTAAGGAAGTCTCAGGAGCGGGGGTCTTGAAAAAATTCGGAGGAAGGCTCAGGCGGGAGCGGTTGTTGTTGTAATCCGGGGGGCCAGGGGCCCAGTCTGAGCAGACCGACTTCCCCTGCCAAAAATAAGGGTGCGAGCGTCAAGGGGCACACTTTCATTAAGAAAAACCAGCATGCACCAGTGAGGGGGGATTAACAATCATTATTCTTCATAAATGAGATTTCAACAACAACGTCAACAACAACAACAATGATAATCCGCATCGCGGAATCCCACTTCAGCCACGCACCCAGGGACAGTGAATGACCGCTCAGCCCCCCCACTGTGACCAGAACAAGACCAAGATGCGTCGACGATGTTGCACTGCACACTCCCGCCCAAGTGCTCGCCCCTAAGGAGCACGCGCAGATTCCACTTCGCTTCATGCGACGTCCCCTGTGAAAGACTGGAGCCCCATGGGCCTACCGGTTCGTCGAAAACCACGCCATTCGATAATGTGTGTATTTCCGGCGCATCTGTTGGGCTGAGGGGGGCGAGGGGAAGGGAGAACACTTTGAAGCATATGGCGAATATACATCGGATCGCTCAATACAAAAAAACATGCATTGAATGATCCGCGATGCCCTTGAGCGATTATTATTCAAAGAACGTCGGGCCACGGTCATATGTTTCAGATATGCGGCGTCACTCATGAGACTCAGGTCGTTGGCAGGAGAGCGACCACGAGGGGGTTTTGAAACATGTGGAGGATGGACGATTGGAGATATAATTAGTGGATGTAGCAGTGCCTTGCGCTGTGTTCGAAATGTAGGAAAGCGCCTTGAGCTAAGCGCAGCATGTGCCCGCATGCATTAAAACCAATAGGTAGCTGAAGAAGGGATGCGGCATGGGCAGCGGACAGCGCCATGCGCTTTTCGCTGCGTGGCGCTCGCACACGCCGCGATGCGCGATCTAACAGCGCCATGCGCTGTGTGACGGGGAGAGGTCGTGCGTCCACGGGGCGACTATAAGCAGGGTTGAGTTCACACCTGCCTGTGCCTCATGTGTTCAGCCCTGTGCCTCACTGCCGCCGGGTTTATATACCCTGCCGCCCATGCCTCATGGGATTGGTGGCGACAGCTTCGCAGATCGCAGCCCCCAGGACGGCGAGGTCTCATGGTGGTCCCAGTGGGACACCCCCCGTTGGACCTCACAGGAGCCCACGAAAGCTGCGACTGTTTCGCAAACCGCAGCCCCCCAGGGACGACGAGGTCTCATGGTGGTCCCCGTGGGACACGACACCCCTCCGCTGGACCTCCAAGAAGCCCAAGAAAATGGCGAGAGCTTCTCAGATCACAGCCCTCCAGGGACGACGAGGTCTCGTAGTGATCCCCGTGGGGCACCCCTCCGCTGGACCCCTAGGAGCCACGAAAGTGGCGACAACTTCGCAGATCGCAGCCCCCCAGGGACGGCGAGGTCTCGTGGTGATCCCCGTGGGACACCCCTCCGCTGGACCTCCCAGGAGCCGAAGAAAGCTGCGACCGTTTTGGAAACCGCAGCCCCCAAGGGACGACGAGGTCTCATGGTGGTCCCAGTGCGACACCCCCCCGCTGGACCTCCGAGGAATGTGGCGCTGGCTTTGCAGATCGCACCCCCCCCAGGGACGGCGAGGTCTCATGGTGGTCACAGTGGGACACCCCCCCGCTGGACCTCCCAAGAGCCCACGAACGCCGGACAACTTCGCAGATCGCAGCCCCCCAGGGACGGCGAGGTCTCGTAGTTATCTGCGTGGGACACCCCCCTGCTGGACCTCCCAGGAGCCCACTAAAGTGGCAACAACTTCACAGATCGCAGCCCCCCAAAGACGGCGAGGTCTCGTGGTGATCCCCGTGGGACACCCCTCCGCTGGACCTCACAGGAGCCCAAGAAAGTGGCGACAACCCCGCAGATCGCAGCCCCCCAGGGACGACGGCGAGGTCTCGTGGTGATCCCCGTGGGACACCCCCCCCGCTGGACCTCCCAGGACCCCACGAACGTGGCGACAGCTTCGCAAACCGCACCCCCCCAGGGACGCAGCGAGGTCTCGTGGTGATCTGCGTGGGACACCCCTCCGCTGGACCTCCCAGGAGCCCACGAAAGCTGCGACAGTGTCGTCGCAGATCGCAGCCCCCCAGGGTCGGCGAGGTCTCATGGTGATCCCCGGGGGGCACCCCTCTGCTGGACCTCCCAGGAGCCCAAGAATGTGGCGAGAGTTTCGCAGATCGCACCCCCCCAGGGACGGCGACGACTCATGGTGGTCCCAGTGGGACATCGCCCCCGCTGGACCTCACAGGAGCCCACGAAAGCTGCAACAGTTTCGCAAACCGCAGCCCCCCAGGGACGACGAGGTCTCGTGGTGGTCACAGTGGGACACCCTTCCGTTGGACCTCCCAAGAGCCCACGAACGCCGGACAACTTCGCAGATCGCAGCCCCCCATGGACGGCGAGGTCTCGTGGTGATCCCCGTGGGACACCCCTCTGCTGGACCTCCCAGGAGCCCACGAAAGTGGCGACAGCTTCGCAGATCGCACCCCCCCCGGTACGGCGAGGTCTCATGGTGGTCACAGTGGGACACCCCCCTGCTGGACCTCCCAGGACCCCACGAAAGTGGCAACAACTTCACAGATCGCAGCCCCCCAGGGACGGCGAGGTCTCGTGGTGATCCCCGTGGGACACCCCTCTGCTGGACCTCCCAGGAGCCCCAGAAAGCCGCGAGAGTTTCGCAGGTCGCAACCCCCAAAGGACGACGAGTTCTCATGGTGGTCCCAATGGTACACCCCCCGCTGGACCTCCCAGGAGCCCACGAAAGTGGCGACAACCCCGCAGATCGCAGCCACCCAGGGACGGCGAGGTGGTGATCCCCGTGGGACACCCCTCCGCTGGACCTCCCAGGAGCCGAAGAAAGCTGCGACCGTTTTGGAAACCGCAGCCCCCCAGGGACGACGAGGTCTCATGGTGGTCCCAGTGCGACACCCCCCGCTGGACCTCCCAGGAGCCCAGGAAAGCTGCGACAGTTTCGCAGATCGCCCCCCCCAGGGACGGCGAGGTCTCGTGGTGATCCCCGTGGGACACCCCTCCGTTGGACCTCCCAGGAGCCCACGAATGTGGCGAGAACTTAGCAGTTTAGCAGACCGCGGGCACGAGGCAGGAGGCAGAAGCCAGGCGAGAGGAGAGGGGAAGAGGAGGGAGAAGAGGGGAGGCGGGAGGAGGGGAGGAGGAGGAGGTGGAGACCACAGTGGTCTGCTCAAAACGAGAACTCAACCAAGGAAGGGTTGGGAACGAATGCCATAATCATAAGCTGTTGGCACTCCGCATTGAACGCCATCAGTTAATGTTTACAGCGCTGTTTCTTCTTCGAGACTTCGGACACCCAAACATGTTATCATCTCTTGGGGGCGCATCTCTTACTTCCGCCGCCTTCCGTCGAAATTCTGCCAGCTTCGGCCAGCGGAGGCGGCCTCGTTTTACTTCCGCCGACCTTCCGCCGCCTTCCGCCGCAGAAGAGATGACAACCCCTTCTATCCTCGAAGGCAAGGCACTTCTTGGGAATGTCCAGCGTGGTGCGGGAGGGGCGAATGGATCTAGCACCTGCGGTTGGTCCACACCCCACGCCATGAAATCACGCGAGGGTGCTCTCCCCCAGGATGCACCAGAACATCCAACAAACACGAAGGAATTAGGGTACTATCCTCCCTCCCCCCAACAAACACAAAGAACATGAGGTTTTCCTCCCCGAACCAACCTCGACCTTACACCTCGGGCCGACCGTACCGGATGCAAGATCTGGACTGGCCACCCCGAGGTCGCGCTGTGGGGCTGGGCCCGCCTCTTCGGGCCAGCCCAAGATCCGGAGCCTCGGGTAATGCAAGCTACGATTAGGTCGGGCATGTCCTCTACAGGCGGATTTTGGACGACAAACAAAGAATACCCCACACAAACTCAAAAAATGGTCAACAAATAATCGGAACACCGTCCCCACACAACCGTTTGACTATGTTTGGATCTTCCTCCTGTAGAGGGGTATGCCCGACTTAGAGCTACGAGCCCTTGGCCGGATTGATGCCGACAACAAGCAGACGATGAATATTCGAGTTGCGTCGACCGTGCCGCCAAGTCAGTGGGAGACACGGAGGTGGACGAGGATGTAGGAGAAGCCTGAGGAGGACGAGGGGGAAAGAGGAGATAACGAGTCAGAGGACAACAACGGAAGTGTGGCGAAAAGAAAAGGAAGAGGACCTGCAAGAACCACGAAGAGCCCCACAGAACGCACTACCGCCTAAAACCATCTAAGACATCGACCTCGTCGTCGTCCCTCGTCCTTCTCTTCGGCAGAGGACGCATGAGGAAGAAAATTGCTTGCCACTTGCCGCGGCCGGCCCCACCTGCTGGCGCGCTTGGCCGACGGTCTCCCGGCACAGCGCGGTCTGCTCTCGGAGCCAGTCCTGGTGCGCCAGGTCCTGGGTGAGCTTCCAGAAAGGCAGCCACTCCTCCCTTCTCCAAGCCCTCATCCCTCCCCCACCTCCCCTCTGTCCACATGTGATGATCATTGATTTCCTGCTCGGCCAAGGCATGACTGTCATGTAATCCACACCGTGCCTTTAAGTCGTGTTCAGCATGATGGGCCCGCCCTATGCTGAGGTACATCGTCTCGGTTTCAAGGGGCCTTCGCTGGTCCTACTGCCGCGAGGGCAGACTCTTTCCTCAGAGGTCCTCGGGCCGATCATCCTCTTCTCATTCTCACTCTCGGCTCCCCGGTGAAGCCAATAATACATCTGGCTGCCTGATCATACTTCGAGCCCATGTCTTGATCCGAAGCAAGCCAGTTTCTGTCAGTGAGAGGAGGTGGATTTCCGATGCGCTCCTCAGCAACGCTCTGGACTCGTATCGCAGACTGCTATCCTGTGACGCTCAAAGCGTTTCTAGAACCTCTCTGAAACCTCCAGGGAAATATCCACTCGAGGTCGCAAGACTTTCTAACAAAACATCGGCATCACAAACAACGCGGACTGGGCAGATCTTGACCTGTATGACAAAGGGAGACGCGTTTGGAGCCATGGAGTGGGGCGACCAGTTCCAGCCGCCAAGTTCCATCCAGCAAGGGCATTACCCAGCCCACGCCCCTGATTTCCCATGTTTACGGGGGAGGGGAGAGAGCAGCAGCAGGAGTGGGAGCGGGAGGAGAACGAAGCTCAGGGCCCCCGATCGTAACTACAGAAGTGCAAGGGGCCCATGGACATGCAATTGAAATATACACGTATCGAACGTTTACATGTATATGCATGTGCGTATGTCTGTATATCTGTATGCATGCATGCATGTGTGCATGCATGTCTGTATGTATATGTGCATGCACATAAATATGCAGATGTATGTGTAAGTACAGTTTACACATGTTTTATAAGGGGTTCGTATTCCCCTTCATTTCCAATGGGTTCCCGCATTTCTTTGGGAATCGACCATTCTGAGTGTCTGTGTTTGTTTTCCCTCCTGAATTCTTACACAAGTCCATGGTGGCGCAGCATGAAGGGTCGCCTGCGCAGTTGCATGCGTACGCTGGCGCTGACGCACGCCTGAAGCACGCTGGCGCTGACGCGCGCCTCCCTCTGGAACGGCCTCTTTCACGCGCTGGCCCCCGTCAACTGTATCTCGTGCCACTCCTTCACGAGAGCTTTCTGCAAAACTCGGCCAGACCAGCCCTAACCTGCAACTGCCTTGAGCGCACTCGTCAGAGCACGTCGCCGCTTCAGCGTTCGATACCAAAACTCACCGACTCGTGTTTGACTGCATTTTTCATCCATCCGTAAAACGAACTCCGCCTCCACCCTGCCCTTCCTCTACTGCCGTGCGACGCGAATAATCGCCAGGCAAACTGTATGCAAACCACGAGACGACCTGCGATAGGCAGACTCATGAGGTGAACTTTTCCTTGGGAAAAAGGCAGAGATATGGAAATACACAAAACACAAACAACGAACGCGTGATACGGAACGAAACCGCCCCTTCCGCGCGCCGGCTGCAGGCCAGAGGATACGTAGAACGCGAGCCCCGCCTGAAGGGGCACTATCTGCACTAAAGTGGGCAGTAAGGTTTCCAACGATAAAACAACCTTATCGGCCGCCTGGGCAAGCGTCACCAACATGTGGCCGCAGCTATGTGGCCGCAGGTCGGTGGACGAAGCAGGACCTCAAGTATGTAGCTGGGGGCAGGCGCAAGCTATCCTGTCCCGACACGGAGGCCGATATCTGGGATGTCGGTAGGAGCGCAAGGACGGAGAAGAATATGAGAGGGGAGGAGGAGGAGGAGGAGGAGGAGAAAGATGAGGAGAACTAGGAGGAGGAGAAAGAGGAGGAGGAGGAGGAGGAGGTGGAGGTGGAACTTGGGATTCAGCGTCGCGAATGCATGGGCCAGCTGGGGCTGCACCCAGAGTGCGCGCACGTAGGTCCCGCGCGAGGAGGGGAGAGGAGGAGGAGATAAGGAATAGGAGGAGGATGAGGAGGAGGAGGAGGAGGAGGAGGAGGAGGAGTTAGAACGAAAGAGAGGGGACACGAGAGCTCGCAGGCAATGACTACAGAAATCTCTGGATCCGCACAGAAGGGGGTGCAGGGGGACGGGAGCCCTTTCAGCGAACCGCCCTTGACGCCCCGAGGTTGGAGGACGCCACGCCCAAGATCATTGGGGCAACGCGGGGGTGAATCTTTGCCTGGCGAAGGACCAAACCATATGCAGCTGCGAAAACCGCGAGGGCAATGATATGAGACGAGGGGCGCGTAAAATCCGAGTAGCTCCCACAGGCAGCGCGCCGCAGGAACAACGAGGCGCGGGGCAGCGCGGGCAGGGGTGCGGAGGGAGGGATGGGGGCGGAGAAGCGGTGCGGGATGGTTGGCTCTCAGATGTTTCCCTCTGTGTGAGCTCGCGCCCTGGTGGCCGCGGCTCTGGGCAGAGCACAGCAGCGAGGGGTCCCAGCGACGCGCGCCAGTTGCACCGCAGGGGTCCAGGCGACGCGCGCGGGTCGCCCGCTGCGCGGAGCAAAGATAGCGAGCTGGCTGGCCGACAGCGGGCCAGGCGCTGTCGCTAGGCAAAGCGTCGCCGGGCGAGCGAGGCGCTGTGCGGAACGCAGCACGGAGTCCCTAGAGCCCTAAGGCCCTAGGGGGCAGCGAAACGTGACAGTGGAGTGCCGGAGTGAATGCCTGGGGCGCATGCGGGGTGCGCCACTGGGGCCTTCGGTGGGACTCCCTACGGGACCACGAAACGTGTCAGAGGTGTGCCGAAATAAGCGGTTTGGGCGCATGCGGGCGGCACCATTAGGGCCTTCGGTGGAGCTCCATATGCGGCAAATAAACATGTGAGGAGTGTGCCGAAATGAGCGACTGGGGCGCATGCGGGCGACGCCACTTGGGCCTTCGGTGGAGCTCCCTATACGCATGTGGGCGGCGCCACTGGGGCTTTCGGTGGAGCTTCCATGGGGCCACGAAACGTGTGAAAGGTTGGCAGGTGGGACGCATGCGGGCGGCACCACTGGGGTCTTGGGTGGACCTGCCCAGGGTGCCGCGAAACGTGTGAGGTGTGTGCCGACATGAATGCCTGGGACGCATGCCGGCGGTATGAGGCCACGAAAACGTGTGAGGTGTGTGCCGAATTGAACGGCTGGGACGCATGCGGGCCAAGCTTTGTGGTGTTCCCAAATGGACCAAACATTTGGGGCCCCCCACCCTTGGATATACGATGGGCGGGCGTCCATCTTCGATATTGGGTGGGTCCGAATATCCCCTTTGGCGTGCATCCCATGGTTTTCCTTCTTTTCTGTGGCCGACAAGGTGGGGGGTATGGAAGAGAAAAGTCGCCTGCGATGGATGGGGAGACGTGGTGAGGAGGAGGCTGGGCAAACCAACAGGTACTGATACCGCTGCTCCCCGGGCCTCTCCTGGAGAGCGCGCTGACCAGGATTTCGGGGCGAGTCCGGCGGTGGCGACGAGAGCCTCCAAGGAGCCCCAACTAAGGGGGAAACGAGGGAAGGGTGGAGGTAGTTATGGGTACCTTGTCCACCTCTGAGGAGACAGAAATGGACATGGAAACGGTGAGTTCTGTTCGTGAAGCGAAAGGATGAAGGAAAGAGGTGTGCGTCCTCTGGCTAGTTTCTCCGAAAACGAAAGGACCTTTGGCCAAAGACCACCTCCAATGCTGCTTAAATATTCATTGCGTGTCTTCTGACGCTGTTCCATGCAAGGCTTCCATGAGTTCCTGACCTCTTGGGCAACGAAGTAACCACAGGAACATTGAACCCCTTAGCGACCCCTTTTAAGACACCGTCTAAAGACACACGCTCCCAGACATGCGGCGTCCTGATTGTTGCAGGACGGCGTCCCTGGAAGTCCCGACTCTTTCCCTAGGACTGGTTTTTCATCCCGAGTCGTTGCTTGACGGTCCCGGGGCCCAGCGAAGGCCCCCAAGGGCAAGAAACTAATGAAAAGCTTGCCGCCCTGATTTGCTTGACGACGCGATCATGTCTGGGAACAAGACGAATTCGACAAGCGGATTTGGAGTCCCGAAACGGTGCGGTGACAGAGCGCGCGATGACCTCGAAATCCCCCAAAACCTCACCGCACGGTCCGTCACCGCACGGTCTTGGGACCCCCGAGGCCACCGTCCTCGAAGAACGACCCGAGTCCCAAGACCGTGCGGTGACCCCGAATCCCCACCGACTCACCGCACGGTGTGGTCACCGCCCCGTGTGGGGCCCCCGCGAGGAGCCAGGAGGCGGAGGCCGCCGCGCTCCTCCGCCGTGGCCCGGGAGCGCTCGAACGGTGCCGTCATCGGCGTGCGCTGCGCCGCGCACGCCGATGACGCGCGCTCTGGCGCCGCGGGGCGGTCGGCGGCGCCCTGGCGCCACGGGAGGGAAGCCCAGGGCCCAGGGGGAGGAGGAGGAGGAAGAGGAGGAGGAGGAGGAGGAGGAGGAGGAGGAGGAGGAGGAGGAGGAGGAGGAGGAGGAGGAGGAGGAGGAGGGGGAGGGGAAGGAGGGAGGAGGAGGAGGAGGAGGAGGAGAGGAGGAGGAGGGAGGAGGGAGGAGGAGGAGGAGGAGGAGGAGGAGGAGGAGGGAGGAGGAGGAGGAGGGGCAGGAGGGGGAGGAGGAGGAGGAGAAGGAGGAGGAGGAGAAGGAGGACGAGAGGAGGAGGAGGAGGAGGAGGAGGAGGAGGAGGAGAGGAGCAGGAGGGGGGAGGGGGGGGGATCTGCCGGAAACCTTCCCGCTCCCGGTGCTGCCTCCCCGTGCCTCCTCCTTCCGCTCCTGGTTGCACATCGTGCTCCTGCTCCTGCTGCTCCTGCTGTCCCCGTGCTCCTCTCCACTTCCGCCTCCTCCTCGTGCTCCTGCCCCTGCTCCCGCTGCTCGTCCAGCTCCGGCTCGTCTTCCCTCTTTTGTCTCCTGCTACATGCGGACTCCTCGTCCCCCTCCTCTGCCTCCTGCTCCGCCTCATGCGACCCTTCCGCCGCGGGCCTCCCGCCATGGCTCGTTCCCCCCCCCCTCCCTTCTCCGCTTCCCCGATTGGGCTCATCTCTGGTGGGCTGCAATGGGGCTCGACCACAAGAAACCTTCCACAAGAAACCCAACCCTGAGACTTCAGGACCTCCATCGACTTTTGGTGTGGGAGCGTCACGCTTCCCATGGTAGAAACATCGAAACCCAAGCAACCCAGGGCACCCTGGAGGCAGGCAGGGTGTTTCTGGGCATGGGCCTCCACTGCATGGCTCGTTTACACCGCCCCTTCTCAGATTGGGCTCAACTGTGGTGGCATATTATCTCGCAAGGGGAGACCCAACCATCCCCACAAGGAGGAGAGGAGGAGGAGGAGGCGGAGGAGGAGGAAAAGGAGGGGGAGGGGGGGGAGGGGAAGGAGGAGGAGGAGGAGGAGGAGGAGGAGGAGGAGGACGAGGAGGAGCAGGACGAGGAGGAGGAGGAGGAGGGGGAGGAGCAGGAGGAAGAGGAGGGGACTCAACGATGCATACAAATGGGGAGGAGGAACTGGAGAGATGAAGAGGACAATGTGCTCCGCCAGCCCCACAAGTGCGTGGGCCACCAGTCTGCGAGGCTCGGGCACTTCTGCTCTCTGCGCCATGACCAGCTTCCAGTCTCCAGTGTTGTAGTATTAGGTCGGGCATGTCCTCCGACACGACGATTTGAAACGAGAAACAAAAAACAGTCAAGCAATGCTCAAGAAATGTTCAAAATCATAGAGAAACGTCCCCACAGTATTTTTGACTAGTTTCGGAGATTCCTCCTGTAGAGGGACAGGCCCGGCTCATGAACGATGTGAAAGTTTACTGTCCGCGCGAAGGCGGGAGGACGAACGCCGCCCTGAGGAATCTCGTCGCCCGAACTTCTGGGGTGGGCCTGGACCACGTAAATGTATGGCAAGCGGACCCTCCAGAGACTTGAGTCCCTCGTGGATTGCCCCAGACTTGCGTCCCCGTGGCCAGAACCCAACGCAAATCACACCAGCTTCGCGCCCCCGAGGCCAGACCCCGTGGCAACTGCAAAAGATGGGCGATTCCAGGGCCAGATCCCGTTGTCAATTACCCTGGGTTCGCGCTCCCGAAGCCTGAACCCACTTGCAGGTTACGCCAAATTTGCGCGCCCGAAGCCAGCATCCAACATTGCGCCAGACTCACTCCTGACTTTCAAACCTTATGAAAATCACATTTGACTCGCGCTCCCGAGGCCAAGATCCCTAGTGACTTACGCCAGTCTCGCGCTCAGGAGGCCAGAATCTGCAAGAAGTTGCACAATCATCGTTGGCAAATTATGCAAGAATCATCGCCCCCCCGTAGCCAGAATCGAGTGTAAATCAAAGATTGTGCTTAATTCGCGCTCCAGGAGGCCAGAAGCAGTAGCAAATTACCCCAGATTCGGGCTCCCGATGACATAATCCTTTTTGTTAATTACGCCAGACTTGCGCCCCCGAGGACACGATCCCTTGCAACATGTATGAGAGTCGCGCTCTGAATAGCAACCAGGGCGTTCAGTTCCAGCATCTCGAGGTGCTTCCTGATTTCCAATCGCCCTCGCATGATGTTCACACAAGTTCTCGGAAAACAGAACCGACGCGTCCCAACATACAGTCGGGCCTGGGCCAGAAGAAAGAACATCCCCCAAGAACGAACCCCCGCCAGCTAGCAAAAAACATCACATCCAAGGGTCACCCTCCCCAAGGTGCACAAGAAAAACATCACGGGGAAACCAAGAAGTACCGATACCGCTACCCCTCGGTCCTCTCCTGGGGTGCGTTCTGATCAGCATTTCGAAGCGAATCCAGCGGTGGGGGACGAGGGCCTACAAGGAGGCACAAAAAGGGGTAAACGAGGGAAGGGTATAGGCATGGGTACCTTTTCTAGAAGAAGAAGAAGAAGAAGAAGAAGAAGAAGAAGAAGAAGAAAAAGAAGAAACCACCATAAGCATAAACTCTTGGCGCTACGCGCCGATTTCTTGGATTCGGGCTCGGCACCCCTGGCGGCGCCTCCGGCGCCGCCCCTGGCGCGCTCAGCGCGCCAGGGAGGGGGGTCCAGCGCAGATACAACAAATCCGCGCGGAACGCCGAAAGTTTATGTTTATGCCGTTTTTTCTCCTTCGACTTGCCTCCTCTGACATTGGGGTACCCTCCCCGAGACGGCCTCGATCTTCTACCTCGACCCGGATGTAGCTCTGACGTCTCCCACTCGGATGGAGAGGGGGCCAGCGGCAGAGGGCGGAGCCCTGACGGACTGTATGCTAAGAACGAGACCGGAGGGGCAGAGGGACACACAGGAACGGCACGGGGGGGCTGCAACAGTAGGAGCAGTGCGAGAAAGAGGGCGGGCAGGATAGAGAGCAGAGCATCCACCCTCAGAACCATCCCCCGGACACGCGAAGCCGTTCAGTAAACGCACCCAAAGAAGTAATGGAACAGGGCAGGCCTGTTGAGTAAACGCCCAGGGCGGTCTAGAAAATGCCAAGTATCGGGTTCGGGACTTTTTACCTCCAGTGACAAGAGGAACAAGACTACAAAAAAGCCAACAGCCGTCTTGCGAACATGCGATCTGACAAGCGGCTCTGAACCTCATACGTACTTCTCCCTCCCCTTTGTACCCACCCACTGAATCTATGATCGACCCCCATTTTCGGGGGTCTTCTTTTCATGCCAGTTCTTGAGAGAAGCATGCCAGACTTGACTACGTACCAGTCCACCCCAACCCAACCCGAATTTCGTCAGAATTTCGGGTTTGGGGGGGGACAGGTTCCATATGTGTTTTTCAATGTTTGTCGAGCCCTCCCCACTGGAAATGGAGGTCAAAATGAAGCCTTCGGGTTTGGTTGGTGTGGATTGGTGGGTGGTGACTACTCGCACCACGCCGCCATGCCGCCGTGCGAGCTCACACGCCCGCGGGCAACTCTCGGGCGAGAGCGCCTTTCCTGAGTTTGGGGTTCTCCCTGGCAGGGGCGTCCAGGAATACGGCAGGTTCGCGTCGTGACGACCCTGGCGTTGGTTTCTGACACCAAGTGGGTCGTTCCATCGTTCAACATCGACCGACTCTGGGTCGCCGCCAGCGTTCAACGTTGAACGCCGCCGGCGGGGTCAACGCCGGTCGACACGACGCGAACCTGCCGTTAGCTTTGAGAAAGCATCGAGCGGGAACCATTTTCGTCGTAGCTGGGCCTTCGCCAGGGTCAGGGAGGATGCGAGGAAGCCTCGGGGCCACGGCGCCGCTCCCGAGTGCCAGGGCGCGCGCGGAAAAAAATGCGAGGGAGCATCGACAGGGGGCCGATGCTATTACAGCTGGGCCCTCGCCGCTTGGAACACATGCGAGACGGCCTCGAGCGGGAGCGCCGTTCCCCCCCCCCCCAAAAAAAGGGGGACCTCTCTGGCCAAAGCGGCTAGGAGTAAGTGGCGAGGAAGTACGAGACGGGAGCCACTGTCGTCGGGGTTGGCCACCACCAATTCGAATTAATTACGCGGCAGCCTTGGGCGAGACCGCAATTCAAAAGTTGGGCAGCTTTTCTGGGGTTAACGATTCATCTGGTGGTCAGAGAACTTGGACTGTGGGTCAAGATAACCTCTTCCAGGCTCTGTGCGAGGGTTGTGCCAGCACTGTCCATACAACCCACCAACCACTAGTCAATCAGCCAACTGACCAACCAGCCCGCCAACCAACCAACGAGGCAACGAACCAACCAACCGACTTCTCAACCTGGAGCCATCTTTTTGTCCTAGCAACTGGATGGCGACAACGACGATGGCGACGACAACGAACACGACGACGACGGCAACGGAAAATAATGGTATTGAACCGGGTGGGATGTCGAATGGGATGCGATGGGAATGGAACATATGTGAATGAAACGGGTTGAAATAGACCGGAACGGAACCAGATAAGGAACACCGACGGCCTGTGGTGGCTCCGTTCCGATCCGTTCCATTTCAGTCTCACCCATATCATCCCAATACATTCGATTACGTTCTATACTACCCCATCGCGTCGCATCACATCCCATCCCGCCTTATCCCATCCCAGCCCACCCCGTTCTATTGCATTCCGTCGTCGGCGCCGACGTCGGCGTCGTCGTCGTCAACGTCGTCGTCGTCTTCGTCGTCGTCATCGTCGTCTTCGTCTTCGTCGTCGTCCTCGTCGTCGTCGTCTTCGTCGTCCTCGTCGTCGTCTCGTCGTCATCGTTTTCTTTGTCGTCCGTCGTCCATCGTCGTGCGTCGTCGTCGTCAGCGGCGCTGCCACGCGGCAAGTCAAGTAATTGTATCCCTCTCGGCATGCTCACGTAGCGAGTAGAATAGGATTGCATTGTTCCGCCATCCGGCGTGGACACGTGAAGAGTACAATGGAATAGTATCGTCAGGCTCTCCGGCGTTGCCACGTGGCGAGTGGAGTGGCACTGTATGTGTCTCGGCCCCCGCGACGATGCCACGTGACGAGTCGAATGAAATACTCGTATTTCGCCCTCCCCCCGAGCGTTCCCAAGTGGCGAGAGCAGTGGAATAGTATGTTTGGTTCGACCCCCCCAGCGTTGCCACATGACGAGTAGAGCGAAACAGTATTGCTGTTCGCCCTGCGGGCGCTACCACGTGGCCAATAAATTGGAGTGGTATGTTTGGCTGCCCCGAGGCGTGGCCATGTGACGTGTAGGATGGTCCGTGGCATCTGCGTTGTGTTGAACTGCATTGCGTCGGATTTCATTGGCATTGAACTGCGTCTGAATAGCATTACATGCAGCACACTGCGTTGCATTGCGCTCGCATTTTTTCACCGCAGCAAACACCCGCCAACCTCCACCCCTGCTCCGATATCGTATTCAATCCGCTTCCCCTCAACGGGGCGATCACAACACTCATCGTACGGCTGCGAGGCTCTATAGCGGCAGAAATCGAGAGTGACAAATGGCAAGTAGAGGAATCTGAGCACAGGGGTTCGCACGTCCTCCAAAAGGGGTATCCGGGCAACTCCACCTCAGGAGTCCCCCATGCCAAATGAGCAATGACGGCGGCCACAGGGATAAGAGGGAAGGGAGGAGGGGGGAAGGAAGTATTAGAGCATTGTGAGTGCCAGTTCCACACGATCCGAAGGACCATTAATATAACCTGGCATCACACAACACCAATCAACGAGCCGACTCAAAGCACAATGCATGGCAGAAGGCTGGACTATATCCCGAACTCCAGACACGACGGGCGAAGAGGGAAATCAAATGTTGGGTGCACACACTCGCCAACTACGGTGCCCTGCAAGCGTGACGCTGCTCCGCAACGGCTCACAAGGTCAAGCCTGGACAGCGAAAGCGACCCAGGGTCGGCCAGCAGACGCAATTGCACAAGAATTCGGTTACAGACGCCAAAGTGGCAACCAGCCAACCGATCACCCAACATACCAGCCTACGTACCTACCAACCAACCAGCCAACCAACCAGCCAGCCAGCCAGCCAACGAACCAACCAGCCAGTCCTCTCAGTGGCATTGCTTAGGATGTCCCTGTCTGCGGGGCCGGGGTTCGATGTTTCAACCCAGCAGCCAGCCAGCCAGCCAACCAACCAGCCAACCACTCCAGAAATAGTTTGTCCCATCCAGCCTGTGGTGTCAGGCCCCCGTTTTGAAGGGCCAGCGCCCAACGTCTCAGTCCCTCCTCCACCCCCCTTCCTCCCTGCTCCCATCTTTGCTTTTGCCCTCCGCGTGTCAACCATGACGGCACACCCCTCACACGTTTCGTGGCCCCATACGGAGCCCCAGCGAAGGCCTCAGTGGCAGGGTCCACATGCGGATCCCCGCCATTTCAGCATATCCGTCACAAGCTCCGTGGCCTCATAGGGTGCTCCACCCAAGGCCCCAGTTTCCCCGCCCACCGCGTGTCACTATCAGCGCACCCCTCACGCGTTTCGTGGCCCCGCCAGGCACTCCGCCGAAGGCCCCAGTGGCAGGGTCCACATGCGGCTCCCCGCCCACAGCATGTGGATTTCGGCACACACACACACCCCTCACGCGTTCCGTGGCCCCATAGGGGAGCTCCCCCGGAGGCCCGACTGGCAGGGTCCACATGCGGCTCCCCGCCCACCGCATGCCCATTTCGACACACCACTCACACGCTTCGTGGACCCATGGCTCCACCGAAGGCCCCAGTGGCGGTGTCCACACGCGGGCCCCCGCCCACCGCGTGTCTTCTTCGGCGCGCCCCTCACACATTTCGTGGCCCCATCGGGGAACCACCTAAGGCCCCAGCGACAGGGTCCACATGCGGCTCTCCGCCCACTGCGTGTCCATTTCGCGCACCCCTCACACGCTTCGTGGCCCCATGGGAGACTCCAGCGAAGACCCCAGCGACGGGGTCCACATGCGGCCCGTGGCCCACCGGATGCCCATGCCGGAGCACCCCACACACGCTTCGTGGCCACACAGGGGGCTCCACCGGAAGGCCCCAGTGGCAGTGTCCACGTGCGGCTCCCCATCCACCGCATGCCAATTTCGTCGCACACTTCTCACGCTTCGTGGCTCAATAGCAAGCTCCCTTTCAAGCCCCAATCGAAGGGTCCACAAGGTGACAAAGGCGCCGGAGGCGCCGCCAGGGGGGTCCAGCGTCGATCCGAGAAATCCGCGCGGATCTCCGAGCTGGTATGTTTATGTCATTATTCGTTCCCCTAGTTAGGGGGGCGATCTCAAATTCCTGGGGGCACGGGCTTTCGGCGATCGGGCGGGGGAGGGGGAGTCCTTAAAATTCCAGGGGGCGCAGCAGTATGCTCGACCCGAAAGTGCGACAATATATAGCGACGCGAGGAGGGAGGGAGTGAGGAGGAGGATGAAGACGAGGACGAGGAGAACGAGGACGACGGCAGAGACGAGGGCAAGGAAGAGCAGGAGGACGAGAAGAGATAAGAATGGAGACTACGACGAGGACGACGACGAGGACCGCAATGACGACGACGAAAACGGAGAGCATGACGACGAGCCCATCGACGACAACGACGACGACGACGGCGACGACGACGGCGGGGACGCCATGGCGCGGCGTACGCACGGTCGCCGCGTCGCGACTGGTGGCGGCGAGCTGATGTCCCCTTCGGTCCAGCAACTGCGGTGCACGTCCCTCCGCTGGTGCGCGTGCTCGACGACAGGCGGTCACTTCGCATGCTGTTCTCACAGGTGTGCTCAAGGGAGCAACTGCAGAAGGACGAGGGGGAAAAGGAGGAGCAAGCGGGAGGGGAGGAGAACAAATCATGCGCCAGAAACCCGGGTGGAACAGGGCCCTTGGGAGGAGAAGATGAGCGGCATGAGCATGATGAAGCACCCTCCCGCTGGGCCTGCGAGGCCTGCGCCACCTCCGCGGGCACCATGCCAGCAAGGACCTCGGGTTCCGCTGGCTCACGCGGCATGACATCCGCACTACAAGCATCATTGCTAAGAAATCCTTACTGGGGTGGGCCTTACTAACGACTCTTGCCGAAAACCGAAAAGCATCCTTACCAAGGAACCATCATTACATGAATCGCTGTACTAAGCACGCCTTACTAATCACACGAGAGCATATGAGAGAGAGCAGTCTCGACATGATTGTGGTTGATGTTCTCGTTGTCGTTGTCATCGGAGATGTCGTCGTCGTCGTCGTCGTCGTCGTCGTCGTCGTCGTCGTCGTCGTCGTCGTCGTCGTAGTCGCTGCCCGACGGCTCCGTTGCCGGCGCCAACGCTCGCTGTCGTCGGTTACCACTGTCGAGAGGGGATGGGCGGGGGGGAGGGGGGGGGGAGACCCAGTTCGACACCCCCCCGTCCATGCAATTCAAGCGAGGGGGGGGCGGTTCGAGCCCGCAACGCCCCTGCAATTCAGGGCGGGAGAGGAGGAGGAGGAGGAGGGGAGGAGGAGGAGGAGGAGGAGGAGGAGGAGGGAGGGAGGAGGAGGAGGAGCAGGGAGGGAGGAGAGGGGGATTGGAGGAGGAGGAGGAGGGGGAGGAGGAGGAGGAGGACAAGGAGGAGGAGGAGGAGGAGGAGGAGGAGGAGGAGGAGGAGGAGGAGGAGGAGGGGGAGGAGAAGTAGAAGGAGGAGGAGGAGGAGGAGGAGGAGGAGGAGAAGGAGGAGGAGGAGGAGGGGCTGGCGGGTTCGAAGGCCCCCCCCTTCTCAGCGTCCGCAGATCGCGCTCTTCCCGAACTCCCACAAGATCGGGCAACGGAGGCAACGCTGGACGCAGTCCTCGCCTGCGGCGCCACCCAGCCGGCAAGGGCGTCGGCGGAAGCCAAAGCGTCGAGCTGCGCCCCGTCCGTTTAGCCAGGTACGGAGGACGGCTGGGCGGGCAGGGCGCTTTGGAAGCGTCAACCCAACCCTCCTGCAAACCATCACGCGTCGGTCCTTCAAAGGGCCCAGGGCCCCACTGGCTCAGCTTCCGCCGAAGATCCCGGTGGCACTTGCGGAGCCACAGACGCTGCCAGGGGAGCCGAGAGGTTGCCGTTTGGAGCCTTGTGCGAGCTTTCGGCCACCGCCCTGCAGTAATCGGTGGGGGGGCCCCCGGGTAGGCTTCCACAGAGGTGTTGGCTGTGATCCCATCGCGCGCGAAAGGGGCTGCGGCCTCCGTATCGGCCCGCGCCAGGACTGGGCATCCCATCGCTACTCGACGTCACAGGCCTCGGGGTAGCGGCTGACTGGCCGCGCAGGCGGGGCCAAGGCTGGCACGTTCACAGGTGGGCGCAGCCTGTGACCGCGAGGGACGCGTTCCCGCCCATTGAGCACGACCTCTTGCACAAAATGCTAGAATTGAATGGGCTTCCGTTGCCGCTCCAGGATGCAAATCGGGTTCTCTATGAAGACCTGGGTTGTTGCCTGGCGACGTTCGGGGAACGATTGGGCGACTTTCGCAGATCCACTGGGAACTGGCAGGGCTGTGCATGAAGTCCTGTCGTTTCCGTGCTGGCCGAAGAGACGCCCAATCAGGCACTTGCTCTGCTTGGCGAGCGATCTGCTTACCAAGCCTGTGCTGATGATCTCGCGTTGGTGGCAGAAGGTGGCCTGGTCGGCATTGCGTCAAGCAGCATGTTGACCTGCTAGGGAAGGCTTCGGACTCCACCTGAACTTGCAGAAGTCAATGGTCGTGCCTCTTTGGAACTGGTGCCTGGATGCGGCCGAGCATGAGCGGGCTCTGAGCATGTCCGAGAGTAGCAGCATGAGGGTGTCGCACAGCGGCTCATGCTTGGGCTTCCAGGTGGCCCGGCATGCGAGAACGCTCGGGCGACGCCCAGCATGACATCCAAAAAGGCAATGATCGTCTGGGCGGAACTGGGCATGTGGATGTTCCCCACGGTATTGGCTCACGCCCTAAGCTCATGAAAAAAACAAGAAAAGCAATACAACAAAGAACTTTTGGCGCTCCGAGCGGATTCTTAGGTTTGCGCTGGACCCGCCTCCCTGGCGCGTGGAGCGCGCCAGCGCGCCAAGGGCGGCGCCGGAGGCACCGCCAGGGGGGGGCCCAGCGCGGATCCAAGAATTCCGCGACGAGCGCCAAAAGTTCATGTTCACGTCGTTTTTCTTCGTCGAATGTATGCGCCACAACTTGAAGGCTACTTCCACGAATGGCCATCAACAGAGACATAGGCCATCCTCGGGGATCTACTGACCCGGGTCCAGCCACACCCGGGTAAGTCAGGCATTGCAGGATCCTGCGAAATCTGGCAGGATCCTGCAGGATCCTGCGCACAAACCCAAGTCACTATCCTGGCCATGCAGAATCCTGCAAGATTCGGCGCTCCGACTGACCCCCGTTTGCATTGACCCCCCGTCGCCAAATGCCTCCTAGATGGAGTCCGAGTAGATCGGGTCGGAAAATCTCGCCGCATCGCCGATACATGGGCGATGCATCGCCGATGCATCGGCGATGCATCGGCGACGTCGGCGTGGATCAACGTGGGTCCAACATCGAGTCGCATCGCCGATGCATCGGCGATGCGGCACGATCCTCCGACCCCATCTACTCCAATCCCATCTAGGAGGCCTGGAGTCTCTTGAGTCCCGACATCCCAGCGCCTGGCTCCCCGGCCGCCCGGGGCGAGCTCGGCACTCGCCGACGCAACTGCAATCGCCGACGATCGCGGGCCCGGCATCCCAGCTCCGGGCACCTAACTGTCAGGAGCGACCGCGGTCAGAGGCTGCGCTCACCCACTGTCGGGCCAGCCCCTGTGTCTGCTACGTATGCGAGCGCATTCTTCTTCGGCGTCTCGACATTAGGCGCAAGGGGGAAGGAAAGGGGGGGCAGTCTCGGAGGGCCGGAAGGCTTCTGAGAAGCCCCGCCGCATTCAGGGGGGCAGTCTGGTTCCGGACCTCTGCTTCGCGCCACTGCTTGACACAATGTGTCCTATGGGGGGGGGGCTCCACCTGCTTGAAACGGGTGCCCAAATTATCCTGGCGAACGACCCAACCATACGCAGCTGTGAACACCGCGGTGGTGCGTATCCTCTTCGGTGGAGCTTCCTATGGGGCCACGAAACGTGTGAGGGGTGTGCCGAAATGGGGCGGCGCCGCCATGCGGACGGCGCCACTGGGACCTTAGGTGGAGCTTCCTATGGGGCCACGAAACGTGTGAGGGGTGTGCCGAAATGGGGCGGCGCCGCCATGCGGACGGCGCCACTGGAACCTTAGGTGGAGCTCCCTATGAGACACAAAACGCGTGAGGGGTGTGCTGAAATGGGGCGGCGGCGCCATGCAGACGGCGCCACTGGGATCTTCGGTGGAGCTGCCCATGGGGCCACCAAACGTGTGAGGGGTGTGTCGAAATGGGGCGGCGCCGCCATGCGGACGGCGCCACTGGGACCTTAGGTGGAGCTCCCTATGGGGCCACGAAACGTGTGAGGGGTGTGCCGAAATGGGGCGGCGCCGCCATGCGGACGGCGCCACTGGGACCTTGCGGACGGCGCCATGGTTGACCTCCCTATGGGGCCACGAAACGTGTGAGAGGTGTGCCAAATGGGGGGGGGAGAGGAGATGGGTGGAGGTACGCTGTAAGGATTACGCAGTGTGGCCGTCCACGCGGCACAGCTCGCAGCTCGGCATCGCAGCACCAAGGGGAAAGTCGAAACCAACGCCAAGACCTTAGTGCCGAGAGAGCCGTCTTCAGATTCATCCAGCGTGCTCCAGAAACGCTCTGCCGGAGCACGCTGGCACGCAAGGAATTCTCAGGCGCATCTCACGCCAAACCTGGCGGGCACGGATCGTCCTCGTCCGCGCCGCCGAAAAACCACTCTGCTGCCTCGTCCTCTGGGTCGAGGGGCCGTGCCACAGGCTGGGAGGAGTCGCCAGGAAACACCGTGGGAGCACCGTCCTGAGCTATCGACGAAGCCACAGCCGATGGGGCAGGTCCCCGGGCCCCAGGGCCCCCCGCCACAGTCGCTTTGGCGACCGCTTCAGCACAAACGCGCGCATGCAACGCCTGGAGGACCGATTTAGGAGGGCCCTCGCGGCGTGGGTACTGGTCTCGCCTGATGCGAGCTAAATTCTCGGCTCCTTTCCGTGATCTCCCAAGGCATCTGGCCTCGAGATGTCTGAAATTTTCCGTCGCATACCTACCGCATTCGTGGCAGAACACCATGCAATACTTGGGCCACTCTCCAAGTCTGTGAGTGCTGTGCAGCTCCCTCCCGCCCAGGCCCCTCAAAACACCCTCGCCCGCAGCCCTGGGGGCCCTGTTCAGGACGGGGGGGGTGGGACAGGCGGGGCTGGCGGAGGTACGCACGCAGTGCTGCAGAACTCCAGCAGGCTCGAGGCATGCACTCGCTGGTTGCACACCTCGCATCTCCATTTAGCGCCGTCCTGGGCCATCTGGTGGCCCGTTTCGCGGGGAGCTATCTTCACGCCGCCCTCGCGGGCCCCACGAGGCGCGATATCTTCGCGCTCGGCCCGGGTCGTGTCGCAGTCCAGGGCAAGTTGTAAGGCCTTGGACGCTCGACGTCTGACAAGAGCGGCAACAACATCCCAACTGTCAGCGTGGGGAGCAGCATGCATGACGAATCCCTCCCAAGCCCGCTCCGCCGCCTCCCCCGCCCCATGGTCGGCCGTGGCCTTGCCCACAGCAAGGAAGAGGTCCCTGTCTGTGACCAGACGGCCCGCGTCCTCCTCTTCAGCGTGAGAGGGGACCTATTCCAGAGAGACTTCGCGGCCTTCGGCCGCCGCGCGACTTCTCGCCCAGAGATCCTCGTTGGGCCCCCTGGTGGCCTTGCGCCTTCTCCGGGGCCAGGCTTTTAAAAGACCCTGATGGTCCGTCACGAAATGCACCGACCCCGTAGTCTGCTCAAGGGCCATCGCCAAGGCCAGCGTCTCCGATCGGGGCACAGACTGTCGGCAGCCAGGGAGCGGCGCGGCTATCATCGCCCCCAGGCACCAGCTATCTTCACGCCAGGCCAGGGCAGCGACAGCAGCTCCACACCTACGGCGACGCTGATCGCCCGAGTGCTTCCCTCCCGACCCGTCCCCAAACAGCGTCAAAACCCCGTCCCTCCGATAGTCACCCAGCTCACCTACCTCAAAAAACAAGGTTTCCTGAGCCAGTCGCTCTTCATCGAACCTGGGGGTTGCGAGGTGGTTCGGCACTGGGCCTCGCAGCCAGACCGAGGGCTCACTCTCTACACTGGCCAGCGCCCTCGCCACCAGGTGCTCCGACTTGACGAACTCACTGCCCTCGCTGATGTTCTCCGTGCACTTCCAGATCCTGTGGGTCAGCGTCTCTGGCTCCAGCCCGCATCTCGGGCAGGTGGCGCTGACGGCATAGCCGCGCTCTCGCTTCCTGGCGCGGCTCCACTGCCCGCCACTTATCACTGCCATCGTGCGACTCCCCTCCGCCCACATGCCTCTTCGAGCATATCGGTCGAGATCGCGCCTCGCATGCAGCATGTCCGCGCCGCTCCCCAAGTTGCCGCCGTCCTCGTGGGCCGCCGCCTGCTTCCACAGCTGGCGCATGATGTCCTCGCGGAGGTCGTGCAGGATGGGCTGCCGATCGATGAAGCTCCCAAAGGCCTCCGAGCTCGACTCCACCAGGTGCCACTCCGTGATCGTGCCGTCCACCTCTGGCCTGCTCCACGTGCCAGCAGTGCGCGGATCCCAGCCCACGTCCATGAGCGGTGCCACGAGCGTGCCGACAGGGCCACGCACGCGCCGCCAGCGCCGGGCTGCGCCGGCGCTCAGGAGCGTGCCGCGGATGGCAGGCCAGACTCTGTGGATCCTCGCATGGACCTGAGGCGCCGTCCCCCAGAGCTCCAGCCACGAGTCTACCAGCTGGATGCGCAGCTTGATGGCTGGGCCCTCCTCAAGCCCCGCCGCCAGGACCATGGTGAGGCAGCGTCCGCCAGCTTTGCCTCCAACTGCCGCGCCCGCCCGCTGCCTCAGCCTCCTGACGCTCGACGGCGCCAGGCCCTGGAGCTGGTGGCCGCAGGTGGCCTGTGGAGAAGCCCCCGTGCTCCACAGCCCCCTCGCCTCCTTGGCGAGAGCCGCGCTCCTCCTCATTCTCATGATGCGGCTACCGCGCCTGCCGGCCGCCAGCAGCCTCGTGCGCCGCTTCTTGCAGCAGCGCCTCCGCCCAGCTGCCGCGTCGCCGCCCAGGTCAGTGGCGCCCAGCGCCAACTGCAGCGGCAGAGCAGGCGACTCCAGTTCCGCCTGTAGCTCTCGGCCCAGCTGCGTGTCCGACGCCAGCAGCTTGGACTTGTTCGAGATGATCAGGCCTCGCTCCTCGACGGAGCCCTCCACGAACTGGGTCGCCACCTGCTTCATCCCCTGCTTCACCATCAGACGAGATCCCTCGCACCGGGCCGTCGTGTCGTCCACGAATGTCCAGAGGGGCGCCTGCGGGGCCACCTCGCGGGCCTTTTCCAGCACCCCGCGGATGAACACCTTGGCCAGGGATACCCCCCTCGCCGACCCCGCCACCACCGAGCGCGTCGGCCAGACCAGCTCGCTGATGCCGTGGCGCTGGTCCTTCAGGATGCGAGGGCCCAAGAGGAGCTCCACCTCCATGGCCACGACGATGGCAGGGTACTTCGCCTGCACCGCCAGCTCCATGAGCAGCGCCAGGCTGATCGTGTCGTAGAAGGTCTGGAGGTCGAGGAGGAGAGTGGCCGACGCCAGGGCACGGTACAGCGCAGCACTGAGCGCAGAGCACCCTCGCAGGGCGCCGTCCCAGAATGCCCCGAGCTGCTCTGTCCAGTTGTCCACGATACCACCTCGAGCGTTGCTCCATATCTTGGGCATCAGGGCAATCATGCCCAGGACCCTGTCGCCCCCAGCAGGCTTCGGAACCGATGCCGCCACCACCGCCATGCACTGGCGAGGCCAGACGCCCTGGACCTCGGCATCGTTCATCAGCTGCCTCAGCTCCTCGCGCGCTTCGTGCGGAAGCCTCTGCACCTCCGTCGAGCTCAGCACGTCCACGCCCATCGCCTTCCTGCCGTTGATGGAGTTCAGCGCCCTGTCGAACTCCTCCGGCTCCACTGGCGGGTAGTCCTCCTCCTTCGCTACCTCCAGGGTCCTTCGCAGCTGTCCCTGGAAGTCCTCCAAGCTCACCTTCGGGTCTTGCCACAACTCTCTCCATTTGGACGCCCGGTCATTCATGATCGCCGCAGGGTCCGCCGTGGTGGAGGTGCCCGTGCAGATCTCGTTGATGATGGTCGGCTCGTCTTTCACGTGCTTGTGCAGCACCCCCATCTTGTCGCTCCACATCTCCTTCACCCACTCGGTGTAGGCTCTTCGTGCTTCCCCCATCGCGCGCGCCTGCCCTGCCGCCGCCAGCGCGCCAGTTAGCTCGAGCAACTTCTGTCGGTGCGCCGCCGAGAGGGTCTCGACCTTGACCATCATCTTCTGCCAGACCATGAAGCGCGCGCTGCCGAAAAAGTCTGCCATGCCCTGGTCCAGCGTCTCCCTGGCGATCCTCTTAAGCTTGCAGCTCACGCGGCCTCGCTGAGCCTCATCGCGCCTGCCACGCGAGAGCGTCTGGCACCTCTGCATCAGCGTGAGCGCATAGCACATGGCGTCAGACTTGTGGCACTTCGTGCGTGCCCTGCCTGGCGTGACCTTCGCTTTCACCCACTTCAGGTCGAAGTCCCCCCCGCGCCCCTGGTAGCGCGCCTTCTCCGACTCCTCCACCTCGTGGGCGGCCAGCAGCGCGAGCTCCAGCTTGCTCACCCAGTTGCCGTACCTATGCGAGAGGTCCTTCTCCTGCTCCTCGCGGCCCTGGTAGGCGACGTGGTCGTCCAGCTGCTGCGCCGGGCCCGTGCGCGCGCCCACAACGGGCCCTCGCCCAGCGTGCTCCGGACACGCCCTGCCGGAGCACGTTGCCCAACGTGCTCCGGCAACGCTCTGCCGGAGCACGTTGCCGTCTCGTCTGTTCTGGCCGTCGCTTCGAGGGTGGATTGGATGGGCTGGTTGGGCTTGCTGGTGACCTGGAAATCCTGTCTGCACCAGCTGCTATTCCGCCTGCCTCCAGCACTCCAGTGGCACCTGGAAGGGCGTCTTGGGCCCCTGGCAGACCTCATCCTCCTCGTACAGCTTCGCGATGGCCTCCTGCTCCTCCGGGGGGAGTCTCGACTTCCTCTCCTGCAGCTTCTTCTGTTTCATCTTGCTCGTCTTGCTGTTGGGGCCCGCGCTCTTCCTCGGCCTCTGCGCCCGCGGCGGCGCCCTGGGCACCGCGAGCGCCCTCGCCCACCATTCTTGGTAGGAGCCTTTGAGTGTGATGCGCAGCGCGCAGTGCACCTTCCAAGGCACCTCCAGCTCCGCCTCTACCATCGCCGGGTCCGCAAAGTCCTTGCGCACCAAGCAGTAGTCCAGCAGAGACCCCTGCTCCCCTTTGGCGCACGTTACCTTCGTCACCTGCGGCGCCTTCACCACCCCGCCGACCTTCTGCGGGAACTCGCTCTTCAGCAACTGCTCTGGGTCCAGGTTCCAGTCCGCCGCCACGATCCACGGGTCGTCCACGGCCCTCAGGAGGGCCGCCAGGCTCGCCAACTTCTGGGGGTTCGGGGACCCCTTCCCCCACTGGGGCGCCATGTACGCCGTCACGTAGATCACATTGCCCGCCTTCGCGTGGATGGTGGTCGCCACGAACCCGCGGAAGGGGTCGCCTCTGCCTCGCTGCTGTGCTGCCACTCGCACATGATCAAACGAGGTCGTCTCCAGATGCCGCCTCGCTATTATCATCTCTCCACCACATCACCCCGTCTCACTTAGCCCAGACGGCCGCGCTGCCGTGGCCGTGGTCTTCCAGCCGCCCCGATCGAGGTCGACCGCGACCTTCTTCTGCTTGTCGGGCAAGAGGTGGGTCTCGCAGATGCCCATCACACTTGCCCGTGGGCGTCGCTCCTGATACTCGTTCACGTACTTGTGGGCCTGTGGGCCCCACTTCTCCACATTCGCAAAGAAGAGCTGGCGATCGCCAGCCGAGCCTGACGCTGGCCTCGCGCCAGGACGTAGATCGTCAAAGGTGCGACGGTCTATCCTGGCTGGCAGCTGCACCACTCTTGCCTGCGCATGCACTCGTCCCAGCAGCAGGAGCGCCAGCAGGAGCCGCAGCAGCCCCCGCAGTGCCTGGCTTGCCCTTGCCGCCCCCCTTGGCGACAGCGACGGCGCGCTCAGCCTTGACCTTCGCCTGGTAGTCCAGCAGCATCTGCTTCCTCCTCTGGGCTGCCTCGGCGTCTGGGGCACCCGCTGGTTCCGCGGCCGCTGCTCCTGGCTCCGCCGCTGGCTGCTCACCGGGCTCCTTCTTGGCGGCTTCGCCTGAGGCCGCCTGGCCGTCCTCCGTCCTGCGCTTCTTCCGGAGCTGCTTGCGCAGGCTGGGGAGCTGCTCGACTTGCTGCACCAGGAGCTGCTGGTGCTGCTCCGCCTGGTCGCGCAGCTGCTTTGCCTCCTCCGCGTGCTTCTGGCGAACCTCTGACTGCTGCCGAACGAGCGCCGCCTCTGCCTCATCGATCTTCTGCAAGGACGTCTTCCCCGCCTGCTGGATGTCCGCCAACTTGGTGCGGAAGGCCAACACCGCCTCCTTCTCTGGGCCGTCCTCGTACTCGTCCAGGCTGGCGTCCAGGAGCCGGTCATCCACTGAGAAGTCCAGGATCGTCTGCACTTCAGCCTGCCCAGGCTCCTCCCCCTCAGCCTTGACGAGCTCTCCCTTGCCCACCTGCTTGTAGTAGGCCGCCGAGGCCTTCGCGCGGGCCTGATCCGCATCGAAGGCGTTCTCCAAGGCCTGGTCGCGGCGGAAGAGCGCCTCATCGTGGAGGATGGACAAGCGCTCGAGCTCGTCCTCGCACTCCAGCAGCCACTTTTGCGCCTTCTGATGATGCCCCTTGGCCTTCGTGAGCGCCTGCCATGCATCAGGTGGCCTCGGCTGAGGCGGCGGCGGCGCATGCTTGCGCTGGAGCTCCTCGATTTTCTTGGCCAGCTGCTTGTTCCCCCCTGCGAGGAAATCCATCGCCGCCGCCTTGCCATCGCTTTCTCCTGGCCTTGGCCCCCACCACGCCGCCGCTGAGCTTCCAGCGTGCTGCTGCCCGTAGCGGTTGCTGCGCCAGGGCGGCGTGCCCTGGAACCGTTCCAGCCACGCGCCGCACTTGCACTGCCCTCCTTGCCTGTCCAGCCGCCAGTTGTACACCCATTGGCCACACTCACTGCAGACTGTGAAGGGTTTACTCTTGGGCATTCTCAAGCTGAGCCCCAACGCTGTGTCACTGGCCTGTCCAGTCGTGTCGCGTCTCTCAGCACGCTCAAGATCCCAAACGGCTTGAGCCGAGATGGGTGGAGGTGGGAGGGGGGGGGAGGGGAGGAGGAGAGAGGGGAGGAGGAGGAGGAGGAGGAGGAGGAGGAGGGGGAGGAAGGAGGAGGAGGAGGAGGAGGAGGGGAGAAGTGAGGAATGATGAGTGAGGAGTGAGGCGCGGGGTGCTGTCTCTTCAAAACGAGGACCCAACACCACAGGATGGTTAGCAACAAAAGCAGCCAATATCTACTCCATGGGGGGGGAAGGGGGGGTGCGAGGGCCCGCGCAGATCAGCAAAACACTAAGACAACGATCACTTGCATGTTACGCGTTTCATGCGTTCGGGTGTGTCATCGGCTCTGTCGTCATTTGACGAGCACGCGGGGCGGAACACCAGAGATCCTCGGGGATCGTCTTGCCTAGCGTCCGCGGCACGTGCGATCGGGTGTGTCCAGAACTGTCGGGGACGCGAAGGACGCTCAGGATCATCTGGAAGTCTTGGGTCTGCCGGCCGCGGCTGCGACACGTGCAAGCGGGGCGGAAGCTTTTTCTCCTCTCAAATGTTGACACCCCCAACCTGGCGTGGCGGTTGGGGGGCGAGCAACACAGACAACTCAAGAGGAGGGGTGGGGGGAGGAGGAGGAGGAGGAGGAGGAGGAGGAGGAGGAGGAGGAGGAGGAAGAGGACGAGGGAGGAAGAGGGACGGAGGGAAGGTGCAGGAATGAGGGCGGACGGTGTCTAACACCAGGCTCGACGACTGACTCTTTTGCAACTCCACCGAGGGAGAGACAGCAGCTCTCGCTTGAACAAAGCCTGCGCTCCTCTCGAAATCGGCAAGTAGGATCCTCCTCCTGCTTCTGCTCCCTCCTTCTGCTCCCCCTTCTTCCCTCCACCACCGATCCAAGGATGCCCGCATCACATGTGTCCTTCTCTGTGAACCCTGTCAACCATCCTCGCCCGTCTACGTCATCGGTATCCCCCCCCAAGCTCTCGTATTTCCTCCTCCTCATCCATTCCTTCTTTTTGTAATTACCTCCTCCCTGTCGGACCCCGAGGCCAGTCGGAAGGGCGGGCTGGGCGCTTCGCCTGAGACTTCCTTACCACTCATGGTCCGAAAGCTGATCAATGGCAGCCGTTCCACACATGGAACGCGATTGGTGTTCAACATGTGGCTCTCGCCTCAGCGCCGCGCGCATTCACCTTAAACATCTGCAAGAGTCTCACGGTTTGAGGGCGGGTCGATTTCAACATGTGGTGCTCGCATCAACGCCGCGCGCATTCGTTTTTGATGAATTGCAAGGGGTTCAAAGATTGAGGGCGAGCCGGTGTCAACATGTAGCTCTCGCCTTAGCGCCGCGCACATTCATCTTCACAAATTGCAGGAGGTTCAAGGATTGAGGGCGGGCAATTTTCAACATGTAGCTCTCGCCTTAGCGCCGCGCACATTCGCCCCAACAAATTGCAAGAGGTTCACGGATTGAGGGCGGGCAGTTTTCAACAAGTAGCTCTCGCCTGAGCGCCGCGTCTCTTCGTCCTACAGAATTGAAATGGTTTGAGGGCGGCTACTTTTCAACATGTGTTTCTCGCCTTAGCGCCACGCACTTCGTCGCACGTAAACATGTCAACGAATTGTGCGGGTCGACAACGGCTGCCTTTCAGAACGTGGCTCGCGCCTTAGCGCCGCGAACATTCGTGTTCAAAGTGCAAGAGATTCGCGGGTGTCCACGATTGTCGTACCAGAGAGGGCGTTGCGGAACGATTCAGGAACGTCAGGGCGCAACAGTTTGCTTTGATTCGCGATATTGAAGTCCCAGGGATGGTGCTCTGGCCCGATTCAGGACCGCCAAGGCGAAACGTTGGTTTGTCATGCTGAGGTTGATTCGTGGCGTTGAAATCTAGGGAACGGTGTTTTGGCATGTTCCAGGGTGTTTAAACTGTTGTCTCCAAACGGGGCACTTCCCTCAGCAGAAATGAACCCTTGTAGGGGCCTGTGAAGAGGGAGCTTGGAGGGAGGGCTTATTCCAACATCGCTGGTGAGGTCTTGGGTTTACGCTGGTCCTCCTCCTCCTCCTCCGCCTCTCTTCCTCCTCCTCCTCCTCAACCTCCTCCTGGTCCAGCCCCTCGCCCTCCTCCTGCTGTTGTAGATGCTGCTGCTGGTGCGGCTCCTCCTCCCTCTCCTTCTCTACGTACGTATGACTCCCACTCTGCTGATGCTTCTCCTCCTGCTCGTGTCGCCTCTCCTCCCCGTCATCTTCGTTGGCACTCCTCCCGATCCTCCTGCCCCTCCTCCAGGCTCCTCCACCTCCAGCTCGTCCTCATGTCCCTCCTCCTCCTCCTCCTCCTGCTGCTCCTTCGCCTCTCTGCATCGGCCCAGTGCCACGAGTGGCCGTGCTTTCGGGTGTCTCCGGGCAGCCCGGAGAAGATCGCGCGCGGGAGGCTGTGCGCGGTGCGCCGAGGGCGACGCCGACTCCAGCAGAGACGTCAGCTGCGCAGGCTGGCTCTCCGGGGAGGCATCCTCGGGCAACACGGCCCTCCTGCTCCTCCTCATCATCCACTTCCTCAACTCATTCCTCCATCGCCTGCCCCTTCCTCCTCGGTCCCTTCTCCTCCTCCTCCTCTTCCTCCTCCTCCTCCTCCCTCCCTGCATCCATCTCTCTTCCCTCCTCCTCCTCCCACCTCCCTCCCTCCCTCCCCTCCCCTCCTCCCTCCTCCTCCTCCTCCTCCTCCCTCCCCTCCCTCCTCCTCCCTCTTCCTCCCTCCTCCTCCCTCCTCCTCCCTCCTCCGCTCCCCTCCTCCTCCCTCCTCTCCTCCTCCTCCTGCTCCCTCCTCCTCCTCCTGCCCTCCGTCCCCTCCCTCCTCCTCCCTCCTCCTCCTCCCTCCTCCTCCCTCCTCCTCCTCCTTCTCCTCCTCCCACTCCTCCTCCTCACTCCTCCTCGTCCTCCTCCTATTCCTCCTCCTCCTCCTCCTCCTCCTCGTCCTCCTCCTCCACCTCCCCCCCTGCACCTCCTCCTCCTCCTCCTCCTCCTCCTCCTCCTCCTCCTCCTCCTCCTCCTCCTCCTCCTCCTCCTCCTCCTCCTCCTCCTCCTCCTCCTCCTCCTCCTCCTCCTCCTCCTCCTCCTCCTCCTCCTCCTCACTCCTCCTCCTCCTCCTCTCCGCCTCCTCCCCCTCCTCCTCCTCCTCTCCTCCTCCTCCTCCTCCCCTCCTCCTCCTCCTCCTCCTCTCCTCCTCCTCCTCCTCTCTCCTCCTCCTCCTCCTCTCTCCTCCTCCATCCCCCCTGCCCCTTCTCCTCCTCCCTCCTCCTCCTCCTCCTCCTCCTCCTCCTCCTCCGCCTCCTCCTCCTCCTCCTCCTCCTCCTCCTCCTTCTCCTCCCCTCCTCCTCCACCTCCTCCACCTCCTCCTCCTCCTCCCCATCCTACTCCTCCTCCTCCTCCTCTCCTCCTCCTCCTCCTCCTCCTCCTCCTCCTCCTCCTCCTCCTCCTCCTCCTCCTCCTCCTCCTCCTCCTCCTCCTCCTCTCCTCCTCCTCCTCCTCCTCCTCCTCCTGCTCCTCCTCCTCATCACCCTGCGCTTCCTGGACGCATGCGGGCGGGCGGCGACCACATCCCCCGCCATGTCTGAGAAAGGCTTACCGAAGCTGTAGCTGCTACAAGGTGGACCCCTCCTGTCAGAGGGGGCTGGCTCTACATAACTCATGATCGGGCGCGCGCAAACATGGATTAGCGATCAATGGATTTGGCGCGCGGTCGCCAAATCCATGGATCGGGGGAGGTGCCCTCCCCCAAATGCGGCCGGTGCCGCCTCGTTCGGCGGCGGAAATCCGCGATTTCCCATGGAAACGGGACCCGTCGCTAATCCACGCCCCCTTAATCCATGTTTGCGATCGCCTGGCATGATCCTGCCTGCCCTCCCCCCCCCTCCCCGGAGGCGAGCGCGTCCTGCGTCGGCGCGCTGGGGAGCTGCACCCCGTCCGGAGGCAGCCCGGGCGGCAGAGGCGGGAAGGTGCACCTGCAGTGCTAGGGTCCTCCCGCTTCCCTGCCTCCCCGCCCCCATCCCCCATCCCCCTCCTCCTCTCCTCCTCCCCTCCTCCTCCCTCCCCTCTCCTCCTCCTCCTCCTCCGCCACCTCCTCCTCCTCCTCCTCCTCCTCCTCCTCCTCCTCCTCCTCCACCTCCTCCTCCCCCTCCCCCTCCCCACCCCCTGCCTTCTCCTCCCCTCCTCCTCCCATCTCGTCCTTTCTCTTCCCATCTGCAGGGGGTTAGGGCCAGCGGGGGGGAGAAGGTCAACAACTGTTCTTTGACGGCAGCGCCTACCTCCCAAAGTACAGAGGGCAGAGGAAAAAACGAGCGCGCAGGAGAAGTTGCCGAAGCCATGCAGAGGGGAGCATCCGCATCCCAAGCATGTCCCTCGAGAGGGTGTCCCCTGGCCGAGAGACTGCACCTGAGACCCATGTTGCGCAAGAGGCGCGTGCCAGACTTCAGCTACGTTGGCAGGCCTGGGCAGAGTGACCAGCAGCCCGCGGCCTTGTGCAGACGACCTGGCCAACCTTCTGCATTACTGAGGCCTCTCGAAGCCTGACTTATCCTCGATGCGAGCGCGAAGAGCGGGGAACTTGCCAGCGTGCCAGGAGAAGGGGCGATTCCCCACCAACAACTGCGAAGGAGCCCTCAAGCGTCTCCGAATCAGTCTGACAGCTTTTGAATTTGCGTCGTTGAGCTGCGCCTTCCAGCCACCGCCTGCCTTCCATTGCCTCCTTCCCTTCTCCTGCTGATCCCCCCTCCTTATCGATTCATGTTCCTGCTGCGTCCCCCTGCTTCCTGCTTCCTCCTCCTCCTCTCTTTTCCTCCTGCTGCTTCCTTGTTCCTCCTCCTCCTCCTGCCCTCCTCCTTCACTTCGTGCTCCCTTCTTTCGCCTCAACTTCCCTCATCCAGAACGTCGTTCCTCATCATTCGCGTCACTTGCCACGCCTTCCTCCTCCTCCTCCTCCTCCTCCTCCTCCTCCTCCTCCTCCTCATCATCATCATCATGATCCATCATTCATCCTCCTCCTCCGCTTCCCTCCCTGCCTCCCTTTCTCCACCCCTCAACCTCTCCCCTTCACTCCACCTCCTCCTGTTCCTGCCTCATCCTTGCGCTCATCAATATCCACCCTCCTCAACCGTATTCCCTCTTGCGCTTGTCACTGCCCTCTTTCTCTCCTACATTCATTCGCTCATTCCCCTCCTGTACCGCCTTTTCATTGCTCTAGCTTCTGCTCGCACTCCACCTGATCCTCTCTGCTCATTCCTCCCCAGAAGCGAGGAGGGAGAAACAAGGATATGAGGAAAGGTGGACACGACCATGCTTGGTGTCGCGTGTCACTCGTCTCCACATTCGCAATCGGTCCACGCCGCACGTAGAGGCCACGATGCTAGAGAACTGGGGGGCGGGTCCACCACAGACGGGCAGACCTAATCCCTAGCATTGTTCGAGCTGCAAGCCCTGCCCAAAAAGTAGAAACGCCACGACTTCGAGCGTGATAGAACTGAGTCAGATCCGCCACCGTGCCGCTGAGCACGGAGTGGGCGTCCTCAGGTCCTTTACCAATCCTCGAAGCCTCAGTCCTCACTTCTGAAGAGTATTTGAAGGGTCTGGACCCAATATTAACACATTTCTCTGGGTTTGTCGCGTCGTATCGGGGCGTGGGCTTGTCACGTGACTTTTTCGGAGCCCACAAAGTCCCAAGACGGTCCAAAAGGGCGCCGCGAAGCCCCCAAAACAATCCGTGAGGGCTCCGAGTCGCCGAACGATCGCCCCAAGACGGTAAAAACGGCCCCCAGACGACCCAAGAGGCCTCCAAGACGCCCCAAGAGAACTCCAAGAGGCCTCCCAAGAGGGCGTCCAGAGGCCCAACTCATTCAATGCCCCTCGGCTTTCCCTTACATGTTTCGTGGGGTCCTGGTTCTGTCCACCCGCGTCGCACCCGCGTCTCCTCACCTCCCTCACCCTCCTCTTTCTTGCTCGTCGTTGTACAGATGCACACGTCAAAATCATCACAACGTACAGCCGCACACCTTAGGGGAGCGCAGGGCGTGGCCCCTGAGCGCGGCTGCTATGCACCCGGTCGTCCAGGCACAGCAGGCGCGACACATTCTCGACACCAGAAGGGGGTGCGCAGGCGGTGGTCCCTGAGCGCGGGCGCTATGCGCCCCCGTCGTCCAGGGCTCAGAAGGCGCGGCACTTTCTCGACGGTGCGCAGGGGGTGGTCCCTGAGCGCGGCTGCTTTGCGCCCCGGTCGCTCAGGCACAACAGGCGTGGCACTTCCTCGACATCATAAGGGGGTGCGAAGAGGGTGGTCCCTGAGCGCGGGCGCTATGCGCCCCGCTCGTCCAGGGCATAGCAAGCAGGGCACTTTCTCGACACCATAAGGGGTGCGCAGGGGTGGTCCCTGAGCGCAGGGGTTGGTGCCTGAGCGCGGCCAGTGTGCGCCTCTGTCGTCCAGGGCATAGCAGGCGTAGCACGTTCTAGACGCCATGAGGGGGCGCAAGGGGTGGGGTCTCCCAAGGTGTGGCGCGGGTGGTATTTTTTCGAGGCCACAGGGCTACGCAAGCGGATGGGGCGGTATCATCATCATCATCATCATCATCATCATCATCATCATCATCATCATCATCATCATCATCAGCATCATCATCGTCATCAGCATAATCATCATAATCATAATCAGCAACATCATCACAATCATCAACAACTGCAACCACCCTGTCTCATGGCGGCTCAGACCGCTCGATGTATGAACGCGGGTGGCCGCCAGTGACACTGTGGAAGTCGGCGGTTGGACAATGCCACTGCTACACCAGAAATTTCAATCCCGCAACACTGACCGGGACTGCGCTGCGATCTACCACTGGAACGGGGACATGCCGTTGGCATCCACGCGCCACTTTGTGGAATTCCGCTCCATGCAGCTGGGGTGAGGCACCCCTGGGATTTTCCATCGAAGGGCGTGGCAATAAGGCCTGGAGACTTTCCGTCGAAGGGAGCGCTGGCCACCCTCCGTTCGCCAGGGCTGCCTGCCTGCCTGCCCCGGAAACTTTGCGTCGAAGAGGTACCCCGTGCCATTGGCATATCCGCACAGAACAAATTACGAGGATAGAGGACGATAGATGAGGAAGACGACGGAGAGGAAGATGACAAGGACGAGGATGGTGACGAGGAGATGTGGGCACGATGTGTCAACTAATGCACTGGCACGGTCCGGCTAAAACGTTTGTGATCTGGTTCGTTGAATGCAGATCAATCGGGCAATGCCTGAACATCTACCCCCCCAATCATGGACCGCGCGCGGCTCCGTGGTTGCCGATATTGTTTGTGGCCAAATCGAAACGGTCGTGCTCGACGCACGGGAATACAATGTCCATTTGTCGATGGTCCAATGGCTCGTGGTCCGTTCCTGTAGTATTGCTGGTAGTCTTACCGGCGTCTCAGTGTTAGCAGTGACGTTGGCAACATCGATCAGATAATAATGAAGTATGTTGGGTTCCTCGTCAACGTACTTGAAAGATGTTGGCGTTGTCGCCGTTTCGATTTCCCGACGCTCCATGACGGCCACAAGGCCTCCAACATCGCCCCAAGACGGCCCCGGAGGCCCCTAATAGGGCCCCCAATAAGGCCCCAAAACGGCCCAAGAGGGCCCCGACGACGGCCCCAAGAGAGGGCGAATATAGGGAACTCGAACGGGAATTTCGAGCCCTCGTCCCCGAGGGGCCCCCAGGAGGCCCGAACAGACCCCCAAGAGGCAATTTTGCTTCCTCCCTCAAAGGCCACGTTGGGCCCTAACGGTGCCCCCCCGCGCCGCGTCGGCCATGCGGCGCTCAGCCCACGCCGTTCTACATGTAGAACTCCCACTCGCAGGCCGCCACATTCGCGACCTCAGCGACGTGCCCCACCTCCGCGCTGAACTGGCTCCAGCACAACAGGAAGCGGTTTCCCCGTCTGTGGGTGCTGCCCACAGAAGAGTCGAACCAGCCGGTTCCGCTTCGCATCAGCTCCTGTGCTCACCCCCTTCCTCGGCAGGGGCCCCGCACACTCCTTGCTCAAACCGTCGCGCCTCAGAGCAGCATGCGCGCCGCGCACTCGGCAGACCACATCTGGCCCACAAACCTGCACGATGTGCTGCCTCCTCTCATCAGGCCGCTCGGGTGGTGCCGCTGCCAGAACAAGCGCCTCCACGGCGCCACCGTCCCTGGCCCCTGGCGAGCGAGACCTCCTCCTGCTGACGCCCTCCACGCTCGGGCCTCCACTGCTGCTGCTGCTGCCCGCCGCCGCTGCCACTGCAGCGACCGCCGAAACCGCCGCTGCCCCGGCCGAAGGCGTACTGCGCGAAGCCGCCGACCTGGCGAAGTGGGCCTGCTGCACTTCTCCTCGCGCCCGGCCCACTCGAGCCTCCAGCGAGCCCGCCTGGGCGCCTGACGCGGCCAGCCCCGCCGCGCGCCATGGCGGCGGTCGGCACTATGCCCCCCGCAGCTTCTTGCGCATGCGCGCCGCGGCCGCACGCTTGCCACAGCGCGCGCGCCTGCCAGCGACCGCACTGCTCCACCTCGTGCAGGGCCAGGGAGATCTGCGGTTTGGGCGGCCGCCACCGTCGCGCGCCAGGCGGCCGCGGCGGGACATCAGGCCACTCCCATTTCATCTACTGGTGCCACCAGCTCACATTCTGGACAGCCCACCGCACGCGCTGCCCAAGCGACGAAGGCGCCTCCTGCTTGCCGAAGCCATAGTCCTCCTCGGCTCCTCGCTTGGCCAGCAAGTCCACGGCCTCGTTGTCCTGCGCAACCTGCTTCTCCAGCCTGTCTAGCTCCCCCGTCGCCTGCTTGGTGCGGTGCGCCTTCACGTGCTGCACCCTATCGGGCTCCAGGCCGATGTCCGCAAGCTTGTGCCAGACCCGCCGCCACAGGTCGGCATGTGGACGCTTCCAGCTGAAGCGCCACCTTGCCCCCCGCGCCAGCCCGCCCAGGATGCCCTTGTGGTCCGTGTAGATCCGGCACGGCGGCAGTGGCACCTCCAACATTTGGAGGAAGGCCCACAGCTCCGCGCTTCATCGTCTTCTGCACCTGGAACTGACATGGGAGCGGCCCCCACAGCTGGACCTTGGGCTTCCCCTCCTGCGTCACTGCCGTGTCGGCCCATTCAGCCTGCGCCCAGCCTGTGGGGCCGACCATGGACTCGTCGCAAACGACGCCTGCCCGTCAAGATGTCGTCGTCGCACTCAATCACCACGTAGTGGTACTGGTCCTCGCCCACCGCTTGTAACTGCCAATCAGCCGATGGGGGGTCGCGCACCAGCCCTCGCGTCCACAGCAGGTGGCTCTCTTGCTGCTCCGTAACGTGCCGCCACACAGGCTACCCTCGAAGCCGAACATCTCGCAGGCGAAGGCACGTCGAGTACCTGTGATGCGGCGTGCCCACCGCCTCACCACAGCCCAGGTAGATGTCAGTGGGCGTGATGTTGCGCTCCGAGAGCCTGTTCATCGCCCACGAGTCACACAACACCACCTTGCGAGCCGCGTTCGTGGCAGGCTTGGGGAAGCTCCTCGCCACCATCTGCGCCACCACTGGCTGCAGCAGAGGCGCTGGCGCTAGCGAACGGTGCTCCTCCTGCTCAGGCCAGCCCCGCCACAACACCGCTTGCACGTCAGCCCGCAACAGGGCAGCCACATCCGCAAGGCAGACATCGGTCATGTTAGTATCCCCCCCCGTCACGCGTGAAAAAAGTGCCCCCACTTGGCCGCGGCAACTCTGCTCTCCTCAAAGACATGACGGCAGCACCCGCTGGGCACTTCACGCGACTCCACCGCGGCTGCATCCCAACCATCATCTGCTGCCTCCCCAAAGCTTCCTGCAACTGCCGCTGCATCGCCTTCTTCTCGCTGCCGTCCCGCTGACGACCGCTGACCCCAGCCTCACTGATGCCGCGCTGACTGCTGATCACCGCGGCGCGCTGGAGGGAGCTGTCCACATCGCCGACGCCGTCGTGCACCCTGTCGAAGTCCCGAGGCCCCGCTCCGAGCTCGTCGCCCTGCGCTGGCGGCGGGGCCGCGCCTCGGAGCCTCCGCCTGAGCCGTCGGCGCAGGCCGCGCAGCTCACGCCAGTGGGGCCCTACCATGCCGATGCGCTCATTGTCCTCCGAACCGTCGAGATAGCGCGACCAGGCCCGCCTTCGCCGCCCCGATCGCGCCCGCGATTCCCTGCGCAGCGCCGCGGCGACCTGGCGCACCGTCAGCTGCAGCCCATCCAGGACGCCATAATGCACGCCGAAACGCCTCTGCAAAGCTTCTTGCAAGGGCTGTCGCGTCGTCGGAGACAGGTGCTGCGCCAAGAAAGGGGCGCGCCATTCGAGCCAAGTATCGTTGCCTTGAAACTCCTCACCACTCAAACTCTGGATTATAAGAGCGACGACCAGAGGCCCAAGGTCTCACTCAAGTCCCGGCGCTCAGCCGCCACCTCCTCTAGCTCCTCCATGAGCTGATCTGGCGGGGGGCCCATAAACAGCGCCGTCGAGCTCCCTGCCGCGTCGCGAGCTGCAACGCGCCCCAACTCGTCCGCCGCCGCGATCTTCCACGGCGCGCGAGCCCACCGCAGGATAAGGGGCCTCAGCGGCCTCGAAAGTGGGCTCCTCCTTCGCCAGGGCAAGCTGCACGGTCAAGCCCTTTGCTCCTCGCGACCCCGGCAAGATCTCCCCCGCAGCGCGCCTTAGCAGCTGGAGTTGATGATCAGGCGTGCCCAGGCACTTGCACCCATGCAGCACCGAACGCTTGGGCGCGCACTTGCCGCCCAGCCCCGGGCCTCCCGACATGGCCCGTCCACCTCGGCGCAGGTGGAGGAGGCTGGCGGTGCACTTCCTCATCTTGCTGAACAACTTGCCACTCTTGGCCGCGGCCACCGCGCCCGCCGCGACCATGCCCACGCCCGGGTGCGGACGCGCACGCTCCACAAGCAAACCACGCTCGCCCATGACCGCGATCGCGGCCTCACGGAGCCACTTGGCGCCGGCCACGACCGCGTCGCTGTCCTGCTCGCCCGCCGAGAACTCCAGGCCCAAGCCCGCGAAGCCGACCATGCTCTCGTCGACGATGTCGGGGAAGACATCCGCCACCCACTGCTGCGCACCCCGCTGATTGACACACCAGCGGGCGCCCCACCACCAGCGCGTCTACTGCATCCTGGATGACCTTCCTCAGGAAGCCGACAGAGAATTTACTGCCCGCGAAGGTGGTAGCCACCGTGCACGTCTCCGTAGACGCCGACCCCCCAGCCACGACGCGCCTGGCCATCGCGAAGTAGGAGCACACCACCGCCAAGACCCCCGTGTGGAACTTCATATGCTTGCCCCGCTCCCACAGGCCATGCAAACTAACGCGTTCGAGAGCCTTGACCAAATCCAAGATGGCCGGCATCGTGGCCATGACCGCGGGGTCCACCTCTCCTGGATCACCCGCTTCGTGAGCCAACAGCACCACCCAAGCCGCGTCCTCCGCTGATCTGCCATGCGCAATCCCACGAGCGCTGGTTTACCTTGGTCTAGGCAAGGAGGTACGGCTCCCGCATGATCTCCCACACGCGGACCAAAGTGGGCAGCAAGCCAGTAACGCGATCGGCGTTCGCGCTCTTCGGGATCAAGAAGAGGACGACCGTGGCCGCGTTCTTCGGCCACGCAAGCGCGCGCTCCATCTCCCTCCGGATATCCAGCAGCCTCCAGCACGCGGGGTCAGACACCCCCTGCAACATAAAAGGATGCCAGCGGTCCACGCCTACCCCTGTCTTCTTCTCGAAGGACCTGGCTACCTCTTCAACCAGTCGAGGTCCGCCATCTGGAAGCCGCCCAACTCCATGCAGGCCTCGCACCCCCGCGGCCTACGAGCTTGCGGCAGCGGGTCGCCCACGCGCCACGCGTGCTTCCATTCACCAGGCGCTGCCTCAGCTGCCTGAAATGGATCTGCCGACGCCTGCGCTGTGGCAGCTCGCCGCGGACGCCATATCTCCACGGTCTTACTCAGCCCGTGGAGCCCTCCAGCTGCACCTGAAGCCGCTGCCTCCTGCTTGTCCGACCACTTCTGCCGCCGCTCCTTGACCGAGCCCTGGTCGTAGCGCTTGGAGCTCGCCTGCGCCTCCTCGACCTGCTTCTGGGAATCCTTCTGCAAGGCTGGCCTGCGCCGGGTTTCCCGCGCCACCGCCCGGCGCCGCTCGCCCCAGACCTTGCGACCCACATCTTCGAAGACTTTCATGCTCGAGGTCTGCCCCTCGAACTTCTGCTCACATGCGAACGCCCCCTGGTGCCGCTCGACCAAGGGCGCGGCCGGATTGCGGAGGGCGCGCGCCGGCCACCCCCACCACAATTCAGCCCGCTGCGGCGTAGGCTGATTGGAACGCCCTCGGGTAAACCCTTCCAACCTTCACTGCGGCAGCCCTGCGCGCCCTCCCTGCGCGTGGGAACCATTCCGCACCATGCCGCGTAGACCGAATGCCTCGTGCTCCAATGCGCGCATGTAATGGCCCCGCACCTGCGCGGCCGACCCCCGCGTAGCGCGCGCTCCCGCTGGCGCGCAGCTGGGCGGCCCAGGCGCGCATCCAATCGGTGCGTCGCCCACAGTCTTGGGCCTGCTGAGCGTGCGCGCCCAGCGCTCTCGTGGGCGGGCGCCCAGAGTAGGGCCCGCAGGCTTGCGCGGCGCAGACGGCCGCGCCTCCCGCGCCGCCACCTCCACGGCCTGGCCCCCCAAAGACTCCGGGGCAATGGAATGGTCGACGGTCGCGTCGGCCCAAGTCGCGCGACGCGCGCCGCCGCCATCGCGACCCGACCGCCCAAAGACTCCGGGACAATGAATCGATGGTCGCGTTGGCCCAAGTCGCACGACGCGTGCATCCCAGCGCGGATGGCACCACCAGCGCCGCCTCGGCGAGCTCCAGCGCGCCCACCTCCGCGAACTTAGACGGGCCATTCTGGAAATCGTCACAGATGACCCACGGCGCGGCCAGTCCCCCGAGGTGCCCTACGACGTGCTCCAGGAAACGCCGATTGCAATGCGGCGCGCCCTCCGCCGCCCGCAGGTGGACCGACGCCACAGCGAGATCACGGCGGCCCGCGTCTAGCCAAGCAGCCGCTGCGCGCCCAGGACTGCCCTTGGGCGAGATACCCCGCGTCTTCTGACCCATGACGCAGGTCGTGCCAACATCCTTGGGCGCCGCAATCGCCGCCAATCGCAGCACCTGGCTCTCCACTCTGTGCAGCCGCAGCCACCGCGGAGGCACCGCCTAGCTGATGCCATTGCGCCTTCATGTTGAGGGTGACGCCTGCCCACTCGTCGCCCATCATGCGTTGCCGCTGCGAAGCATAGACGCGCCGCATCACGCCGCCCTGAGGCCCCAGCAGCCCCCCTTGATCGCGCCCCAACTTGACGCGCTGAAGGTCCATGAGGTGAGCTGCTTTCTCCGAGGCACTTTCTGCGCAGGTGGAAAGGGGGCGGCGCGCTGCTGCCTGCGCATCAGCACCTCGGCGCAGCCTCGCATGCCCCCACCGCCTTGCACTTGGCCATCCTCATGGCCATCGGGCAACGCAGTATCAGGTGGCACTCGGCTCCCGGGATGCCGCCGCATACCCTGCGCAGCCGACGGCGACGGAGTAGCCGCGCAGGTCGCACATATGCCGCGACCCACTCCGTCGCAGCCCCCCAACTCCCCCAGGACATCTCCGACGAGACCCTGAGGCGAGTGGCTAAGTGGGGCCACTGGCGCCGCCGCCGCGCCCCGCCCGCCGCCCGCAGGCCCAGCCGCAGCAACGCCAGCCTGCTCGGTGACGTCACCCTCAGGCCGCGCGCACCACCCCTCGGGACTCCAGTCCTCACCTGCCCAGGCGGGAACCTCGTTCTGGCTGCGTAGGTACTGCGCAACCCCTGCCCGCAGCGGCGACACGCGTACAAGGGCAGCCGCCAAGTACACCAGGCCGCTACCCGCACCTCTGGTGCTTGAGATTGCGAGCGCGCTGGATCTGGAGCACCTCCAGGTGCCGTTTGTGTTTCTCGGGCTGCTGATCCTTTTCGGCCACGCCGGTTTTGCCCAGCAACCAGGCCTTCTCTTCCGCTGTGACGCCGTCTGGTCCCGATCCTTGGTCGACAGCCATGCCTCCGTCTTGATCTCCTGCGCCGCGTGATCCTGCGGCTGCTGGCGGGCCGCCGCCCCTTGGCCCAGCTGGCGTGCCAGCAGCAGGAGCAGCAGGAGTGGACGCGGCCACCGCTCGCCGAGCTGCGCGAGGCCCGCGGCAAAGCCCAGCGCATCGAGGGAAGTGCCAGCCTGCTCTTCTAGTCCCTCGAGAGCCGCGCGATGGACGCCCATGTCCGCGGCGGGCGACTTGGGCTTCTCGGCGGCGACCCTGGCCTGGATCTCCAGCCCGTTGGCCCTGGCCTCCGTCTCCCGCTGCTTGGCGGCCGTCTCCATCTCCAAAGCCTTCGCCAGGACGTCGCGCGCATTCTGCACCTCCGCCTCAGCTGCCACCCGCTGCTTGGTGGCCTTCGCAGACTGGCGGCTGGCGTCGCGCAGCTGCGCGGACAGCGGCTTGGCCCTGTCACGAGCCTCACGCGCCGCGGCAATCTTCTTGTCGTACTGGGCGAACTCAACCTGCAACCAGTCGGGGTTGGTGCCGTCGAAGAACACACCCTCCAGCCGCTTCTTCACTTCGGTGAGTCGCTCGAGCTCCGACTTGTCTTCGCCCTTGGCCTCAGCCGCCCTAGGTGGGGGAGCGCCGCCCTCTGCGCTGGTCCGCGTAGCAGCCAACTGCCTATTGTGTTTGTTGCTGTCCACCGTGAGCTGCTTGAATTGGACCTGCAGGGCAGCGAAGGCGGCCTCCAGTTGTGAGTTGGCCTGGCCATGGCCCTTGCCGTTCCCGCGCTTTGGCCTGGTCGCTTCACACTTGCGACACGATGCCCTCGCGGCCCAGTAGCTGCCAATGCCACATGCTCCGCGCGTCCACCCTGGCTCCTTCTGAACGCTTGCATCCGACGCGGCGCCAGGTAGTGGCCATGCCGACGCCGCTGCACGGCCATGACCGCCCCCGAACACAAGTTTCGGCTTGGGCCAACGCTTTCCGCCAGCCTTGACCTGCCATGCGTCCCCGCCGCCCGCCATGGGTACGCCCCACGCGCCGGTGCGAGCCGACAGAGGGTCTGGCCCTGGGCCAAGGGCCTCCGTGCTTTGCCACGGGGTGAAAACATCTTGAGCCATGCTGTCTACGGAAGAGGCCCATAAGAGGCTCCAAGAGGTCCTCAAGAGACCCCACGGGGCCCGGAAAAGGCCTCCAAAAGGCTCCCGAGAAGCCCCGAAGCTGCTCCGAAGAGGCCTCCCAGAGCGCTCCGAATCGACCCAAATCGTCATCCCTGTGAACTCTGACACAAAACCCAAGCAGGGTGGCGGGATGGGCCGAAGGCCATTCGCTAGCGTCTGGATACCAGGTGCCGCGGCCGAACAAGACACCTCGCATGAAGCTCCATCGGGCCTGCCATACTTCGCATTCGGGTACAACGAATCGGCTCCCCCCGCTGGACGAGCACTCCTGGTTCGTTTTTCGGTGTGGGCAAAGCGATTCTTCCAAAGACCGAATCTGCTCCAACGTGTCGCTTCCTAGCTTAAGATACATCTCGGGTTCCTGACACTGCTGCTGCGTAAGGGCCTGTTGCGAACGACTCCAGGAGATGCATCACACTGGTTCGGTATGCTTGATTGTCTGTTGCCTGGTCAGCACTTAATTGAACGGGTTGCGTTGCACTGGTTGGTTAGCATGGTTGACTGTAGTGCGTTGCTTGCTTTGATGTGCGTTGCATGTATTGGTGTGCTTTTGTGTTGCTATACTTTGCGATACTGAGAATTTCCTGTTGGCATCGCTCTGGGTAGAAGGGAAAGAGCGATCTCACCATAGCGTGGCAAGCGCAGCAGCGTGAAGCAGACAACCGACCAGAAACCCAAAAACGCTATACAGTCCGATCTGCCATAGGCGAGCCATGCAATGGACCGTAGTCTTGGTAATACAAAACGGCAAATTGTGTGTATGGCTGTGAAGTAAGAAAGGAGAAGCGGGGATGAGGGGAATCCCGAGGTTGCAGCAAAATTTGCGAAACACAATGGCGATATAGCACTTCGTGCTCTATTCCCCAAACCATCGACCGAATCCGCAAACCTAGATCGAACACGAACGCCGGGTCAGAGCGAAGAGATTACATACGAACAACAAATGCCCGCCAGCCGCCTTGGGAGCCAACACATTGCACTGGTTGTGTTCCCCCGCGCCCTGAAGCATTACCAGGGGCGCACTTCTACGAACAACCACATTCGCACCTCAGGGGCCACAATCCGCTATCAGTTGCGATGCGTTCGCGCTCTCGAGTCCACAAGCCATTGCAACTTGCAGCGAGCTCGCGCTCCCGAAGCAGAAACCAGAAGCAGGTTACAACGCGATCGCGCGCCCGAGGCTACAATCCCCAGTGGATTACAACTGCTGTGCGCCCATGCAGCAGCAACAAAGAGTTACACCATGCTCGCGTTCCCGAGGCCACGCTCCATCGTCAATCACAGCGGGCTCGCGTTCCCGAAACTGCAGCACATTGAGCCGAGGCCGCAATTCACGGTGAAGTGCAACTGGCTCGTGCTCCCGAGGTCAGAATACATCGGACATGACAACGCAGTCGGGCTCTCGAGGCTACAATCCCTTCTTAATTGCAACAGGTTCGCACCCCCGAAACCACGATCGGTTGCAAAATACAACGCGCTCACGCTCCCGAAGCCACCCCTCAGAAACTGTCCAAAAGAGCCACCCCCTCTCCTGTGGAAAACAGCAGCCACTCTATGAATTGGAATGCGTGTTCGTGCGGCGAAACTTTGGACCCCTCCCCTCGTTTCCTGCAATTTCGGCTCTGGACCTAAGGTCACGAATAATCAACAACAAGAGGAATACGCGCTCCCGAACCCGCGAACCATTTCAAATTACAAAGGATTGCAGGAGACATGCGTGCTCCAGAGGCAACCATGCCTTATTGCTTGTTACAGGCGCGAGCAACAGTTCAACCAGGAAGCATACAAAATCGAACGCCATCTACTCCAGATTTCGTAATAAAGGGAGGGGGGTCTCATTTCGGGGGGGGTCTCTTCCAGGCTATCTTGGAGGGCCTGGGGGGTCTGGGGACGATGTTTTGGAGGGTTCTCCCACGGGGGAGGTCTGAAATGGCTTGTCTTGGAGGGTCCAGGCCCCCTGCCTTTTATTACGAAATCTGGAGTATGTATTTCGACAGCAACCAATCATGCGTGTTGAGAGACAGCCAGCCGACAAGAAAACGAAATAACCAACCAACCGACCAAGCGACGCCACTGCCACGCAACCAATCTTAGGGGGGCCGGCAGCAAATGGCGACGCCATTCAGATATCTCAGGATGTACTGCGAAGACGGTGAGAGCTGGCACAGAAGAGCAGGAACGGCCACTGACCCACCTCGTTGACGCCTCCCCAACGAATGTAAGGGCGAACTCGCTGGCGACGGCACCAGCGGCGCCCACGGCGAATGCACCCGGCCGCTGAATTGAGGGCATTGCCATCCCTCTGCTGACACCGTCATGACACATCTGACGTCTTGGCACCGGCGTATTCGAATAGCTTCACGCGCTCGAGCTGGCCAACTCAGGACTGCAATTCGCCCCCTTCTGCGGCTGGCGCGTGCAAAGTCGAACACACGTATTGTTTTGTGTTGCGCTGTGTTGTTCTGTAGTGGGTTGCTTGCTTTGCAATGCGTCACGCTGTTTTGAACTGCTTTGTGTTAAGCAAATGTGCTGTTCGTTGTACTGTGTTCCGTTACAGTCCCCGTCCTGGGAAACACGTTGCGTTGTATGCCGTATGTCATTGCTTTGCATTACATTGCGTTGGGCGGTGCAGGCTTCCCACCAGGGGCCGCGCTTACTTCATCCACGTGGTTGAACGTCTGGCAAGCACTGTTACACAACATATTAAGGCTAGCACGTTCCGCTGCTGACACATAACGCAGGAAGTCGGTCCTCGGAGCAACCAAGTCACGTCACGAAATCTACTAGCGTCTAGCTCTGCAATGATCGCGCGAGTCAATATATGTGTATAAATATATACACCTGCAAGTCACTCCGTTCCAGCCACACTTGGATGATTCCCGCTCGGGGCATTCTTCACACTGTCACCGTACCGCTGGAGAACGCTGGGCAGCGGAATCGAGCGGGGTGGCAGGGGAGATATGGGATGTATCCAGGACGTGTGGGGGAGGAGGGGGATCCGCGTAAGCGCCCAGAAGAAGGAAGAGAACAGGATGTCGCATATTACGTGCGGGCACGGAGTGGTAAACACTTATGTAAGAAGGAAGGGGAAAGATAGGATCACGGAGCTGCCTCTAGCAAAGGTGAAGGGTGGAAGGAAAGGATGGAGGGGATGACTTCTGGGGGAAGAGGAAAGAGGGCGAGGAGGGGCAGCAGGTAGATGGAGGAGAGGAGGGAGGAGGAGGACTACGACGAGGCAGGATCTTGCGTGGACGGAGCCCGAAAACCAGCGTGGACGCCAGCTCACTTGAACGCTGAAACGGCTTTTCCTTTTCGCCCCCAGCATCCCCCGCTTCCTCCCGCACCGACCTCCTCCTTGTGCTCCGTCTCCAAATCACCCTTCCTCCTCCAGCTTGCTCCTCCCCTCCTGCCTCATCCTCCTCAAATTCAAAAAAAGAAGCCAAGACGAGGAAAGTTCGGGTGAAGATGAATCGAGAATCCCGGAGGTCTGGCGGATCTGGAAGCTGTCTCGGGCGCCGCGGCCTTCTCAGAGCGCTCCTGCACGCTCTGAGAGCCCTCCGGAAAGCCCTGGAACGGCTTTATCCTCGTTCTAGCCCCGTCCGATCCTGCGTCATCCTCCTCAAGGCCCCACCCATTCACCACTCCACGGGCTGAGCTCACTCCTCCTCCTCCACCTCCTCCTCCTCCTCCTCCTCTTCCTCCTCCTCCTCCTCCTCCTTCTCCTCCTTCTCAATTGCCCCTCCTTCTCGTACGCGCTGAGCCCACTGCACTGGCTGCCCGGCGGCGTCCGCTGGGGCTCCCAGCGGGCTCGGGGCAGCTGGCGCCCGCGCCGGGGGGGGTCCCGGCGGCGGGGGCGGCATGGTGAAGGCTGGCGCCTGCGACGTCGACGCCGCCGACGCCGATGACGACGACGACGACGACGATGCCGCCGACGACGCCGACGACGACGACGACGACGCCTACGACGACGACGACGACGCCGATGACGACGACGATGACGACGACGACGCCGACGACGACGACGACGCCAACGACGTCGATGCCGCCGACGACGACGTCGACGCCGCCGACGACGCCGCCGCCGACGACGCCGACGCAAAACGCCGACGACGGATGATTTTGCTCCCCTCCCCTATCCCTCCTCTGGTTCTGCCTCGAGGGGCTTGGCATAAGCGGCCCGTACGGCCATTTGCCTCGACTTGTCCTCCTCCTTCTCGTGATGGCAGTGGGCAAGGGCATTCGCACGATGAATGCTCACGCAGACTTATCATTTTTTTGTGTCTAACACGCCTGTTGCCAGAAAGAGTGAGACAGCACACCTTCAACAGACGAAAGAGAGTGGGAGGCAATTACTCGTGAGGCTCCCATCTGCCACGGGGGGTGCCTGGCATCCTGGGCGGCAGCGCCTCCGTAACTTGCACAGCAGAAGGAGAAGGAGGAGGAGGAGGACGACGAGTGAGTCTGTGCACTATGGCAGGTGAGCGGCCAGACCACGCCTCGAACAAATGCTCACGCAGACTTATCATGATCGGGGGGGCTTTCACAGTCTCCACCTCATCCCTTGCTCAAAAGCCCGTCGCTGGCGAGTTCGCTGGCCCTGCCAGCTAGAGGCGTGCCACAAAGCCTGGCAGGACGGTGAGAGGATCGGGGTAGTTCTGGCTCGCGAGCGCGTGGTGGCCCCTGGGGGCCCCCGAGCGACACAGTGCCTCGACCCACGCCCGGCCCATGCCTATAGCCAAGTCTGCCACGGGGCGCCGTGGCTCCCGGGTGACCCCCGAGGGCGCTCCAGGAGCACCCACAGTGGCCCCAAAAGGGTGTTCCGAGAGGGCCCGGGAATCGGGATCGAGGGGCGGCAGGCCCCAAGATGTCTTTGAGAAGATCCCGAGAGTGCCCAAATATAGCCCACCCAGATGGTCAAAGACGGTCCCAAGAGTGTCCCCAGAAGCATCATGTTATGGATGTCCCAATCGGTCGTTGAAAGTGATGTTGCGTTGCGTTTCTCGCCTTTTTCGGGCCTCCGACCGCCCAAGACGGCCTCAGAGGCCCCCGACACCGCCCCTGGACAGCCCAAGATATTCCCAGGAGGGCCACAAAAAGGCTGAAGAGGGCCCCAAGGCGGCCCAAGAAGCCCCCACTGAGATTTCGAATTCATACCCCAGAGGTGGCCTTCGAGACTGCCGGAAGGGCCCCGAGAGGCCCCAGAAGCCCCCAAGACACCGCCAAGAAGCCCCGAGAGGCCCTCGAGCGGCCCCGCGAGGACCCCAAATGCCCCTGCGAGCACGCAGGCACGCGCCAACGATGCTGGAAGCTGGGCCAGCGGAGTGAGCGAAGCCACTCCGCTGCCCTGCCAGGGACGGCGTGTCAGATCCACCGCACGGTCTGCAGGGCATGCTCCCTGGAACTCCTTTCGCCGGCGCGCTTCTCATACCTACCCCTGCCTTGGAGCCCTCTGGGCGCCACCAAGCCCTGTCAGAGAGCTCTCCGGGGGCCTACTGGGCCGGCTTGGGGGGCCTCTCGGGGCCCCGGTCTGAGCTGACCGTGGCCGCCCTTCGGGCCACCTTGGGCCGTCCCGGATGACTCTCCACCTCTGTTCGAAACACGTGCTCGAGAAACCCCCAAGAATCAAACATCACAGCAGAACACATCTGATTCTGACGATCCTGGCCTTCTCGCGGTTGTCCTTCCGCGCCTCTCTTCAAGCTCTCGCGCATCACTGCGGGCTCTTGCGGCTATCCTGAGACATGCGGATGCCCTCTGCGGCCGCCTTCACAGCCTTTCGGGGCTCTCCTCGGTCGTCCGAGCGCCTTCTCGGTGCATGTTTCGGCCGTCTGGGGCGCCCCCAGAGAGCCCCCAGGGCCCTCTCCAGGAGCCAAAACCTAACTGGGACTGCTTTTTCCCCCTCCCGCTCTCATCGTTCACCCCACTCTTGTGACAGATGCTCTGCGCCGTGGCCCTACGAGGCCCCCTAGAACTCCCACGAAGAGCCCAAGAGACCCTCAGGAAGGTCCCAAGGGGGCCCCGAGACGCCCCCGCAGAGCCCGAAGAAGCCCCGCTCTCTGGCGCCGTCTTGCCCCCCATCCCACGACTTCCAAGATCCGGCAACGGTGGAGCGCCGAGGGGGCTTTCAAAACATAATTTCGCTCGTCTCCCTAAGACACCTCCCTTCGCTGCTTCCTCTCGGACCGCGCTTGCGCCGATCCCCGTTTCCCTGTCTGACGCCCTCCGCTCTGTAGATCGCCCTCTTCTTCCTCGAACTCGCCCCATAAAATCTCCACGTCCCTAAAGCGGGACGCCACTCCCAGGGCTGATCCAGCCACCATGCGTCCGAGGGGGCCGTACTGGAGCCCTCTTGGACCCACCCAGGGCCGTCTGGCCACTCTGTTGGCGCCCTCTTGACCCGTCGTTGGTGGAGCTCCTCCTGACGCCCAAAACAAAACTCACCTGTGCTTGCTCCGTCTTGCGTCTCCGAATCCCCCTGCGGCTTCGTTCCCAATTTTCGACACCTTTGAATGTGCTACGATCTACGATACCGCTTTCGGAGCCTCTCGCGGCCCTCTTGGGCCGTTTATCGTGCTTACTTGTTCACCTTGCGCCGTTTCTGGCCCCACTCCCACAAACTCCGCGTTTCAAGAAGGCAGGGCGGCTGTTTCTGCGATTGCCAGACAGTATTTTACGTCGCAATCACACGCCCGCAGCAAGACCAGGTATTTGAAACTTCGACTTATAGAGCCAGGACGAAGAGAAAACCCGCCGCTGGCGCCGACTGACCGTAGATCGCAAAAAAATATGTGTGTGTGTGTGTGTGTGTGTGTGTGTGTGTGTGTGTGTGTGTGTGTGTGTGTGTGTGTGTGTGTGTGTGTGTGTGTGTGTGTGTGTGTGTGTGTGTGCGTGCGTGCGTGTGTGTGTGTGTGTGTGTGCGCATAATTTCTGCGCAACCCAGGCCAGCACGAACCTTGGGCCCCTCAGCGGCGATCACTGACCCCCGCCCCAGCCCTCCCGGCGATTCCGCTACAGTCGGGGCGTTGACCCTAAGGAACCCTAAATAAGGAACGAGGCCCTTTTTTTTCCATAAGTCAAACTTCGATTTCCTATCGAAAATGAGGCAAGCTGTGAAACACTTAAGGAACGCAAAGCCCCTCCCCAACCAAAAGGGTTCCTCCTTCAGGGCCCCGACTGTCAATGAATACGGCAGGGCGGGACTGCGAACGACAGTAAGCAGGGAAAGGAGGAAGAGGAGGACCAGCCAGATGATGACAGCTGGGGAGGACCGGGAGACGACGGAGAGGACGACGACGAGGACGAGGGAAGAAGGGGTGGAGAGAGAGAGAGAGAGAAAAAAAAAAAAAAAAAAAAATGGGAAGAGAAGGAAGAGAAGAGGAAGGAGGAGGAGGGGAGGAGGAGGAGGGAGGAGGAGGAGGAGGAGGAGGAGGAGGGGGACCACGACGGCCAGCAGGACAACAACAACGACGACGTGGGGAACTGCGCGCGGCCGTCGGCGGGCCCAGCGCGGTGGCAGCAGCAGGAGTAGGGGGCCACATGTGAACCCTACCCCTACCCCCCACGATTTTTGAGGGGAGGGTGGGGTTCACTTCGCTCGGGAGCTCCCGAACGAAGTGAAGCCCACCCTCCCCCTCGGAAATCGTGGGGGGTAGGGGTAGGGTTCACATGTGGCCCCCTAAAGAGACCGGCCTGCGTGCCCAGGCTCGGGCCGGCGGCCCCGCCAAGGGGCAGCTGATCCCACCTGGCCGGGCACGCGGGGGAGGCCGAGGGGACCCCAGCAGCAGGAGGGCTGAAGGGAAGGGGGGGGTCCGAGGGAGAGGGAGGGGAAAGAGGCGGCCGAGGGAGGTAGATGAGGAGGGCGAGGAGGGAAACTAACGAGGAGGTCCGAGACGGGGAGCGAGGGGTGGAAGGGGAGAGCGAAGGAGATGGACGGCGACGAGGAGGTGAAGCAAGACCTAGAGGGGGGAATGGAGGACGCAGAGGACGCGGGGGAGGAGGAGGAGGTGGGGAAGGAAGAAGAGGATGCACAGAGAGCGGAAGGAGGAGGACATAGAAGAGGAGGATGAGGAGGAGGAGGTAGAGCGTAGCAGGGGGCGAGCGACAAGTCTCCTTTTACCTGCTCATCCTCCCCTCCCCTCCGCGCGCCTTGACCACGCTGACGTGAAGCGCCCTTGGCTCGAGAAGGACCCCTTGCCTCCCTCGAGCGCTTGGATCTTCATAAAAACGGCATGGGCATGTTCTACCGTTTTGCACGTTGGGGGGTTTTAGCTTTCCAAGCTCAATTCTTATTCAGTTGTTGCTGAAAAGCGCCAATATCAGTTCTTTTTGCAGGTTCCGAAACAAGGACAAGAAAACCAAACAAACAACGCGCACAGGGCATGTTTAACAACAAGTAATATCTCGAGCGGGGAGACGAACTGATCGCGTCGATCAACGCCAGTGCTTCCCCGGCGTCGTTGCCGACCAATCGACCGAAAGCAAGACGGTACGCATGATAACAATAAGCGCAGAAGACGGGCGAGCCACGGGGACCGAAGCAAAGCCTGCAAGCTCCCAGCAGCGGCGATCGGCAGGCCATGGAGGCGAGTAGGTGGAGACAACGGGAGGACACAGGGTAGTGATTCATCGAGGCGCGGCCATCTTCGCACCCCATCACGCATTGAGCATCACGCTGCACGTGGCAGTTCGTGGGCCATGCCACGAGCCACGTCTTGAGGAACATGTGGGGCTGAACGGTGGGGAGGTGCCCCGTCATGTCACGATGCCGGGCTCTTCCTCCTTCTTCTTCTTCGGATGGAGGGGCTTCGCAAAACCGTTTTTCAAGATTCTACGCTCCAAGGTCCGCAAGATCGACCTGTTAAATGCTTGTGTTTGCAGGTTGGAGGAGGAGGAGGAGGAGGAGGAGGAGGAGGAGGAGGAGGTGAAGCCTCTCCGCCGCTTGGGCCGTCGCCCCTCCGATGCCCCCGCCCGAAGATCCGAGGAGCCCGCCCGCCCACCCCGCTCCCGAGCCGGGCCCGACCCACCACTGGGGAACCGAGGGGTCTCGGGGAAGCCCTCCTCCTCCCTCCTCCTCCTCCTCCTCCTCCTCCTCCTCATCATCATCCTCCTCCCCCCCTGCGAGAGCACGAGCCCTCCTCCTCCTCCTCCTCCTCCTCCTCCTCCTCCTCCTCCCTCCTCCTCCTCCCTCCTCCCTCCTCCTCCTCCTCCTCCCTCCTCCTCCCTCCTCCTCCCCTCCTCCTCCTCCTCCTCCTCATCCTCCTCCCCCCCCTGCGAGAGCACGAGCCCTCCTCCTCCTCCTCCTCCTCCTCCTCCTCCCTCCTCCTCCTCCTCCTCCTCCTCCCTCCTCTCCTCCTCCTCCTCCTCCTCCTCCTCCTCCTCCTCCTCCTCCTCCTCCTCCTCCTCCTCCTCATCCTCCTCCCCCCCCTGCGAGAGCACGAGCCTCCTCCTCCTCCTCCTCCTCTCCTCCTCCTCCTCCTCCTCCTCCTCTCCTCCTCCTCCTCCTCCTCCTCCCCCCCCGGCGACCCCTGGATGCCACCAGAGCAGCTATGACATCCATTTGAAAAAAAGGAGGGCTGATGTGGCGGCTGGCATACCATGTGGGACCTGCTCCAGAACCGGATCACACCGCAGACGGATCTGCCCTTTCGCCGACCTTGCCCCGCACCCAAGGCAACGGCCACGTTGTTCCTAGACGCATCCACACGAAAATGTCCATGAGCGTCACGGCACCACTGTGTCGATAAACGCTCTTGGCTAGGACGTGAGAGCGGTATTTGGCATCGGTCCATGATGTTGGTCTTCTAGCAGGAAGGCATGGCCCTCCAATGTGGAGGGGCGCTCGCGCACTTGCTGCGATCGGGCCGCGCTCTTCGGAGGCCCGTCGCAGACGCTTCAGACGGGGCGGCCGCGCCTTCGGGAGGGCGTCAAGAGCGCAGCGCATGCGAGCTGCGGCATCGGTGGCGACCGGGGACGATATTGTCGCTTCGGTCTGCCAGCGGCGTCGTGCAAGAGGCCGGCCGAAGCGTCGTTGGTTTGGCGATGTGCAGCTCTGGCGGCGCGTGTGTCCATACCTTCCACCCGAGCTCTGCATAGGGCCGACTTGTTCGATCGGGCGCAGCGCAACGCAACTGCCAACGGACGCGGGACTGAGCCAGTCCGACAGCCCCAGGGCCGACGCTGAGCACCGCCAATCGCGGGCGAATTCAAAACGCCCCCGGCGGCCCCGGATGGATACACGGTGGAGGGGCAACTGGGCCTGGCAGGAGGCACAGGGCCACGCGGCAGGAGGGCATTCTCAAGAGGGAGCTGGCGTCAGCCCCTGTCTTGGCCAACTCACGCACCCTAGGGGGGTAACTTGGGCCGCGGCGCTGCGGATTTGGCGGCGAGCGAGGCCCCGGGGCCCAGGAAAAAGCCGAAGTAGAGGAGCGAGGCCCTTGCAAGAGAGGCGGCCTCGAGCTGGGCCCAGGCCCTGGCGAGCCGTGCCACCGAGGGGGCTTGGGGCCAGCGGGGCCGGTCTACATTTCCTGAAGTACGGAAGCAAGCCGGCCAAGGCCTTCGCGATACAGAAGACGCGAGGAAGGTCCTTCAATCCCTTCGCCGTTCGAATAATACTTCCCACGTCGTCTGCGCGGCAGCGCCGCGCGATGCCGCGGAGCTCGCGCTGACCCGACCTCCACATGTCGGCGTATATCGCGTATATCGAACCCGAAAGAGGTCATCCCTGAACCACACCAGACATAGCCTAACATAGAAGGTCCCAGGAGCCAGAAGTTGCCATGCAGCAGGGGGTGAGGACGTAGAGCATCTGCACGCTGGCCTGGAAACCGTTCGGCAGCTTCGCGAGGCGGGCGGTTAGTTAAAAGAGCCCACTTCTGGGAGACCGATGGGAAGGCCTGGAAGAAGTCATAGGCGTGCAAGAGCGGCTCGAACGGGTCCGATACCGAATGTCCCCAGCTTGCGCTCCGCGCAAGCGCGTCCAGGTCCAGGGCGTCTTATGCATGCGACCGCCCCTGAACGAAGCCCCGCTGAATGGAGGCCCCGAACTACCCGGTCCAGGAGCGGACGCCGCACTTCAGGGGCGGGCACGCGATGCTGTTGGACGTGCTCGTCAGCTCCCGAGGGCGGGACTGCCCCCCGCGCCGAAGAATCCGAGGCCCCAGGGAGTTCTTCGTCCGCAGGCGGGCCCGCTGGGAGGACCGCCCCGACCGAGGCCCGGTGCCGGGCCCGGGCCACGCCTCCAAGCGCACTGAGGGCAGGGGATCTCCACGAGGGCCCGTTTTCCACCACCACCACCATTAAGTTGGAGGGGGGAAGGAGGTGGAGGATGAGGCGGAAGAACAGGAGGAGGAGGAGGAAGAAGAAGACTCCCTCCCCCTCCTACTTCTGGTGGTGGCGGCGGAAAGCAATGCAATCCCACCAGGCGAGGGGTCCCTCGCAGACAGACCAGGCCCGACAGCACAGCCCGCCAGGGCCGCGGGGCCACTTCGGCCTCTCTGGCCCGGACGGAGACGGGCGCGCGCGAGCGGCGGGCGGAGCCCGCCTCGCGGCGAAAGCGAGGCGCGCGCCTTTCAGCCGGCGAGTGCAGCGGCGGATCGCGCCGCAGGACGGGAGCCCCAGCGCGCGCCCAGGCGCCCGGCTCCGCTCCGGCGCCGCCTGCGCGAACGGACGTCCGGCAGCGCGTCGTGGAGCCGCAAGCCGTCTGACAGATGCCGTCGAACCGCGTTGGAGGGTGGCTTCGCGCTCTTAAGCTTCGTGGCGTTGCAGATCGGACTGTCAGTCCCGAACGTGCCCTGCATTGAAGAGGATGACCTGGCCGTTCGCCACGCGCGGGCATCTGGAAGTCCAATAGTGAAGAGCCAGAAGCGCTTGAGCAAGTCCGAGTTTTGCGCGCCATGCAACACGAGCAACGCCACGAGCGGTCATAGGCAGCTGTCACTTGTCACGAGGATGTCGTTGAAGCCGGTGGCTCCGCACGAGACGCCCGACGCCCCACCACATGGCGACTGCGGGTTGCAAGCCGCATCGTTTCTGAGGGCGACTTCCAAGAAATCGGTTGGCACAGCTTCTCACATTCAAAGGCCGCGCGACTAAAAAGAGGATCCGAGCAGATGGCCTTACCGGGGCGGTCTCGCAGCGTGGATTGGGTGTCGGCCACGGGGAACATCAGTGGGGCATGGTCGCCCTGATACCGAATGAAGTCTTCTGGTTCTCTCAAGCCTACTATGGACTGATAAATGTTGGGCCCGTAGCCACGGCGTGGAAGAAACAAGTGCTCGATCAATTCGGATCGTAATCTGCACCCCGTCGATGCCAGTCGTGTGGCCGGTCGACATCTCTCTCCGCTATGCCATTCCAAATCTGTCGCCAAACGAATCTCTGGGCCTGCCTGCGCGGGCGCGGCCCGGGACATGCGCGGGGGAAAAAAACGGACGCCCCCGCGTCGCCAGCGGAGGCGCCCCAGGCGAGGACCGGTGTGTCAGCAAGGGAGACAACGCCGCCATCGAGGGCCGCACAGCCCGCCGTAGACGCCGTCGCAGAAGGGGTCGCTCCAAAAGAAGGCCCAGGAGACGAGGGAGCACACCCAGCAGGAGCAGCGCAGGTGGTCGCCCGAGGCGTCCACGCCGAACCTCTTGCGGGACCCGGAACGCTTGGGCTGCCGAGGAAGACCTGTGCTTGCGGAAAGGCGATCGGCCTGCGCGACAGAGCTGTTGAAGCTGCCCGTGAACGCCTGGGAGAACCTCAGCGGCTCCATGACCACTTCGGCCCGATGCGCACGGGCTACGCTCCGCAGGTGCCGCAGCGCCGGGAAAGGGTATACCATGATATAATGCAGAGTCCGGCGGGGGAGAGCGAGGCCCGTCTCGCGATGGCGGCAAGCCAACACCAGCACACGGCGAAGGATCTCTCCCACGCGTCGGCCGTCCCGCTTGGAGGCGGAGTGCGCAGGGAGGAGAATCGCCGCGCCACCGCCGATTCAGCGCACGGCAGATCTGAACAGAACATAAAGACATGTTGTGTCCAGAACGCTGCAAAACTCTGGTGGCGGCAGCAGAGACTACGTCTCGAACCTCCCGCAGGTCAAAGATCATACATAGAGCTGGGCACCTCCAGCTTCTTGGCGATGCCCATCGACGTGTAATGGCAGAATCAGCAGCTGCAGGATGCGACGGAAGGAGGTCCTTGATGAGGGTGTCCAGGACGGGCTTATCCAGCTGCACGTCGGCGGGCTCGGCGCTCTTTCAGCGAATCCGACGGGTGGGTTCAACAGGATCAACTTCGTCGGTTCTTACTGGTGACTGACGATGCCTGCGTTTCTGTCGCCACAGACTCGCGCGCCGGGGCACTCCGATAGAGCCTTTGCCACGTGCTTCACTGCCATCTCACTCCGCGGCCGCGGGAAGATCGACTGAGAGCAGACGCCAAGTGCAACGATCGTCTCGAAGTGCAGCAAATGCTTGTCAATTCTTGTCGCATGCGGCTGTCGAGGGTGGCCCCCATGCCAACGCTGACCTGGAGAACGAACCGAAGGGAAGGACTACCACCGTCAAGACCACACTGCGCACGAGGAGCACAGCCAGCATCGCGCAGCCAGCCAGTGAGAGCTCGCCATCTGCACCGGCGCGGCGGGAACGTCCTCCTCGGCACTGGTGACGAAGACGGCCCGGTCCACCTCGAGATGCCATGATGCTGAGCGCTCAGTTGGGCCACGGGGGGCGGGCACGGGCGAGGTCGAGCTGCTCTCCCGAGGCGGGCCGGCTGGGTGGTGAGGTCCGCCGTCGTCGTACCTTGCTCATCGATTCGCCGGTGGATGACCTGCAGCTTGCGGTCCACCCCGACGAAGCGGCGATGAAGAGAGTCGGGTATACGGCCGACCAGCGGGGCAGTGGTCGACTGGACAGCAGCACCAAGTTGCCTGTCCAACGCGTCAGGAAGAGCTTGGCCCATGCCCTCCTGAACCGCCCCCGGAAAGGATCTTGAATTTCTTGCGACAAGGAATCACGCATACGAGGGACTTCAGAGTGGACAGCCTGCTGAGCCGATGAAGATGCCCGAAGGTCCACACTCGAAAAATCACCGGCCAGAATCGGGGCACGCCAGCGCCCAGCCACATGATGGCGCTCAGCGGCAGCGGGGGACGGGGAAAGAAGGGTCGGGGCAGCAAGGAAGGCCTCCCCGAACGCCGGGTCCACGGGGCCTGCAGGGTCTGGACGACGAATCCTGCCTCCCACGCTGACGACTTTCAGTAGGGGGACCTCGAGCCCGTGGCTCTTCTCGCGCTTTGGCCTGGGGTGCCTGCCCGATCGCGCCCCTTGCCGTCCGGGGCGAGGGGGGTGGTGGGCGGCGCGGGGGCCAGGCTCGGAGATCGCAGACCTTTGACCAGCACCGACAGGGCGGCGACGCCGATGGCGCCGCGGGGTCGCAGTCTCGGTCTCGGTGGTCCTGCGCTCAAGCTGCTTTGCCTCACCATCCTCGTTTTGCTTTTTTATTTTTTGCTGCAAGGCATACCCCGCCACGACGTGAGGAAGGGCGCTGCCCCACGCAGGAGCAGGCAACATCTCAATGCATTCGCATGGGCAGGCGCAGGTGTCGTGCCGGTCGGAAGATCGCCGCGGCCTGGTTTCGGATCACAGGTGTCCGATGGTTGCCCGAGAGGCGCAATCATCTTGGGCCGAAAAGGCGACAGAGGGGGAGGCGGAGGATCTGATCTGAAACGGTTGGGACGACGTCCAGCTTCGAAACGAAGCTGCCAAAGAACACTAACAGGCGGAGTGGCTGGGAGGAGGGGGAGGAGGCGAAGGAGGAGGACAAAGAGGACGGAAATGGATGGGGAACAAGATTGAGGAGGATGGGAATGATGACGAAGACGAGGATTGAGATGAGGGCTTGCGCAAGGAGGGGACGAAGGAGACAGCGATCAGGATACAACAGAGGCGGGCGAGACGATATCGATGAGGATAGGGACGAGCTGGACGTGAAGGGGGACGACGAGGACGACGATGTCGAGAAACCCAAGGACATGGAGATTATGACGAGGACGGGGCCAGAGGCGGAGGAGAGACAGGACTAGAGGAACGAAAACATCACATAAACACAAAAACTCTGAGGATCGCGCGGATTTCTTGGATCCGCGCTGGACCCCCCCTCCCTGGCGCGCGGAGCGCGCCAGGGGCGGCGCCGGAGGCGCCGCCTGGAAGCCCCAGCGCCGATCCGAGAAATCCGCGCGGGCCTCCGAGTTTTCGAAGGACGAGGAGGATGATGCGTCGGTCGGGCATGTCCCCCTACAGGCGGACCTTGGACGAGAAACAAAAAAAAGTCCAAACATACCAAAAATAGTCAAGCATTAATCGAAACATCGTCCCTATACAGTTCTCTATATTATATACCTATACGACCACCCTTCAGGTGATAAGGAGGTTGTGGGGAGGGGGGAGAGGGGGGGGAACCAACATCTGACTCAATCGATCTCACTATCGATCTCACTCAACGGGACACCATGGGACACCACGGGACACCACGGGACACCGCCGGACGGGCGGGAGGGGGAGAATCATTTGTCTTGACTTCGTCATTTGTCTTGACTTCGCCCTAGCAGCGGCGGACACCACGGGACACCACGGGACACCGCGGGACACCGCGAGCCACCGCCGGACGGGCGGGAGGGGGAGAATCATTTGTCTTGACTTCGCCGTAGCAGCGGCGGGTTCATTGCTCTCGCGCGCCCACGCAGCTTCGCCTCGCCCGCACGCACGGCACGAACGAAACGAAGCGATTTCCGGGTGGGGGGGGCTCCGTTCCACTGCGATCTCACCCCCCTGCCTCCGCTTCTTGAGCACTCCTCCTGCAGAGGGACATGCCCGACTTCAGAAGCTGGACGCCCAGGAGCTGGCCAGGCAGGGGGCGACGAGGGCGCGGCGCGCGGCGGGGCGCCGCGGCCGCCTGCTGCCCCCCGCGGCGGCGGCGGCCCTGCAGGGGCCCGCGCCAGGGGCAGCGGCGACGCCGGCGGGGGCCTCCCCGGGAGAGGCCGCCTCCCAGTCATCGGCATCGTCGCCGTCGGCGTGCGTCCTCCGATTCCTCGATGGCATGAGGGGAGGGCTTGTGGGTTGTTTTGGAAGCCGCGCGGGATCATCCTCTGTAGAGGTAGAAGGAGTGACAAGGAGGAGGAGGACGAGGAGAAGGAGGAGGAGGAGGGGGCAAAGGTCTTGGGTCTTGGGAAGCCGAAGGCGGCTAAGGGCATCTTGGGGAGCCTCACGCTCCTCCGATTCCTCCACCGCGTTCTCCTTCTCCTTCTCCTCTTCATTCTGCGAATCCAGCTTGTGCCTTCCACCACCTCGTCGCTACCTCGTTGTATCCCCGTCTTCTTCTCATTATCCTCCTGCTGGTGGTTCCTCGTCGTCCTCCTTCTCGCCAACGTGTGCGTCAACTCTATATTCTGCTTATGTGGCGCAACTGCCAGCGCATTCGATGTTGCAGCGGCTGAGGCATGCGCGCCACTTGACAATGGCCAACGTGTCGCGCGCACGATGGAGCATCACAACCATGTTACGGCAAACTCATGCACCTCCGTGTTTTCATCCTCCTCCTCGTCACTGCCTCCCACTCCTCCTGCTCCTCCTACTCCTCCTGCTGCTCCTCCTCCTCCTCCTCCTCCTCCTCCCCTCAGTCCATCCCTCGCGTCTTCTCTCCCTCCCCCCTCCTTCGACGCACAAGCAGGGTACACCAGCTCATCCTTGTCATCCTCCACATCCTTCTCAGCTCCCCTGCCGCCTCCTCCTCCTCCTCCTCCTCCTCCTCCTCCTCCTCCTCCTCTGCTCTGACTCCCTTCTTCGCTCCTCCTCTGCTCTGACTCCCTTCTTCGCTCCTCCTCTGCTCTAACTCCCTTCTTCGCTCCTCCTCCTCATCGTCCTCCTCCCTCGGTGCAAGAACGCACTCGTCCCCCCCCTTCCGCGGCGGCGCTCGGCGGCGCTTCGGGGCTCGCCCGAGGCGCCAGGGAGCCTGCGCCGGAAGCCGGAGGCGTCCTCGCGGGAGGGCGCGCCCCTCGCCCTCGCTCGGACGACGATTCCCCGTGCTCTCGATTGCGCGCGTGTGTTCTGCGCAAGAGGGCCCGAGATGCTCCTCGATGGTCCTCGTCGAGGAAAAAGGCACACGTCCGAGCGATGCCAAGCTCTCTTCGAGTTTACCCCATCCGAAAAGCTCGGGCTCTCAGACTCGAAGAATCGGCGGTGGACAAACCTTCCTGTAGTAGACCCCCCCTTTGTGAAAACGGCCTGGGACCGAAACCGACGGACCTGGACACGCAAAAATGACGGCCGCGACGCCCTCTCGCGAACCGAAAACAGCCAATTCCTTAATCGGCGTGTCAGGGTAGGAGGTCTGTCCACCCCCGAAAGAAACGGCTCCCAACCCGTTCGCCCGCCTCACATGCTGCGCCGCACTGACCCAATGTGCCCTCGCACCCTCGACCAGTGACAACAGAGCCAAGCCCACATGCCGCGGCCGCCAGGCTACAAACAGGCACGTGTACACACATGTGTATACGTACACGTCGGTCGGAAGAAGTAGGTAAAAACATTACTCACTGCGTGGAGCTCCCCATATGCGCATCTCATGTGTTATGTCATGCCGTAGTGAGCTTCTGTTCATGAGCGTCCTACCCCCTTGCGGCTCCTCTTGGGGGTGCTGAAGCCAGCGCCCCGCCTGAAACATCCTCACAATCTGCTCTGACAGCAAAGGATGTTGGGCACGAAAACGAGCAAACCGCCCGAGACATCCCCACAAACTGGCCGCGAACGGGCCCGTGAGAACACCTCTGGCGGCTCCCCTTAGGGGTGCTGAAGCCAGCGCCCCGCCTGAGACATCCTCAGCATCTGCCGTGTGTTAAGTAACTCAGGCTATGGGAAGGTCTGGGTATGTGTAGGTCTGGGTATGAGTAAGTCTGTGTATGAGTACGTCTGTGTACGAGTAAATCTGAGTATGAGTAAGTCTGTGTATGAGTACGTCTGTGTATGTGTACGTCTGGGTATGAGTAAGTCCGAGTATGAGTAGGTCTGAGTAGGAGTAAAGCTGAGTATGAGTAAGTCAGTGTATGCGTAAGTCTGGGTATGAGTAAGTCTGACTATGAGTAAGTATGTGTATGAGTACGTCTGGGTATGAGTAAGTCTGAGTATGAGTAAGTGTGTGCATGTGTAAGTCTGTGTTCTGGGTGTGTTATTGTTCTCTGGAGTCGGCGGCGTCCAAGAACTAACAAGAACCCCATCTTAGGATATGGGGAATGAAGTAGGAAGGAAGATTAAGTGGATTGGGTCCAGGCCCCCACAGAGAATAACAGAACACAGCAAAAGCGTGCCGATTCTTGAAGTAGGAAGGCGCTTGAAGTAGATTGGGATCTGGGAATCAAAAAATACCTACTTTCAACGACCGGCGTGTATATGTACAAGATTGTACGGGATGCACTGGCGACTCATGAACCACATGCGTCACAAACGTATGGAAATATCTGAACATAGGCAGCGTGCGCAGTACCAAGGAAAATCCAAAAACCAGGGGGGAAGAGCGTCGAAGTGACGTCGAAGGGAGCCCCCTTCCCTTTATCGCTTCCCTGGCCAGTGGGGGTGAGTGGCGGGGGGGAGGTGGCGAGGAGGGGTCCTGGGTGATATTACCGCCCGCCCGTGGTCTGGCCAGGTCCTGGGGGTGTTCGCCACCCGGGTTCCTGGGGGAGGTCCCGCCTTCACCAGCCGCAAGGCCTTCGCAGTAGACCAAAGACAACACAATGAATCAACAGAAAGAACTATAATCAGCACAACCACCGGCAACCAACGACAAAATGAATACATACGAGGCATGACAAAGATACGTAATCGGTGGGCGGTTTTGTATAGATTCCCAAACACTGTTTACACTTGGGGGTTCGTAATTATGGTCGAAAGAACTGGGCCTGGCCGTCGGTCCGGCGGATATGCCGCCGCCGTCGCCGCCTCGTCGCAGCCCGTCGTCTGCGCCTGGCCGTCAGTCCGGCGGCTATGTAGCCGCCGTCGCCGCCCCGTCATCGCCTCGACGCCTCCCGTCGCTTGGGCCTGTAAAGCGATATGGTGGCCATGTCGCCGCCGTCGCCGCCCAGTCGCCGCCCCGTCGCCGCTTTTCGTCTATGGCGGCTATGTTGTCGCCGTCGCCGCCACGTCGCGGCCACATCGACAAATCACATAGATTGCACCACGATTCTTTGAAAAAGAAGATTGGGACCTCCTACCCCCTGGGGTTAACGGGAACCTTTTCGCATTGCAACAGAACTTTGATCCGGCCCAGCCGTCCATCCCCATTATGAATTCATACCATCCTCGCCAAGCGGGAGCTTGCCCCTGTCATCCTCTGCAAAAAAATATGCAGGCGCACTCCTCTGTCACAAATCATCAGGATTCGGAAACCCGTTTGCAAAAAAATCTGCAGGAAATGCGCACGCGCCCATCGTCGAGCGCGCAAGCCTAAATCTTTCAAAAAACAAAAATTTCGCAAGGAGTCAAAATCGAGCGTCCCGAAAAACAGAGAAACATAGGGTTTCGCAACACCGGACCTCAACACAAAAAATGCGCCCGCGCTTTTGCGAACTCATCAAACAAACTTTCTGTTTTCAGCACTCTCACAACATGCAACCAAACGGCCTCTCGCGCGCGCGTGTCGGGTTGGCTCGAACGCCTTCGCGTTCGTGCTGTCGCAAGAATCCCTTGCAACACATGGGACGACGTGCGCGCGCGAATCGTCGCGCGCGCACGCCGAACATACGCCAAAACGGTAAATGTCGCAAGGGACGTTCAAAAATGTTTTCGCGAGCTTTCTGGCAAAATCTCAGGACAACCATGCGTTTTCAAACATTGCCATCGCATTATGCAAAATGGGCCTTTGCGCGCGCTGGCGGCCACGATCCGTGTCAAATAATACCACGCGGGCCATTCGCGCGCGTCGACCGCGCGCATGTCAAACCTCTGCCAAAACCTTGATCATCGACGCGAGAACATCGTCATCGTTGCCGGCGGGCGCGGTCATCGTACCGCGCCCGCCCACGCCACAGACTCGCACTGAAGTGCCCGCTGGACGCGCCCAGCGGTCAGCGCCACCGCGGCTGCGTCAGTCGTGCCGTATTCGCTGGTCGTTGCGCGCGAAAACGTGCGCGGGCGAGCGCGGCCGCACAGATGCACAAGCCAACGCCGAGCAAACATCGCAATTGCCGTCGCAAGGGTTTTGCAAACCAAGTTGCGGGTATGTGGGTGGGATGTTCGCGCGAGCAGTGGAGTTGCCAACTTCCAGTTCAGCAGGGCGACTCGCACCGCATGGGCGGCCCCGCGTAGATTGCACACCATTTTTTCCCTCCGCGTAGAGTTTCCTTCCGTCAAACAAAGACTTGGATCTACACCCCGCCCCCACGGAACAAACGGTTCCCATTTTCGTACTGCAATCTAGATACGATTCTGCCCGATCGTGCCTCCCAAATCTGATTTCAAATCATCCCAGGCAAGCAGGCACCCCTTCCTCATCCTCAGCAGAATATGCAATGCGCGCGCCCTCGTTGATCAAACATCATCAGTTTTCAAAAACCCCTTCCACAAGCAAAGCTGGGACGAAGTGCGCACGCGCGCGTCGTCGCGCGCGCATGCCAAAATCCTTCAAACACCCTAAGTGTCTGTCGCAAGGATTTCAAAGTCGAGCGTCCAGGAAACACATGAACAGATTCGGAAGAACAGCCTCGATTCCAACATCGTCAAATCTTGCTGCCAAACGAGCCTCTCGCGCGCGAGTGTCGGAATCGTTCAGAAGCCTTTGCGCGCGTGCTGTCGCGTGAATATATTGCAACAAATGGGGCGAAGTGCGCACGCGCGCACGTCACCGCGCGCGCATGCCGAAATCCTTCAACAACCCCACCATCCGTAGGGAGTTCCAAATAGACGGTCCCGAAAACAAAGAATACATGGTGTTCCAACATCCGCGTTCCCAAAAAATAGGGCCCGCGATCTTGCGATTTCTTGGCAAACCATGTGTTTGTGTGTATTGTTCGTTTGTTTATTCATGTAACCAACACGAAACATTAACTGCTGCCAAACGGGACCCTCGCACCGCACGCCGAAATAATTCGAACGCCCTTGCGCGTGTGATGCCGTGCGGGCCACTTTCGCGTGCCGGCCGCGCGCCCACGTCGAATTTCTTCCATGACCTTCACCGCCGACGCAAGGACGCCGTCATCGTCGTCCATCTGCTTTGCTGCCGTCGTTAACATCATCACCGCCATCACCGATGCCATCATCACCGTTGTCGGCGTTGACATGGCACCGCACCCGCCCACGCCACCGACTTGCACTGAGGTGCCCGCTGGAAATGCACAGCGATCAGCGCCAACGCGGCCGCGGCGGTCGCGCCAAACTAGCTTGCCGCTGCGCGCGCGAGCATGCGCAGGCCAGTGCGGCCGCAGAGATGCACCCGCCAACGACAAGCACTCATCGCAATCGCCGAAGCATGGGTTGGGCAAAGCAAGTTGCGAGTGGGTGGGTGGGATGATTGCGCGAACAATGGAATGGGCAACTCACGGCGCATAGAATTTGATTGCACCGCATGGGTTTCACGACGCAGCTAGCTCCACATATGTTTCGCAACGTATATAGCTAGAAGCACCCTGTTTGTGGTCCAAGCTGGCCAAGCTCCCCTGGGCATGGATAGAACTAGCTGGTGTTACCGAAAAAAGGCAAAGCAAAGCAGCATGGGTGACATCAACTTGGACATACAATACATTCGTAGCACGTGCTCGCAAATACCCCCATGAGTCTAGGGCGCACTTACGTGACACATGGGCAAGGACGCATCTACAGACGGACGCACATGCATGAAACGTCAACTAAGCAAACACCAACACAACATAACGTCCCCGTGATACTCTTACCACCACGACAATCGCAGTGACCACGCACTAACCTCACTTGACAACACATACTTTGACACGCACACATCAGATGCAGAAACCAACGCGATTCTTTGGGACGTACGATGACGCCAAACAATCATGAGTATCGTTCTCATGCGCCCACGCGCGTGTTGTACAACCAACACATCCGAAACCAAATGAACGCGATCCAATCAAACAGTAACTACACATTACAAACATCGGGGGCATGCACAACACCCATGCATGTAAAGCATGTCAATCACACGGCTTGTTAGTACTCAGCGGGAACAAAACAATACAATACTTGAGCAATATGATAACCGAATGCACGCATTCAGAAAACACGGAGTGTATACATAAGAGCAGACGTGCGTTACGAACACAAGCAACATAATCACTGCATGCCAAAAAAACATTTAAAACACACAGCACGCCGTACGAACACACAGTACTGGCATCACATAAATGTGTGGCAGCTCCCTGGCTGGGATCGTTCGAAGAAAAACCGCAGGTCATGGATTATTTCTCTGTCTATCTCCCTCTCTCTGTGTATCCTTTTCGCTGGCGCGCCGACCCCTTCAACAAGCAGCCTGGTTGTTTATAGTTGCCGCTCAGCGAGAAGCCAAGTGCCACATGTAGCACACCAGGGCTGGATAACCAACGCAATGGCATGATGGCACGTGGGGGCGCTTTGTGTGCAAACCAAATCTTCCGATTACTGATTCCCGACCTCGTCGGGATCGAAATCTGATGTGGGTGCTGTGATATTGGGAGTGGCCAGTCAGCAGCGATCCGATCAAACTTCCAAATTGCACAGCGCGTGTATGTCGATCTTCACACTAGATCTGCGCGCGCGCTTCGCGCCCACTCTCCTGCTTCTCCTTCCTCCCTCCTCCTCCCTCTCCTCCTCCTGGTCTTCCTCCTGGCCCTTCGTCCTCCTCCTCCCCTGACTTCATCCTGCTCCTCCTCCTCCTCCGCCCCTGACTTCCCTTTCCTACGCCCCTGACTCCATCCTGCTCCTCCTCCTCCTCCGCCCCGGGCTCTCTTCCCCCTCCTGCTGCCGAGGCCCGCTCGGGCAGGCAGGCTGGACGAGCCAACCCGCGGGGCCGGCCCGTCCACGCGGCCCCGGCTCCTGCCGGAGCCGGCGCCCGAGCTGCAGCTGCTGGGGCCAGCGCCAGGCAGCACAAGGCCTCGGTGTCCGAGGCGCCGTGGGGTGGGCGCGACCTCGTCGAGCCCCTCGGGGACAGCGGGCGGAATCCCATGCCTGTAAGGCGTTCGTTCTTCCGCGATTAGGCCATCGGGGGGGCGTCTCCAGCCTCCAAGATTCCAAGACAATCCAGTAAATGCCCTGCGGAAGAGTCCCGCTCCTGGAATCCGTTGACAGGCTCCAGGACCCACCGCGTGACCACAAAGCACCCTTCGAACACTTCCTGAGGGAGCTCACCCTTTGAAAGTCAAGCTCTGGCTGCCCTGCGTCTGGATCCAGCGAGCCAGCGAGCTCCAGGAATCTGGTCTGGCAAGGGCTCTGGGATGCGATCCGACTCCGGATCCCATCACCGACCCCATCCTGAGCAACCACGAGCTCCCAGACGTGCGACGCCCTGCTTATTTCAGGACGGCGCCCTCGGAAATCCCGACCCTTCTCCCCAGGCCAGTCTTTCGTCCTGAGTCGGTTCCTGACGGCCCCGGGGCCCCCAGCGAGGGACCCCCCCAGGGCCGAAAATGGCCAAACACCTCGCGTCCTGATTTTTCAACGACGCGATCGTGTCTGGTTTCGCTCCTTCGATCTGGCATCAATGCGAGCCGTGCGGCAAGACCAGATGGCCCTGGCCGAGACCACAACCGGCACATCTCCTGCGCAGGCCTCGCCACGGGAGAGGTGCGGGCCGGTCTCGGACTCGGGCCAGCCAGGCAGGCCTGATGCCGAAGCGAAGCCCCGCCTGCGCGACGAGGTCTCCTCCTCCTCCTCCTCATGTAAAGGAAAGGAGGTGGGGGCGTTCCGTCTGAGTGGACAAGCGCGTTCCACTCCTCGCAAAGTAACTGCCCGCAAACGGCCTGGATCTGCTATGGAGGCTTTACGGTACACTACCTCGATGCAGACATCTGTTGTTGCGGAGTTTTGCGCGTCAGCACTCTGTGAGTACCCATCTGTAGGAAGAAAAAGGTAGAATCTTGAAGTAGGAAGGCGTTGACAATAGGTCGGATGCCCACCCGCCCCCTAAAGAGGACGGACAAGGTGAAGCCACTCGATAATTGAAGTAGGAAGGCGCTTGAATTAGATTGGAATGTAGGACTGCAAAAATACCTACTTTCAAAGACCGATGGGTACATCGATGCAGACATCTGTTGTTGCGCACTTTTGCGAGTCGGCACTCCGTGAGCAACGGAGCGCACGCGGTGACTGAGGGCGACCGAGCTCATGCTGCACTGGTGCAGCCGCTTCCAGACAGCAACATAATCATGGCAGGAGACCGTAGAATCGAGTCGATAAGTCGGATCTGCGATCGAAATGGATCGGATCGGCAGAATTCGGCATCCGAGTCGGGAAAGTCGAATCGGCGGAAATCGGCAGGCTAATATGCCTCCAATCAGAGATCGGAACCCATATCGGAATCCCGAATCGACTCGAATCGGAATCGGAGGCCATCGAAATCGAACCGAATCGAATCGGGGGAATCGAAATGAGTCCTGTCATGGGGGAGCGCGTCCTGCGAGCCAACGTCGATGTGTGTTGGTGCCCCCGCCCTAATATGGGGAGAGGGCTGCCAGGGGGCGGCGCCTGCTGGCAGGGCACTCGCGTGCCCCTGGCTCGGGTTCGGTCGGGCATGTCCTCCCACAGGCGGGCTTTGGAGGAAGAGTAAAACATAGCCAAACAATGCTCCAAAAGGATCAAACATGAATGTTTTACAAAATATTCCCTGGGCTATTCTTCTACTATGTGTTAAAAATTATCCTCCTGTAGAAGGACAAGCTCGACTTACCCCCACGGGGGAGAGGACTGCCGGGGCGGCGCCAGCTGGGACGGCCCTTGCGTGCCGCTGGCTCGGGCTGAACTCTGGAGGAGCCTTCGCGGATCTGCCGACCCGGGTCAATCCAGACCCGGGCCGGTCGGGCCTTGCAGAATCCTGCGAGGTCCTGCAAGATCCTGCGCCCAAGCCCGGGTCAATGCGAAGGATCCTGCAGGGTCCTGCACCCACGCCCGGGTCAGTGCGCCCCTGGCCCTGCAGGATCCTGCAAGAGCGGGCGCTCTGGCTGACCCACGCCTGCAGTGACCCCCGTCCATTGAGCCCCGGAGCCTTCACGTGAGCCCTACGCCAGGTCCGACCTGTGGAAGGGGACGTACCACACGTGTGAGGGCATGCGCCCCCCGCCCTCCCTTGCCCTCCTCTCCCTCGTCGTCGTCGCCGCCGTCGTCGTCGTCGTCTCCGTCTGTGGCTCCCTCGTCTTGCCGCTGGGCTCCGCTGCGATGGCAAAAATCGGGGATGGACAGACCCCCCTTTAGTAAAACGTGGTTTAGTGAAAACGACCTGAGGCCCAAACCTGGTGGGCGCGAGCCTGGAAAAGAACGGCCACGGCGCCCTCTCGAGAACCGAAAACGCACAATTCACTAATCGACGTGTCACTGTTGGGGGTTCTGTCCACCCCCGAAAAAATAAGAGAGGGCACGCGTCTCGCTGTTTTTGTGGGCGAGTGCGGGCCCGAGCTCCACAGGAGCCCCCCCACGGGTGGGGCCCGGGGGGGCCCCCGAGGACAGAGCCTCGGGCCCCCCCGTTGGGGGCCCTGCGGTCGGAGCGCATATACGAGAGGGCACGCGATACAGGGCACGAGGGACTCTTCCGACGGCAACGTGGCCTCCAACAGGACACAGGACACACGGGGGGCCCTTTTTTGTTTTTTTGTTTTTTGGTTTTTTTCACGGCTAACGAGCAAGGGAGAAGGAGGAGTCCGCTGCCCTTCAAGAGGGCTATCCTCGCCATCGAACGAAGACGACCACACACGACAGGGGGTGAAAACCTGCAGTAGCCCCGGGCTCGGGACACACGGGGGCCCTTAGTGCGAACACGCAGAGGACACGAGAAGGGATGGACAGGGCACAAAAGAATACCCTTGACTTTGCGGGGTCGGCCTGCCAATGCGCGCCGACTTTTTATTGAGCTTGAGAGAGTTGGGCCACGCTTGCAACCAGAACCCTCCAATGGCATCCAGGAGTATCGGGGGATGAGCATATGTTGCCTGCTGGGGCCGTCGATGCAGAGAAGGAGATGCCCCGCTGCAGGAGTGTGCTGCAACGCCAACGCGCGGCCTCGGGCAAGCACCCAAGAAACAAAGTGGTGTCATCCTTGATTCGATGCGTTCAAGTTCCAGGGAAGCTCCAGCACAGCGCGCAACGCCCCGAGACGCTAGAGACGGCTGCAACCTGGCATCCTTGCCGCTCCATGCGCTGCAACTGCTGTCCTCCTCCTCCTCCTCCGATGATGCTACCCGTCGGTCGGAAGAAGTAGGTCGAACCATGAAGTGGGAAGACGTTGGAAGCAGGTTGGGCATCCGCCCACCCCCTAAAGAGGAGGGAAGAGGGACACCCCCTCGACTCTTGAAGTAGGAGGGCGCCCCTCGACTCTTGAAGTAGGAGGGCTCCCCTCGACTCTTGAAGCAGGAGGGCACCCAAAGTAGTCTAGGTTCTGGATATTCACAGATACAGTCGAACATGGAACAGAAGAACATCCTTCGCGCGAACATGAGACCCTCCGTCGGCCAAAACAAACAGAACATCCGAGGGCACCTTCCCCAAGGTGCACAAGAACATCCAACACGCACAAAACACATTAATTAGGGCACCCGCCCCGAAACGACCTAGCGATCTTATGCCTCGGTCCGGCTGTACTTTCAACGACTGGCGTGCACAGTGGAGGCCAGTCCACAAGAAACCCTCCACAAGAAACCCGACCCTGAGACCCCGGGAGGTCCAGTGATTTTTGGTGTGGGAACGTCGCGCCTTCCACAGCCAAACCATCGAAACCCAAGAAGCCCAGGGCACCCTGGAGGCAAGCAGGGTGCTTCTTGGCGTGGGCCCCCACTGCAGCGACGACGACGAAGGTGACGACGACAGGCCGCGATCTGTGCGGATGCCGAGCCCGAGGCAGGCGGGGGGCGGCACCGCGGCGCCGGCGCGCCCCGGCGGCGGGCCCTCCTCCGCCTCCTTCGGGGGCGCGCAGGCATGGATTGGTGATCCAACTCGCCGCGGCTGACAAAGCAACGCAGCGTCGCGAAAGAACGCGAGGGCCCCGTCTTTCTGCGCCACTTCTCGGGCCGCATCGATCTGTGACGGCCCCGGGGCTCGAAACTGGCCAGAAGTACCAGGGGATAGCAGTACCAGTGCCCGGGTCCCAGGGCTCGCCGCCCGATCCCTCGGGGGCGCGCAAACAGGGAATAGCGACCCATGGATGTGGGTCGCGGTCGCCAGAGCCTCGGATCGGGGAGGTGCCCTCCCCATAGTGTGGCCGGTGCCTCCTCGCTCGGCGGCGGAGACCCGCGATGTGCCATGGAAGCGGGACCCGTCGCCAGTCCACGCCCCCCTGAGCTATGTCTGCGATCGCCTGCCCCCTGGAGCCCCCCGTACACGTCGGTCGGAAGAAGTAGGTAGAAACATGAAGTAGGAAGGCGGATATAGTAGATTGGGTCCAGGTCCTCCCAGATAATAACAAAACGCAGCAAAAACATGCCGATTCTTGAAGTAGGAAGGCGCTTGAAGTAGACTGGGATCTGGGCATCCAGAAATACCTACTTTCAACGACTGGCGTGTATCGTGCCCCTCCTCCTGCTCCTCGGCGGCCCCGTGGTCCGACCCCTGGGGGCTCCTCCGGCCGCTCTCCGCTCTCCCTGCTGCTGCTCTGCCCGCAGGTACGGATCGGTGGCCACACGCGGTGAGCCCCATGTGATGGGCCGGTTTTCCACCACCACCACCACCATCAGGTGGAGGGGAAGGAGGTCCTCCTCTTTCTCCTCCTCCTCCTCCTTCTCCTCCTCCTCCTCCTCCTCCTCCTCTTCCGCCTCCTCTTCGTCCTCCTCTTCCTTCCCCCCTCCAACTTATGGTGGTGGTGGTGGTGGAAAACGAGCCCATCACCATACCTCCACCCCCCATGATCTCTGAGGGGGGGTGGGGGCAGGGTTCACATGGGGGAACGGACAAGGACATCAGCATAAAAGCTCGGAGGGCCGCGCGGGCTTCTCGGATCGGCGCTGGGGCCCCCTGGCGGCGCCTCGGGCGCCGCCCCTGGCGCGCTCCGCGCGCCAGGGAGGGGGGGGGTCCAGCGCGGATCCACGGGATCCGCGCGGACCTGCGAGTTTGTGGGTTTATGTCGTTGTTCGCTCCCCCCTATCACAAGTGGCCATCGAGCGGAGGGGAGGAAGCGCGAGAAGTGCGGGTCGTCGGTGCCGCCACGGTTCTGCTCGGACCCTGCTGCAAGCTCGGCCCCGCCGCGATCTCCGAGAGGCGCCCGCGTCAGCATCACACCCCGGGCGACAGGAGACCCGAATCGGCATGACTGAAGAGTGTCTGTAGCATCTCTGGTGGGCTTGTTTCCACCGCCACCACCATACGGAGGAGGGGGGGGGGGTCTTCCTCCTCCTCTTTTTCCTCCTCCTCTTCCACCTTTTTCCTCCTTTTCCCTCCTCCAACTTATGGTGGTGGCGGTGGTGGAAAACAGGCCCGTCAATCTCACTGTACCGCGCAGACGGGCGAGCATACGGGCGAGCAGCCTGGAGACCAAACTGCTGCACATACCGGTGACCATGCGCGGGAGAACATGCGCGGGGAGACCACGCGGCGAGAAACCGTGAGGGAGACGACCTGGGAAGCCCTACGGGACACCCCAGGGGGAGAGAATGCGGACTAAACCATGCGGAAAACCATAAGGGGAGACCATACGGAAGACCGTGCGGGAAACTAGATGGCAAAATAGACGGGATACCATTGGTTGACGGAGAGCGCGGGGGGGGGGGGGAAGTGAGAAGGGGCGGGTCTTCTCATAAGGCCTCGGAAGTCCCCCAACCTTCTGAGGAATTGTCTAAGCCTTCCCCGAAGGCACAGGAAACTTCTCAGAAGGCGCGAGGGCGCTTGAGAAGTCCCGCCTCCTTCTGAGAAGGCTTACTCCTTCTCACTTCCGCCCCTCGCTCGCCGCCGAATAGGCGAGAGAGCACGGGAAACCATGGGGGATCTCAGACGGGAGACCACACGGGAAACCATGCGGGAGACCATGCGGGAAACCACAAGGGAGACCATTCGGGAGACCATGCGGGAGACCAAAGACCATACAGGAGACCCTGCACGAGACCATGCATCGGAGACGAGTGAACGGGGGGAAGCCCAAGGCCTTCTCAGAAGGCTCGGAAGTCCACCGGCCCTCTGAGAAGTTTCCTGAGCAGCTCCCGAAAACGAACGCAAACTTCTCAGAAGGCGCGAGGGCTCCTGAGAAGTTCCGCCTCCCTCTGAGAAGGCCGCCTGCTGGAAGACCATGGGGAACATCATACGGGAGACCAGGCGCGAGACCGTGCGGGAGACCATGCGGGAAACCATACGGGAGACCACTCGGGAGAATCCACACGGGAGGGACCACGCGGGAGCCCAAGGACCATACAGGAGACCATGCCGGAGACCAAAAAGTCACCGGTGCCTGGACAGGGGCGGCACCCTTTGGTCTCTCCTGTGGGAAGCAAAGGGACATACTAAAAACTGTGTCATCCTCTGAGGCGTACGTCCGACCCGAACAGTGGAGGCCAGTCCAAAAGAAACCTTCCACACGAAACCCAACCCTGAGACCCCAGGACGTCCATTCATTTTTGGTGTGGGAACGTCACGCTTTGGATCGCAAAACCATCGACACCCAAGAAACCCAGGGCACCCAAGAGGAAAGCAGGGTGTTTCTTGGCATGGGCCTCCACTGTAATATAACCATCATATAGTATATCGTTTTCCGAGCGGCATGGCCAGCAATCGCCCGCCACGACGCATGTACTGTAAGACTTCTCGGTGCGCGCGTCGCCCCTGGGGGGGGCGACGCGCACATAGTAGTAGCAGTAGTAGTAGTAGTAGTAGTAGTAGTAGTAGTAGTAGTATGATAGTAGTAGTAGTAGTAGTAGTAGTAGTAGTAGTAGTAGTAGTCGTAGTAGTAGTAGTAGTAGTAGCAGTAGTAGTAGTAGTAGTAGTAGTCGTCGTCGTCGTAGTCGTCGTCGTCGTAGTCGTAGTCGTAGTCGTAGTCGTAGTAGAAGTAGTAGTAGTAGCAGTAGCAGTAGTAGCAGTAGTAGTAGTAGTAGTAGTAGTAGTAGTAGTAGTAGTAGTAGTAGTAGTAGTAGTAGTAGTCGTCGTCGAAATAGTCGTAGTAGTCGAAGCAGTAGTAGTGTAGTCGTAGTCGTAAGTAGTAGTAGTAGTAGTAGTAGTAGTAGTAGTAGTAGTAGTAGTAGTAGCAGTAGTCACAGTAGCAGCAGTAGTAGCAGTAGTAGTAGTAGTGGTAGTAGGTAGTAGTAGTCGTAGTAGTAGTAATAGTAGTAGTAGTAGTAGTAGTAGTAGTAGTAGTAGTAGTAGTTAGTAGTAGTAGTAGTAGTAGTAGTAGTAGTAGTAGTAGTAGTAGTAGTAGTAGTAGTAGTAGTAGTAGTAGTAGTAGTAGTAGTAGTAGTAGTAGTAGTAGTAGTAGTAGTAGTAGTAGTCGTAGTCGTAAAAGTCGTAGTCGTCGTCGTAGTCGTTTGCGTAGTACTAGCAGTAGCAATAGTAGTAATAGTACTAATAATAGTAGTAGTACTAGTAGTAGGAGTAGTCGTGGCCGTAGTCGTATACGTAGGAGCAGCCGGAGTAGAAGTAGTAATAGTAGCAGTAGAGGAAGCAACATTAGCAGTAGTAGTAGTAGTAGTAGTAAAAGTAGCCGTAGTACTAATAGTAGTAGTAGTAGTAGTAGCAGTCGTAGTAGCAGCACTAGTAATAGTAGTAGCCGTAGCATTAGTAGTCGTAGCAGTAGTAGTAGTAGTAGTAGTAGTAGTAGTAGTAGTAGTAGTTGTAGTAGTAAAAGTGGTAGTAGTAGTAGTAGTAGTAGTAGTAGTAGTAGTAGTGGTGGTGGTAGTACTAATGATAGTAGTAATAGTAGCCGTAGTAATAGTAGTAATAGTAGTAGTAGTAGTAGGAGTAGTCCTAAGAGTAGTCGTAGTAGTAGTAGTAGCAGCAGTAGTAGTAGTAGTAGTAGTAGTAGCAGTAGTAGTAGTAGTCGTAGTAGTAGTCGTATAGTAGTAATAGTAATAGTATAGTAGTAGTAGTAGTAGTAGTAGTAGTAGTAGTAGTAGTAGTAGTAGCAGTCGTATACGTAGTAGTAGTAGTAGTAGTAGTAGTAGAAGAAGAAGAAGTAGTAGTAATAGTAGTAGTAGTAGTCGTCGTAGTAGTCGTAGTAGTCGTAGTAGTCGTAGTAGTAGTAGTAGTAGTAGTAGTAGTAGTAGTAGTAGTAGTAGTGGTAGAATAAGTAGTTTATAATATGTTCGGGTGACGCCGATCTTACGAGCCACGTATAGACGCCTCGCAGAAAAGTCGTTTTCTCGGAATTAGACGGCGATTGGTTTCCCATGAGGGGAGACTGTTCCAAGTAACGCCCATCTGCCGCCGTACCAGCTCTAGGACACCTCGAGACCACCTAGAGTGGCCTCAAGACGGCTGCGAGAAGGTCTAACGGACCCACCCCAATGCCCTCTTGAGACCACTTTCGGTTCCGTGAAGACCATTCGGAGAGGCCTCAGAAGCTATTTCTGGGAAGCCCTGTCATGTCCACTTGTCGAAGACATCGCTGATGTCATCCCAGGTGCTTGTTCTCAGGCTGATTGCCATTTTATCCTGAATAGCCTCTGTTGAACACGAAGGCTTCACAACATCGACGCAGTATGTGTATAATCGTTCCCCATAGGGGCCCGTCGTGACTCCCGCTTTGCAGGCTCAGCCTTTGTATCGTTGCGCTGGACTTACATGCTCTCGATCGCCACCTGGCCGATTTCAGATACAAAGGATCCACACATGTTGGTGCCTCATGCTTTACTCTGGTAAACGCAAGAGTGGCCCGAGGCCTCAATTGTTCACAAAAACGCTGGGGGCGTTGTTTGAACGCTTTCAACTTGCGCTGCGGCCGACCAAGACACAAAAACACCAACTCAAAACAGAACGAAACGGAAAAAATAGAAAACGACGATTAAAGAAACAATCAAAACACACATTGCAAAACGAATCGAAACGGCGAGACGGCAATCCCAAAATGGGGGAAAACTGCTCCAAAAACAAACAACTAACTCGATAAAACGGCCCCCAGCGTTTCTAAGAACATCTAAGCCCTGAGCAAGTGTGACCTTTGGTATGCGGCTTGCCACGCGTTGCACGCGGTGCGACATACTGGCCTGCGCGCTTGGGTTCGGACCCCCGCGCACCCCGAACACCGCGCATCTGAGGTCACTCCGGCGAAGGGTCACTCTTAGGTGTACAATGGAGGAGGCCAGTCCACAAGAAACCTGCCGCAAGAAACCCAACACTGAGACCCCAGGACGTCCACGGCACTTGGGTGTGGGAACGTCACGCCTTCCACAGCAAAACCATAGAAACCCAAGGCACCCTGGAGACAAGCAGGGTGTTTCTTGGCATGGGTCTCCACTGTAGCCGATTGACGGCCGTCGCTTTCTCGCCAACATGTAGCCAGCAAGCCCGCAGCCGTTTTACTTCCGCTGGCGTCCGCCAGCCTTCCGCCCGGCTGCCGGCGAAGGCGAGGCGCGACCTAAGGCGAGGCCAGCCCTGGAGTAAGCGCACACATCCACACCGTCGCCTCGTCATCGCTCGCTCGAGCCCCCCTGCCTCCTCCTCGCCTGTTCCGCTGCCCTCTCCCGCGCCGTCCCGCCACACGCGTCAGGAGGCCAGGCCAGGCGTAGACTCCCTCCCCGATTCTGTAGCGGAGGACCTCCGACCATGGCAGCGGTAGAGATGCAGCTTGCTCTCTTTACCCACGCGTTCTTCTCATCGCCGAAGGCGTTGCCGCCGACGGCGACGACGACGATGGACGTCGACGGACGATAACGATGACGACGACGACGACGACGAAAACGATCGCTGCACAAGAGGACGGCGGGCCCCTCTCAGGCACGATATAAAAAGGGCGCCCTACGGTAGAGTGATTCCAGACGCATGGATGCACCACTGCTCCCTCTCGAGCAACCTGCGGCCCAAGAGCCCCCAAAGATCGCCCCAAGACCGCCCCAGAGGCCTCCAAGATGGCACCAGAACGGCCCAAGAGGCCCCCAAGACCGGCCCAAGAGGGCCCCAAGATGGCCCAAGCGGCCTCCAAGACGCCCAAGATGGCCTCCAATGCGGCCCTGGAGAACCCCAAGAGGGCCCAGTACTCAATCGAATTGTGATGCCCTCGCTGCTGTGACATGTGCAACCCGCAACCCGATGTGCCTCCCGACGCTTTGCAGCACTTACAGGCGGGGCAGGGGAAACACGGACATAATTTTTGGGGGAGAGGGAGCGAGGGGGAGGGAGACAGCGGCAGCAGGAAAACAGCTGCGCACCCCGCGCCGTCCGCCTGTGTGGCCCTGTGGGCATGCACGCCGTCCTGAAGGCTGGAGAGGCATGGGCGCCAATTGCCATTCGGACTGGGCGCGTGGCTGGACAAGGCCGGGTTCGGAAGCAACTGCTGGGAGGTCTTCGTGGGAAGGATATAAGGGCGGCGCACAGATGCCTGCTAGTACTATACGCTCTCCTTGGAGGCGCGCGTCCGTCCCGAACACAAAGTACACCCATCTTGTAGTACATCCTTACCCGAGCGGTGTGGCCAGAGAGCGGCCGCGGCGACACATCTGCTGGAAGATTGCTCGGTGCGCGCGCGTCGCCCCTGGGGGGGGTGGGGCGGCGGCGCAAGTATAGTATGAGTAGGTTGGAGCGACGCCCATGAAGGAGGACGAGCAATCGTTGGGGGGCGGTTTTACGCCGGACTGGGCCTCGGATCAAGCGGGATATTGGGCCGGATTGAGCGGGATGAGGCCGGATTATTTCAGACGGGATGAAGCTGGATTGAGCGGACCAGGGAGACATCAGAATTTGGCCTCCCAGGAGTTGTTTCCGAAGGGTTGGGGGAGTCTGGGGCCCAGGGGCGCCTCTCGACCTGGCCCTCCTGAGCCCCGCGAGAGGCACGCCTCCCCGCGAGAGGGCGGCGGGAGGCGGAAGCGGAGGTCTCCGCTCGGCGTGGGGGCTCCTCGAACGCCGCGCCCGCCGACCCGCTCTCCTGGTGGGGCCGCGGCCCAGGGGACATCCAGGCCACGGAAAAAAAGTAGCACACGCGCATGCCACATGCATCTGCCCCCCCCCCGCCCCAACGATCAATGTTGGCGGCGGGGTGGATGAGTTGCACTTCGACCGCAGGTTCCCCCCCCCTCCCGCGCGTGCAAGCCTTGAACTTGGGGGAGGGGGGGGGTGTCCACTAATCGTTTCCCTCTACCGTCTGCAGGCCGAGACCATCCCCCCATCCTCCCCGTGCCATCGCTCGGACGTCCATTCCCTGTGCAGTTTTCGATGTCGCGCGCTTATTTTTCGCAAGATGATCCAGGATGCTCCTCGATGGTCCTCGCCAACCAAAATGCGCACGTCCGAGACATGCGCACGGCCGCACGTCGCAAGCCCCCGTCCTGCCCCACCCCTCTCTGAAGAGAATGCCGTCCCTCTCCTGGGCAGGAGGAGAGGCAGGAGCAGAGCAGGGGGAGGGCGAGGAGCATCAGCCCCGACGCACGCAGAGGGTGCTGCTGACGTGATGCTGCGCGGCGCAGCCGAAGAGTCGCAACGCGACGCCGCCGCACGAACCTCCGACAAGCGAGAATAGAGGCCTCCTGGATGGGGTCCCAGTAGACGGGGTCGAAAGATCGCGCCGCATTGCCAATGCATCGCCGATGCATCGGCGATGCATCGGCGATCCATCGGCGATGCATCGGCGACGTCGACGATGTATCGGCGACGTCGGCGTGGGGAAACACGGTCTCCACATCGAGCCGCATCGTCGATGCATCTGCGATGCAGCGCGATCATCCGACCCCATCTACTCGGATCCCATCCAGGAGGCCTAGCGAGAAGAGCGCTGAGATGCGTCGCAGGACAGCTCGAGCACTCGGAGAGGCAAGACGCGGGGAGCCCCCGCACGGAGAGGCCCCGCAGACGGTCGAACAAAAAGGCCGGTCGCTGGGAGCTCTCGCGATGGCGCAGCATCTGCATGCGCATTGCCCCCTCGAACGAGGAACTAACATAGAGAGCAGACAATCCACTCTCACACTACGGTGTGGCATTGGATAAGGAAACCTTGGTCAAGGAAGCCAGGATCTGAAAGCTGGCGGAACTCCAACCGAGGCTTGGCAATGGATACCACCGCCGCCCTCATCAGATCAGGAATCCTCCAAGGTCTGCAGCATCCTGGGCGCATTCCTTAGCCAACGCCCCCACCGCAATCACCCCGACACGCGAAGCCGTTTAGTAAACGCACCCAAAAAAGAATCGAACAGGGCAGGGCTGTTCAGTTAACGCCCAGGACCGTTCAGCAAACGCCGATTATCTGGTCCCGGTGGTTTGTCCTCCCTTGATACAAAGCATTACAAAATGATTTGACTTTTTGGCTTTGGGCAGCCGGAGCTCTCACTGACGCAGAGGCAAAACATCCGAGCCGAGCTCGCGGCTCTGCGAGGTCGAGCTGTTCCAGAATGAAGTAGTGTTTGACGTTTGACTGCGTAGAGGCGAAAGGGCTTGAACTTGCATTGCATTTCGACCTAGCTGAAATTTATTGCAGCATTCTCACCTGGCAATTGTAAAGCGCTTGGCGTAGTCGTGAGGCGCCTGCGCCGAGCATAGCAACCAGCAGGCGTACTGGACGGGAGTTCGCGTGGCGCGAGGATGCCAGACCCAGAAGGGGGCCGTGAGCGCAGGTGGCAAGTCGGGGGGGGGGGGGGCGGGGCGCAGTGCCCCGCACCTGCCAGGATGAGAAGGACAACGAGAAGAAAAAGAGAAAAGAGTACAGTCGGACCTAGGCTTAGGTCGGGCGTGTCCTGCTCTAGGTACGGGACGAAAAATGATAGTCGAAACATATTCGAAAATAGTCAAACATACTAGAAAAGTCGTCCCCTGACTATTGTTTGACTAGTTTTGAAGATCCCTCCTGTAGAGGGACACACCCGACGTAAACCTAGGCCAGAAGAACACCTTTCAAGACCGCGAGACCATCCGCCAGCCAGGGCACACCAGACCCTGAGATCATGTAGTGGTTCATGTTGCCCCCATCGTACTTAAGGACCACACCCCAGAAATAATTTAGAGTACCCAGAACAGCATCGAAACAGCGTCGATCGAGTATCGTCTCGCAGGGCCCGACACGTGAAATCCCTCCAGTTCGGTACTTTCTTGTTGTTCGAAATTCTGGCGGTCAAGGCTAAAGTAGGTTGGAGCATCATAAGCGAGGGTATCGGGATGCACAAAAACATCTAACAGACACGGGGAACGTTAGGCTACCCGTGGTGGATCCCGGAAACGGCAAAGCCGTTTTTCACCGTTTCCGAAAAAATGTATTGAAAATGGGAACGGCAAAAATACAGCTCCAGGATTGAAACCCGAGCCGGAACCAAGAGCAAAACGGTGACGGAACCAACAATCAAAAAACGGCGTCGGAACTGGCAAAAAACGGACGGCACAGCGGAACCGGTAAGACAACGGCCTTGTCGCTTCCAGGCCCCACTACGAGGGCACCTTCCCCCGAGCCGACCTCGATCTTGCACCTCGGCCCGACTGCAAAAAGGCCGAGCGAAGCGCGACAAACGCCGATATGGGCAATCGGGGGCAGCGCCGCAAGCCAAGCCCCTGCAAA